TCACCCATGACAGAGCCAATTTCGACAGCGATTGTTGTTCTTGCAGCTTCGATACCAAGCACGTCCCTACATTCCATGACGTTGTTGGTGCTTGCCTTGGTGCCAATCACACCCTCCGTAGTCATACATTCACGAAGACCATAGCCTTCAACGAGAACAGTATGGGTATTTTGTTCTGAAGTCTGAATGATTGCGCGAGTCGCTTCGGAATAACCGGATATGGGCACATTAGGCAATGCTCGGCGGAGGAAATTGGCCCTCAGTAACATGTCGCCGCTTTCCGCAGCAGCAGTCTTGCTTCGGGCAGTTGTCCTCTTCGCTGCCGGGTCGCTAATATCACGTACTCGAACAATAATTCGGTCGCCATCGATTGAAAGATCATCTCTTTGCACCTTGAGCTTGCGTTGTTTGCATATAGCCTCCGCAATATCGTAGGGACCAATACCAAGATGCATGTCCGAAAGCGCAGTTGGATCAATCTGCAAGACAACATTGCCTTCTGTTGTGCGCCATTCGTCCTCAACAAACCGTAGGATGTCTGAAATGTACGTCTTCTCAATTCGCCCCTTGACTACCCTTGCGGCTTCAATCTGCTCATTGTTCTCCAGGGGGCATGTGATGACCGGTGTGCTAATAGCCTTCGACGCGTTTATAATTTCCTTGATTCGGGGAACACCTTGTGTAATGCTCATACCAGCAACACCAGCAAAATGGAAAGTCTTCAGCGTCATTTGAGTACCCGGTTCACCAATAGAGTGAGCTCCCACTGCCCCAACAGCATGTCCAGGTTCAACATGCGCCTTTTTGTACTTCTCTAGGCACAGTTTAATGAATAGTTGGAGTGTTGACAGCGTGACTTTGGCGGTTCGGTCGGCATGGTCTTGAGCAGTCGGCTTGATCATTGTGTCGCCCTCAAACCCAGCAAGTTTTCTTACTCTTTCTAATTTTGATGCTAGAGCTTCAACATGACGCTCGATGGCTTTGAGGAATCCTCTTGCACCCTCGTGCTCGTCAATACCATAATCACTAGTATCTTCGTAGTCCAAGACCTCGCCGTCCAGAAGTCCCTTTCGGACATAACGCCGTCGCTCATGCTCTAGTTTCGAGTCGCAAAACGATCTGATTTCGTCTGGTGTCATAGAGGTCTCGGTGTTATCGATCGTCAAACTTTGTGCATGGGTCCAGGTTCGTTCAAAATGGACCGGTGCTGCTGAACCTTCCATATCGACAGGATCGAGTTTATCCGCGCCAAATTGGAACTGGACAATACCGCCCCCAGAGGTCCGGACCGTGTCGTCATATTGGGTTGACAAATCCTCAAGTGACTTCATGAGTCGTCGAGACATATAGCCGGTCTCGGCGGTTTTGACAGCAGTATCGACTAAACCTTCACGACCTGACATGGCGTGGAATATAAATTCGGTTGGGGAAAGGCCACTGTAGAAGCTGTTCTTGACAAAGCCCTTGGAGGGGGGTTGTCGAGCATTCTTATGAAAATGGGGGAGCGTTCGGTCTTGGAACCCATCTGCCACACGAGCACCGCCGATAATCTGCTGTCCGACTAAGGCCACCATCTGAGCCACGTTGAGGTCCGAACCCTTCGATCCAGATTTAGCCATGACAAGCGGAGCGTTGTTACGGCTCAAGGTTTCGACACAATAAGATCCTGCCTGTTGTCGAACCTTGCTGAGAATACCCGACATGAAGTTCTCCAGGGACTGTTCCTGATTGCAACCGGCAGCCTTCTCAAGTTTTCCGGCCTTGAAGGTTTCAATCAAGTCATCGCATTGCTTGTAAGCGGCTGCAGCAAGCCTTTCCTTCTCCTGGATGAGCGATTCGGGAGGAAATACGTCTCCGATACCGATAGAGAAGCCATGATTTGTTAGCTGCCGTGCACAAAGTTTGGCCAGCCTGTTCATGGCTGTCACAGCCTCGTCTGGTCCAAAATCTCGTAGTATGACATAGAAGATCGAGTCTTTCTTGCCGTCTCCCACGGTAGACTTATCCATGCGACCACACATCACTTCTGAGTTACGAACCACCAGCCAACCATCATTAGGGTCCATGTCGGGACATTGACCTGGCCTGGCCTTGTATGTTTTGCACTTGGCATCAAGATTCACCTTGACTGGCGAATCCTTATTGGGCCGCATTAACATACCGAACAGCTGCTTACCTGTCCAGAGGGACTGAGGTGCAATGATGGCGGGAGGTGGTAAGTCCAGGTGCGTTTTACCATCCATCATGTGCATGCAGAGATAAGTGAATGTTTTTCGATCGAAGAATCGATCTTTGCCGCTTAACAGATACGCGGCGGTGATAAAATCTTGTGTCGCAGCAATGACAGGTTCACCGTTCTTGGGGGTGGCAAGGTTGTGCTTGATACCCATCAGATTGATGGCCTCAGCACGAGCCTCCTCAGTTTGTGGAACGTGAAGATTCATCTCATCTCCGTCAAAATCGGCATTGTATGGGCCACACACACACTCATTTAACCTGAAGGTCCTCCAAGGACGGACTTTGGCAAGATGGCTCATGATACTGAGTTTGTGGAGGGAAGGTTGGCGGTTGAAAAGGACAATGTCGTTGTCTTCAAGATGTCGCTCAACAATGTCACCAAACTTCAGATCGCGAGCTATATACTCCCTGTTGCCAAACTTGAGAGACTGTAGATAGCCACCTTCGTCTGACTTGATGACTCGCTGGGCTCCAGGCCAGACGTCTGGTCCATTTTTAACACATTGACGCAGTTTTTCGATGTTATGTCTTTGCACCCTTTCAGGATAGGTCAAGTTCTTTGCAACCAACTCAGGAACAGCGACCTGATCAATACCCAGGTTAGGATCTGGGGAAATGACTGTTCTTCCAGAAAAGTCGACTCTTTTACCGGAGAGATTTCCACGGAAACGGCCCTGCTTGCCTTTCAGACGTTGACAGAAACCTCTTGTGGTTTTGCCAAACCCAGGCTGCTGAAGGCCAGGAACGTCGCTGTTGACATACATGGCTATCTGGGTCTGTAAGTATTCCCATTGCTCCATGATGGTCTGGACCGGGGATCCTTTTTGTAAAGCGGAGCGGATCATGCCACTGACCCAAACAATATCAGCCAATTTGGTGGTAATGTCGTCCTCATTACTGGCATTATCTTGGGCAACAGATGGCCTGATACAGACAGGTGGGGCAGGCAGGAACTGCCAGATAAACATCTCCGGTCGTCCCTCAGCAGGGTCAAGTCCCAGAAGCTCACAGTCTGTGGGGCTAATCATTTTGAAGAGGTTAAGGACCCTGAGCGGATTTAAATCCTCCATCGCTTTGCGTAGATGCTTATCAAGCTCAGGATTTTCGCGTTTCGCCTCATTGAACGAGTTGTCAAACTTGATCTTACTTTCTGGCGGAGTTTTCTTGACAGAGGTTGACTTGTTGTAGGCAACAAACTTGTCATGAGCCAGCTTGAGGACACCAATCTTTCTGATTTGGCCATTAAGAGAGCCGCAATAAGGACAAGTCTTGACTTTTCGGCATTGTTCGTTGATCCTCTTGCATATTTGGGTCCGTCGTAAATTGTCTAGGAATGGTCGTCGTAGCTCCTTCAGGAACTGTTGTCGTTCGGGCTCCTCAAGCAAAACTCGACCACAGTCCTAAGACGGCATTAGAACCTTAAAACCCATGCTACACTTTCGGTTTATGACTATACCTTGCATATTTCTTGCAGAATCGACATGATGAAACGAAGATATCCAACATGGAACGCAGGCAGCGGCAGGCGAACATGGCCAAAATGGCCATTGCAGTCTTTGAGAGACTCTTGGCAGGTCGAACATCTTCCTTGCTTACTGGAGGTACCCTAAGACGATATAAGCTTATGGCCAGGATGTCTTTGTTTCGCATGAATCACTCACCAATCGAGAGTCTAGAGGGCCGTGGCGATATGGAGCGCGATTGTTCTCGATGTCATACAATAGGCGATCGGAAACCTCGAGAACAGCTTGGTTGGCAATGTCTTGGTTAGATCTAAACGCCAGGAGTCAGTGTCGTGCAGCCAGTCAATAAGAAAATTAAAATACTGACTGGATACCAAATTTAATGCCCTTGAATCGCTTCGGCAGCTTGTCCACAAGCTGCTGCTTGACGGGACTGTCCACAGAACCGGAAACCGCCATTTTGAATGCGTAAGATAGTTCCAGGTCACCGTAGCCGTCGCAGGAGATCTTTAGGTCCAGGCGCCAGTGGACTTTGGTAGGGATTGCGAAGGCGCAAGCTTGTTGGTAGTGCCGTAGCGTTTAACATCAAGTTGAAGATTGAAGGTCGCAAAATTTCCATCGCCTGCGAAGAGGGACTCGGCGCACTTAGATAGTCGTGCCCCACCATGCTGCCAACATGCGGGGCCACGCATCCGACGGGTAGCCACGACGGACACCAGTAACTGTCCTTGTGGCGTTACTGTCACGACGGGACTACTGTTCACGCACTGCTGCCCTATTGGTATTGTCAAGCTGCATCTCCTTTTGGACTGTCAGAAAGTCACCATAACAAATGTAGCTTGAATTTCACCGAATGATTCACCTTCTGGTTAACAAGACTCATCCATGCTACATACTTACCTGCTCTCGTGGGTAGCAGAAAAGTTGGCCTCTTAAGTCTTAGGGTATAAAGATAAGTATTCTAAGAACCATAGGCTAAAGAGCATAAACTGGCCTAGTAATTTCGTCTCTTATGCTTCTAGTTGTCAGTTTTTCGGGCTACTATCTAACACGTCGCATCTACTAATTGACTTGGTTCAGCATAACCCTTACGATACAAACTACATATTGGGTTGGTACGAGCTTCTAATTCTAAATACATAAAAGTTATAAACCGTTTATTATCTGTTTTGCATTTGCGACAATGCTCCAGTAACCTTGGCCTAGAATCTCGCAACTCAGTCTTCACACGCCTTGCGTTCTCTCTTCATCCACCATTCATAGAGGGCTTTCTCATCCGTAATTCTTTCTCTACTGCGATCATGCTAAGTCTTTCTTGGACGAGTCCTCAGGGTCACTTTTGAAGCTCGACCGGTTCGACAACAACTGCGACAGAACAAAATGATTCACGTCTTCGTCGCCCCAGTATGCCATATGAGATGCAATCGTATTGATCGGGTTGAAGTCGAGGACACTTCTATATCTGCTGTCAACGCCCATCTCTTCACTAGATTGCACTGTGGTTCAGTGCGCACTTACTCTTGGATACTATAATCAACTCTGCCGTTACGGTTAAGTGCTCGAACTTTGGCCTCCTCATTACGCATCTTACGCGCCTTCTTATCTTCATCTGCTGCTGTGGTCGTTGCACCATCCTCGTCTTTTGCCGGTCGAAGACGGCTTTTCTGGAAACTGGTATACAAAGTTTCAATCTCATCGTCGATCAATGTCGGGTTATGATCTCCGGTTCTCGAGTCAAGCCCAGAGTTGTCAGTTGCAGAGTCCGCGAGCTTTCTCATCCGTGCGTCTGTTACCTCCAACTTTTCAGCAGCACTGGAGACGTCCTGGTTCGTTGCCACCTTGGTCCCTGTGGCATCAGTGCTGGTAGCCTCTCCTTGACTTACGTTAGCCGTCAGCCGCGCCACTTCTTCACTACTTAACCCGAGAGAGCGATTGAGTAGATTACTGGCGATACCAGCACTCAGGCTTGACCACAGTCCACTGACGCTCTGGCCAACTTTGGCTCCAATTCCTGTCAATCCCTGCGGTGCAACATTGCCAAAGATCCCTCTCTTCGTGTAAGGTAGCAACTGGGGCTTCAGTACCGACATAGAGGGTGATATCAGAGGTTCTAGGCGGTAACTAATAGGGTCTGAAGGATGGAAGATGTTGAAAATCTGCTGAACCTTTGGTGATGCGACAGACGTAGGAAGACCAGTTACCGAGGAAATCTGCTCTGTCCCTGAAGGAAGGGGTGTAGGGCGCAGAATATCATCTGAAGTGCTTTCCCCCCCTGTAGCGTTGACTTTCCCTGCTGAAATATGATGTCTCGCTGCTATTGTCCTGGAAGCATATTAGCTTGTGGATTTCTCTATATAAAGTGCGGTAAGACGTACTGCCCCTTGAGCATTTGAAAGAGGCCTATCGGAGAACCGATACAAAAGAAGTCATCAACCTTAAATTCTAGGGTGAGATCGGAGTCTTTGCTGGGCGTTTCGGGACTATTCTGAGCGGGCCATAGCCTCATAATTGATCTCAAGCCGGGGACTTGGTCCCGTCTCTGTTGGCAAAGCAGATCGAAAAGGATAGCCGAACCTAAAGAGTGACCCATCAGATGCACTTTCCCCCGAAAGTCCGGGTTCCGTTCTCTGAACAGTTTGAAAATTCTGTTGCATTCGTTGAGAACAATCTTCGAAATCTGAGCTCGGTACGAACTTTGATACAGTAAAACATCCAACGCAAGATCTGAAATCAGAGAACGGGCGAAAGCCACACCTTCAATAGTGATATCCTCTAAAGATGGGTCTGACGAGTCGTTCATGTCAGCTTCATGTCAGTCAACAAGTATGGGAACATGCACTTACACTCGTCCTCGTCGCCGTCTAGATCCCCCAGATCACGCTCGCCTTTCTTCTCGCGCTTCTTGGGAAAGTCTAACAAGTGTCTCCAACACACGGGGAGCACCTGCACTCTGCTATTACCCGGTCCTGCTCCCAGCTCTGAGTTCAATGCCTTCAAGTCTGCCGAGTTGGCATAAACGGACTTGATTGTTTTGCGGAGGACGTTAACATCATGGACAAAGTTGACACTCTCCATTCTAAGACGGTCAGTCACATAACTATCAGGGCACTCCTTAGTCAAGCCTTACCGTAAGCTGAGAAGCTGGCCTATGCCGTGGGTGACAAGCACCAGGTGCTCTATTTCACGTCCTTGAGTCTCACCGGCCTGCGCGTTGTAGTCGTCTTGAATTTCTTGTTCTTGCCGCCGGCGTATTTCTTCTTCCTTTTCAGCCTTAGTCTTACTTTCGCTTTCAAGAAGAGAAGATAGCTGTCGCTGGAGCGTTGATTGCCGAGGGTCTCGACTTGGGTTGTTCACGCCTTCTTGAATCGGTTCTTCCTGTGAGGCTCGAGCCGAAGGCGGTGCGGATCTTCGCTTCAACAGCTTTTGTTGTTTTTCATCGAGTGGCAACACATCCTCGCCATTTTCAGGCTTATTTTCGTCCCTTTTTTCCTTTTCTGCGTCTTTTTCTTTGCTCTTAGAAGGCTCAGAGTAACCGCGAACCAGTTTCACTCCACTCATATAACTCCCGCCAGAGAATCTCTGGTACATAGAGGAAGCCACCCACGAAAGCATGCCCTCTGTATTCAGATAAGCAGTATTTGTATCATGATAAGTGGCCATACTGTTCATATGTGTTCCAAACAAGCGGTACGACTGAGGTTCACTCTGACCACGGGAAGGTGGTTCTGTTGGTGAAGCATCACCAACTTGCGGTGCGGCGGTGTTCTCTACTGGTCCCTTGAGTGCTGACCTTAGGTTCTCTTGTGACGCCTTTGGCGTCATGTTTCGTCTCGTACCCGATGGACTACGATCCCTTGCTGTACAATGATTTAGCTGGATAAGCGAATCGAGTTCTGTTTGTCTTACTGGGATATAACCATGGCTTCATCTTAAGATAACCCTGGACAATAGGTCGAGTTAAATGAGAGTTTGAATGCCTGTCTCTTGGTACTGACCTCCTCAAGCTGGGCAGCAAGATTCTCCTCGCAAGGGCGCAAGTTCGAGCCTTCTTGATAGAACCATGTTCCGCGTCGAACTAATAATGATCAGAAACGGGGAGAGGTAGATGACGCCGCAACATACCACTATAAACTGGCCCAAGCCAATAGACAGGGGCCAGTTCGCGGGATTCAATATCCACGTCAAACAGAAAGTCCTCGTTCACCGGGACACGGATGCCAGTCGAATGTGAACACAAGATTCCGGCAGCCTGATCCGAGATATCATCAGTGGTGTCGCCTGTAACTTCTGCCTTACGCTTTCTTGTGGCTGCGTGTGTGCTTCTGGGGGCTTGGCTTCGAGTACTTTCCGTTTTCTCGAGCAGCTTCTGATACTCAGCTTCAAGAGCCCTGGAGTCCGAGGTCGAAAATGCATTATATTTCTTGGGCGTCGTAGAAACCTGCTCAGGTTCCGTCGAACGACTTAGTTTGGGCTTTCGCTTAGGGACATCCACGGCGTGAAACCACTGAACCTTCAGTGGAGGGCATCCTGAAGGATATGTCCGGAGACTCTGGCCATATAGGTGAGTTGTGCTATGGTCATCTGGATTCGCAGGCGCCGCGGTCAGAAGACTGTCCGGTTCTGCTTTGGGCTTTTGAGTCGGAGTTGTACTGCGACTGGTGGCCCAAGGGTTAATGGAATCAACTGCAGAACTCAAGTACGACCTCTCAGTCTTTTTTTCAGCAGCCACTGGGGCCATCGTTTTACTGAATCTTCTTGGCCATACACTTGGGCCTTTTTTGCAGAAGATCAACAGCGCAGACCGTCTCAGAAAGAGTGAAGAGGTAATTGTGCGTGTTTAGAGCTATAGTAACGCTAGAGCGACACGAATCTCACCGTTGTCCCTAGAGTCAGAACTCGGTTTAATAGTCAACGTTATCAGCCCTAGTAAAGGTATGTGATTTAGTTTAACAGAGCGTTTTGAATCGAAGGCACAACAGGAAAGTTTGAGGTTTCCAAGAAATATGACAAAAGAGATCACCAAGCATCAAGAGGCATCGAGAAGTTGAGAGTTAATAAGGATTGCATGTTTCATGTGAAAGTCCATATGACGTCCCAGGGCTCCAATGACCACACTAGGTACGTTAGTGCGGTAATTGTTAGCCTAGCCGCTTTTAGCACTTGTAACTTACCCGGTACGATATATCATCGCCTGATCTAGGTATACTATAGATACAGCTTCATTTCCATGGTTCACTTCCTACCCTCCTCACATTTCTTTTCAAACAAAGTCATTTGGCACTGAAAGGGACATTGGTAAGAATAGATAAATTGTTCAAAATAATTGAATAGATAATCGCCACTGCGTTGCAGCTCATGCTCTTGTAACCCATTCTTTACCTCTTGTTTTCCTTCCTCAACGCCGTGCCCTTGATTTAAGGCTTTTGCCTCATCCACACCTAAGATCATACTCCTTCACATTAAATTCAGGTATATGAAGTTATCACTCCGACTTACAACGACAGCAGACCTGTCTGTAGAATCGACCCCCACTGGCCCTGCTGCTGCTGAGCAATATCTGCTGCTGTCCTGCCATGGCTGTCTCGTAAACCACGAATGTCCTTTTCGCTGCTTACCGATAACCGGCCAACATCTAGAGCTTCGGCCACAGAGCGGGCGTTTACGGGAAAAGAGGAGGCCGGGATCGTTGAACATAGCCAAAGCAGAAGCCAGAGGGTCTCCTCTTGTTTGCACTCAATGGCCAGGTGAAGCCCACTCTTCATATCTGCAAGGGGATCTTGATATGTCACAAAGGATGCCATATCCTTGATGTCATCGCTGGCATCCCGAAGCAGTTCAACAATACCTCCAATGTCACCCTCTGCACACATCACATGTAGCGCACGAGCCGGGCGTGCTTCAGGGTGACTCTCAAGATATGCTTCCTCTGTAATTGACGGCAGAATGTCTAGTCCTTCTTGGACACCACCCTCGTTTGTATATGTTGTGATAATCGCCGCGCCCGGTGGTGCAGAGAGAAATGGGTTGGTCACAGAAGGTCCCGCGTTATTGATAGGAAGGAGGGCGCTGCAGCTGGGACACTTAAGAGACAGGGCTATGTCAGTAGATTGATCCAACAAGCATTGCCTAACAATATTCAGTTTACATTCCGGGCGGCGGTGAAGAAAGAGACGTCAAATGAACTCACCAATGGAAGTGGCAACCGCAGGACAATTCGAGATCGTCAGGGACCAGTGAATTCGAGGCAGTATTGGGACCAGCGGTACCGGAAGCCTCGATTTCATCATCGTCTATTTCCAACACCAACGCCTCCTGGCAAACCTTGCAAAGCGACATGTCGACAGTACCAAAGCAGCAAGGGTACTTGTGGGAATTCTAAAACCCTGAAAGATGCGCGATTCGAGGTGGCTGAGGCAGGCAGATAGATATAAATGAACGAGACTGCGAGGTCTAGTAGGGGCACAGATAACTTTTGCTGTGCTTTTTTCTCTTCTCCACCTCCATTTCTGCACAATACTATAGCCTACCTCCCACCTCTATTAGTTGGTAGGTACTTAGTAGACGCTGCCAAGTCAAGTGGGGCACGACGTAGGTACATCAGTACGTACCTGGCAGAGGAGACCCTGGTATGGGGGACAGAAAAAAAGCTGCACTGCCATCTTGCAAGCGCCTACTCATTACATCATTGCTGATACAGGCCTCCAGGATGCTCTCGGCAGGGAAGCTCCCCGCAGTGACGTGGCAAGCAAGTACTGTGGCGCAAGCAGATAGGTACATCAACCACAGTCTCGCCCGCCTGAAATACCCAAGTTGTCGTTAAAGGTACTTGATCGACCGCCTTGTCTAGGTACTGCTCAATCTGGAAAAGGTGCTTCCAAAGCCTCCCCACTCATGCTATGGGTGCCGCCTGAAGACCGACCGTTCGTCTCCTTTCAGGTGCCCAATTCTCGCATCATCTCCTTCAACTCGCAACAGTGATCGGCCTCTCGTTGCGCAATAGGTCGTTTCTCTATTTTCCTAATTGCTTCGCGATCCCTTGGCCTGGCAGTCTCTTTCTGTAAAAGCGCCCGACGCGAGCGCCCCTCATTCCCCCGCCATGAACGTTTTGAAGCTTCAGAGGTCGGTTGCGCCGGATCTTGCGGGATACATTGCTCAACTAACAGTGAGGCAATAGGAAGTTTCCTCAATTCCAACAAAACGAGATATTCACCTTGTCCGATGCCTTCCAGCGACTTGATGTTGACGACAAGGGATACCTTGACGAAGCTACCGCCATCAAGGCCACGCAACAGAGCGAGAACCAGCCCTACGATGTCGTACGCCAAGCGCTAAAGGAAGTCGAGCTCGATTCATCACGACGTGTTGAGCTGGAAGATTATGTCAGCGTGCGTATTCGCGCTAAACTGCCCAACTTCGTGATTGACACTGACTCTCTTGCTACTAGCTCGTTGCCAAGCTCCGCGATTCCTCACCTGCTCAAAAGCGCATGTCCACAGGGCCTACTTCATCCTCAGGGAGTGGAGGAGGCGTCGTTGCACAGCGAACCGGTGGTCATGCCTCCAAAGGCAGCTTAAGCGGCAAGATCCAGGTCCAAGGCTCCAATGCCAACATTACTCACACTATCAATGAGGATGAGCGCACTGAGTTCACCCGCCACATCAATGCTGTTCTGGCTGGTGATGCCGATATCGACAGTCGTCTGCCCTTCCCCACAGATACGTTCGAAATGTTCGACGAATGCAAGGATGGTCTGGTCCTGGCCAAACTGATCAACGATAGCGTTCCCGACACCATCGACGAACGTGTTCTTAACATACCTGGCAGGAAAATCAAGAACCTCAATGCGTTCCACATGAGCGAGAACAACAACATTGTTATCGAATCTGCCAAAGGCATAGGCTGCTCCGTCGTCAACATTGGTGCGGGTGACATCATTGAGGTCAGAGAGCATCTTATCCTGGGTCTGATTTGGCAGATTATTCGACGAGGACTTCTGGGCAAGATCGATATTAAGCTCCACCCTGAGCTTTACCGACTGCTTGACGAGGACGAAACCCTTGAGCAGTTCCTCAGACTACCTCCGGAGCAAATTCTCCTTCGCTGGTTCAACTACCATCTGAAAGCTGCTAATTGGTCTCGCACGTAAGTTCGCGCCTTTTGTTCATGTTTTTCTTCTTTTTGCCAAACTGACTATTCCCAGTGTCAACAACTTCTCTTCAGATGTCAAGGATGGCGAAAATTATGCGGTTCTGCTTGCCCAAATCGGTCCTGAATATGGCGTTACCCGTGCGCCTTTGCAGAAGCAAGACCTACATGATCGGGCCGAGGCTGTCCTCCAAGAAGCGGACAAGCTCGGCTGCCGCAAGTTCTTGACGCCAAAGTCCCTTGTTGCAGGAAATCCAAAGCTTAACTTGGCTTTCGTGGCCAACCTCTTTAACAACCATCCCGCTCTTGACCCTATTACAGAGGAGGAGAAACTTGAAGTCGAGGACTTCGATGCGGAGGGAGAGCGTGAGGCTCGAGTTTTCACTTTGTGGCTCAACAGCTTGGATGTCCAGCCTGCAGTTGTATCTTTCTTCGATGATCTTCGGGACGGCGGTATCCTCCTTCAGGCTTATGAGAAGGTTATCCCTAACTCTGTCAACCCTCGTCACGTCAACAAACGTCCAGCTCACGGTGGGGAGATGTCAAGATTCAAGGCTGTTGAGAATACCAACTATGCGATTGAACTAGGCAAACAGAATGGCTTCTCGCTTGTCGGTATTCAGGGAGCCGACATCACTGATGGGCAGAGGACTTTGACTCTTGGTCTTGTGTGGCAGCTTATGCGTAAGAATATTACAGTTACCCTATCGTCACTGGCTCAGAAGCTGGGTAAGAGGGAAATTACCGACGCCGAGATGGTGCGATGGGCAAACGATATGTCGCAGAAGGGCGGCAGGAACTCTGCCATTCGGTCTTTGAAGGACCCTTCAATTGGCTCGGGTATCTTCCTTCTGGATGTCTTGAACGGAATGAAGAGCAGTTACGTCGATTACGACCTTGTGACAGCTGGTCAGACCGATGAGGACGCTTACTTGAATGCCAAGCTAAGCATCAGCATCGCTCGAAAGCTTGGTGCAACCATCTGGCTAGTCCCCGAAGATATCTGCCAAGTCCGCAGCCGTCTGATTACTACATTCATTGGTAAGCAATTCCTACGTTTCATATTTGTATTCAACCCAATTTGCTAACTTGATCGATAGGTTCCCTTATGGCTACCCATGAAAGAATGTAGATAGTCTGGAACATGTTTGGCGATAGTGCGTTCCGGAGATGCTGTTTTCACATGCTGGAATACTTATATAGTTTTATAAAAGCTCTTGTTCCATTCATCTTACTCCTGCCATCGGAGCCTGTCTCGTCCTCAATGCCAAGGAAAGCCCCGGCTGTGTGGTCTCATTAGGCCAACTTGTATACTACTTCACAACGTCATGAACCATCCGTGGTGGTATTGTATGCTCAGTGGTCTGCAAATACAGCGTTAACTCTGGTTTGTTCATGCTTGGGCCTATCCTAAGACGTAGGTTCCCCCGTCACCAAAGCATGATCCGTCAGATTAGTTCATAGGATTAAATACAGACTGCACAAAAGGCTCGGTCCCGTGAAGATACCCAACCAGAATATCAGGTTTCCCAATGTTTTACGCCCCCGCAGCCATTTGGTGCGACTCAATCTCACCAGCTTCAATACAGGCTGTCAGTAACCAAGCCGGTGAGCCAATCAAGAAACTTACCGGTAGTTGACACATTTGGAGGAATAGTAGATAGCCTCTCAATTTTTTAAATAAACACCACATGACCAACTCATGAATGCAAGCTGAGAGAAAGAATGTGATGAGGGTGGCCGTGTGTTTGTTGACCTTCAAGGATGAAATAGAGCTATGGTAGACATGTCGTAACAAAAAGACGTGTACTGGTCGGTTCCAGTCACGGGCGAATTGATCCCAGGAGACTGATGAGCAAATATTTATCAGTTCACGTAACTTCAGCGTGCAAATGGTGTCCGACTTACCACTGTTCCACCATGCGTCATAAAAACTACGATCGGCAAAGTATGTCAACTCGGCTAAGATGTTAAGGATAGTCTCCCATATGAGATACCAGACAAGCTGACGATTAGCATATTCCTTCCGATTTGAAGGAGGTTCTCGCTTACCAAATATTCCATCATGAAGGGGAAGATGAGGTCAAGAAGTAATCCCGGGAACTCCTGAAGTCTCTCAACAAGCGGAACATCATTGTTCTTCATTTCAACTGTTTTCATGACCATGGGATCTGCCGTTTTCTGTTAAAAATGTAACTGATAGGTTCTCAGTGGAAATTAACTTACATATAGAGTACTGCGAGACTTGTACCATGACAAACAATATGCCGACCATTGCTACAGATTTCTCCAATACATATGACCAGTCGATGGAGTCCGATCGTGGATATTCTATCTCGTAGACCAACGTTGGCAAAGGGATCCATTTGTAATGGTCAATGAAAGACAGATTGTTCGGATATGCTTTGTTGGCGGTAAGAGCGGTACCCTTGAGTTCATCTGACATTGCATCAATCTCCCATTTCATGATGCGCTCAAATAAAGCGATTTTTTGGTCGTCCAGAGGTTCATGTGAAGCAATTGCTCGTGAAATCTTCTCAATATCGCTCTCTTCTTGTTCTGGCTGCGCTGAGATGGACTTTCGACGCTCTTCAGCGGAAGGAACAACGCTTAGGTGGTGGGTTGAGATAGCGGATGCAGGGGGTTCAGTCTGAGAAGGGGTCATTGCTGGATCAACGAGGTCGAGTTGTTTCAGCTTTTTCGTGATGGCAGCGCGTTGCTTGTAGACTGTAGAGAGATGGCCATTATAGAAGGCATACGAATGTTGTTTCATCAACATAACAATGCCATGCAAAACGAAAAACACGGTATGAGTCCACGGCCAGTCACGCCACAGAGTCAAGCCAATAACTCCGGCCAGAAAGGTTGTTTGCCAAATCTAAAGAGAGTTGATTAGCCCAAGACCTGATGATTCGGGATATATCTGCCACCTACATGCTGAAGCAGCCATCCTGCGCCATCCCAGTTGAGGTAGTTGGCAGATACAAACCATTGGTTCAACCAAGTGACTGCTGTAAGGGCACACATGATACCGTCTGATAGAAGTAGAACGACCACTTCGATCCAGTCAGTCTTATAGATCTGAGCAGATACGAGACAAGAGGGGAGTCATACCATCCCGATGGAACATGGTCTTCATGATATCGCTAGTTCCCAAAGGGTTTCCGTAAGCTTGCCAGTTACGGATGGAAATCTTCAAGACGAAAAGAGACACGGCAAGCCAGAACAACGTGTAGAAGCCATGGAACGGGCTGTTGGATGCTGACGGGTTGTGGCGGTCAAAGGCAGAGAACTGGCGAGTGAAAACTAAATCAGCAAACTTGCGTCGTCGGATCTTTGGGCCAGAAGGTTCTTCAGACCACTGCGAGCTGGTCATGAGTAATTGCTGGAGGCTGTTGTCCTCATCTGAGACGATAAAGACGCCTGAGTCACGGTGGCTAAAACGTGACTCGGGTTCTGCAGTTTTTGGGGATGCTGATAATGTTTCCGGCAGTAGATGATCACGACTGCCATACGGGTAACGATTCCTGACAGTGGATGGCTCTGTCAAAGTTGGGCGGACGTTTTCTTCGTAGTCCTCCTCACTAGGAGTCTCGGAGACAGGCGTATCAAGCGTTGTACCGACAGACCGCAGAGCTTCGCCGAGCGATCTCGGCATTGGCCGTCGAGTTTCCGACGCCGCATATCCGGAGCTCCGGTCGGAATGTGGAGAACCCACCGGAGCCACTGAGGAAGTCATGGTTTTGGCAGTAGAGGGTGTAGGTTATTTAGCGATAGCCACAAAATTCTATGAAGAAATCAAGCAAAGGAGGCTTTCTTCTTCAGAAGTATGGAACAGATGGTATGACAAGCGATTGATGCTCCAAAAAATGTAGGCAGAAAAGGTTGAAGTTCCCATATCATTACCGTAGTAAGCGGCAAGGCCTTTTTAAGAACAATCCAAAAGACAACAAACATGGATAATGAACTTCATGTCTGAACGGATGCAGCGGCTTACGATCCAACAGTGCCAGCTGTAGTTACAACTGTACCTGCTGATGAGTCCGAAGTTGCCGTGCGACAAAGGGAAAAGACTTACCTACTAACCTAGGTACCTACTAAGTTAATTGCCTGGGTACGAATAACAAATATGCTTGCTTTGCCCAGGCGTTTAGTTCCGGGAAGTTCGATCAGACGTCATTCTGTCGGCCTTCGGGCAGGTCCTCGCCCTCCGCACTTATTGAAAGTACCCAACTCACACACAGTCGGGAGGCTCGGACTGGACCATTGAACGCCGGGTATAGTAAAGTCCGCCCTTCCTCCTCAATCAGACACTGGTGAAGAAGGTACCAACCGTTTTGAACATGGCTAGTATGTGCTACAACTTCTTCGATTGAGGTCTAATTCAAGACGACACGATGTTGTGAAAATAATTTTTTATCACTCTGCCTAGGTAGGTATGTTATGAAGACCAAGCCAGACGAGTAAATATAAGGCAAGTAAGTTATGATGACCTCATATACTGTTGCACTCTTCTACACTACAATTACATGGGTTTTCCCTGAAACGGGCTGCGCGCTTGCCAGTCGACCTTGTTCGGCCCCGAGGCCGATTACATTCTGAACGAGCATAAGAAGATCCCGATCATTTGAACTATCGAGTCAATCCATTCACATTGAATGAGTATCTATAGACACTTAGACTAACAAAACAACGCAGCACTACTAATGTATATACGTCTAGTAGTCCCATAGAGGAAAAAAAGCTCCATCACCTTGTAAGTGTAACGCGTTTTGATTGGGTGCGCAAGTTGATCGTATTATGTCAGCGACGCCGCTAAATTTTCCGCACCTGCCAACACTCGTGACTGCATTGCATCGTATCGTACAACCTCGAAAGGTAGTCAAAGGTTACACCATCATCAATCGGTTTCCATCGATTCCTATCCTCTCAGCACACTTTTAAAACTGCTCCATCGGTTTCTCTTGTTATAATCTTCTAGAAGCACGTCTTTCGCAACACGACAATGTCTCGCGGCGGCACCACCCTTTACGTGACCGGCTTCAGCCACGGTACCCGCGCTCGCGACCTCGCCTACGAGTTCGAACGGTATGTCAACCTCGCCCACGCTCACGCCCACGCTCTCGTCCACGTCCGCGTCCTATCGTTTTCGCGCTCGCCTTCGTCTGTGTCTGTGCCATAGCCTAGGGACTCTTTCGATGCAATGCAAAGGTCTCCTGCTTGGCCATGATGCCTCGCCGTCCATCGTCGTCCTTACGTCCTCGTCCTCCCGTTTCCGTTCTCGCTCGCGCCCACGCCCCAGCACTCTCTCCTCCCCTGTCTTTCCACTTTCTTCGATGGGACTGCTCGTCTATCGCGCAGTCGCTCTTCTGCTCGAGCAAACGCATGAATGCCGTGCGCATTCGTATCCAAAGGGGGGCTTCTGTCGGCATTTTGCTGCGTTACAACGTGCTTCATAGTATACTGACCAATCCTTCAATAGCTATGGCCGACTGGTTCGCTGTGACATTCCTGCACCCAGGTCTACGTCCAGCCGTCTGTGAGTGTGATCGACTATGATTACTTGCGACTGAGCTGACATGGACAACAGCTTCGCCTTTGTTGAGTATGAGGACCGACGTGATGCTGATGATGCTTATCATGAGATGCACAACAAACGTATTGGTCGTGATGACATTCTAAAGATCGAGGTTCGTCATTCAACTCTGCCCATTAACAATGCATAGCATCTAGAAATGCTTGCTAACTTGTCTTCCAGTGGGCTCGCACTCCTCCTTCTGCATCTTGGCGCTTCGAGTCAGGCCGCGATCGTGATCGGCGTGGTGGGGCCCGCTCTCCTAGACGTGGACGTTCTCCTTCTCCTCGTCGCAGCACTCGTGATTATTCTCCTCGCAAGGACGACCGCAGGGACCGTGACCGAGACTATGATCGCGAGAGCCGACGTGACAGGGATCGCTCCCGCAGTCCTGACCACCGGTAAGTTCGTCTGTTGCCTTGTCTGTTGCTCGTACTAACATTGTCACCGCAGGGACCGTGAGCGGGACTCTAAGGATGATCGCGAGGACCGTGACCGCCGAGAGAACGGCACCAACGGTGATGACCGAAAGCGTACGTCTTGTAACCCTGTTTTGGTTGGTTTTTGCTCACAATAGTCACAGCTCTCGACAGTCCTCCCCCTGCTAACGAGGATCTCGACGTCGCCGAGTGAGCGTTTCACACGCAGTGCTAAAAGCGCTCGCAATGTTGTCTGGGCTTGTCAAGCTCAAGCAAAAGTTTCTGGCTTTCTAGCCGAGGCTGGCTTCATTCCCTGCTAGGACAGGTGCAATGTGTAATATTGTTTGAATAACCCAACTAAATGGCAACGTATAAGAATCTACGGACGCCATGTTGAGTTGGGTGGGTTATCCCGTTTTCTGAGACTGCAGGCTTTTGCCACGGCGCGTTTTGTTTGGAGGCTTCTCATTTCGTAGTTAGTTTAGATTGTTCTGTACCATGATTCGACGCAACGGGTCAATGATCTGTTTTCCTCGCTTCCAACTCCTCGTTGTCAGCTGAATATATGTATAGCCACGACGTTGTGTAACACAAAGTTGTGACTTGTTCCATGTATGCGATGGCGCTTCAGTGAATGATTTACCCTCCAAGGTCTGATTTTTCTTGTTACAGCCCCTTTCCCCTGGGCTTGACCAGAATGAGTTGAACGATGACCGTGTTGTAGTAGTAAGTCATAGTAGCTGAAATGTACCTCCCCTTGATTATGCCAGCCCGAGCCATCAGAAATCTCGACCTTCAGAGTTTAAAGTCTTGTAATAAAATAACTGCAGGGATACTGAAAATTGAAGGCCTGCGTTGGGCTATCTTTGTATGAATGTAATCTCATAGAGGCTGACTACTTTCGCTTTGGTTTGAGCCACAAAATAATACAAGAATTCAAGTTTGTCCCGTTTCGTCTCTGGATTACCCTGTAGCTGTTGCTTTGGCTGTCAAGTACTATACCCACAATTCTAAACCTTTCAGGTCCTACTATTGCTTCTCCCGAACGGCAACCGGGGCACCACGCGTGCGCCCCCGAAGTCATCCGCATCGCCGGCTCACGCGCCCCCATCCGCTCGTTGACGGCACCGATCCCGTATCCCGTCTGTCGAACATACTTCTCTCACTACAATCCAACCACATATATATACATATATACAATACTTGTCGAGCTGTCGATCGCTGCCCGGTTCGCCAATAACCCGCCTCCACGCCTTGCTGTGTATTGGTCTCAGCGCATACGTTTCTTCCTTCTTCTCCGATGGTTACCGACAGCTTATATTTGATTCGACCTCTCAGCATGCCATTACTATCTTTCAATCGACAGTAACAATTGGAAATATCATTCCATCAGAGATCTCAACGGCCCAATCTCGCACTCCCAAGCCCCGAAAGCTGCCTACCATTGTCGCAATCCACAGCTAGAACATATCGACCACTACCACCACAAATAACACAGCGCTTCAAACAGAGACGAAGCCTTGGTTTGAAGGCAAATACAACATCGCACCGCACAGCGTAATATATCAATACACTACGATGTCTACTGTACGTGAGACATGCGCCAATGCCTCTTCAAGACAATTGGTACACGGTTACTGTTCTATAGAAGCGTCGCTAATCAGGCAGTTTAGTCACAGCCTGACTTGGTGGATTCGGCAGCACCCGTGGCCTCTGACAGATCTATACAGTTTCGAGAATCCATTTCCCAGCCAGTTGTCGCCGCATTTTGCGCTGGAGGTGTCGCCGGTGCCGTGTCCCGAACGGTCGTATCCCCTTTAGAACGACTCAAGATTCTTATGCAGGTGCAAAGCGTCGGAAGAGATGCGTACAAGCTGTCGGTTGGAAAAGCTTTGGTCAAGATGTGGAAGGAAGAAGGCTGGAGAGGGTTCATGCGAGGCAATGGCACCAATTGTATTCGCATTGTTCCTTACTCTGCTGTTCAATTCAGCAGCTACAACTTTTACAAGCGGGTGTGTGATGATTGAATAACCGGCTTGAGCTCATGCTTCAGAGGCTAACAGGGCCGCAGAGTATATTTGAAAGTTATCCAGGAGCTGATCTATCACCACTCACTCGCCTTGTCTGTGGTGGCATTGCGGGCATAACGTCCGTTTTTCTTACGTACCCTCTTGATATTGTTCGAACACGACTATCTATCCAGTCTGCAAGTTTCGCCGAGCTGGGCGCCAAACCAGAAAAGTTGCCTGGCATGTGGACTACTTTGATCCAAATGTACAAAACCGAGGGCGGTATGTCTGCATTGTATCGAGGCATTGTCCCTACTGTTGCTGGCGTAGCACCATACGTAAGTCCCATTACCAATGCTCGACCGGCGTCTTGAATACTGATAAGAAATCTACTCAGGTCGGCCTCAACTTTATGGTTTATGAATCTGTTCGTACATATCTGACGCCGGAGGGAGAACAAAATCCCAGCGCAACGCGGAAACTGCTTGCTGGTGCTATTTCTGGAGCCGTAGCACAAACTTGCACATACCCCTTGTAAGTAGCCCCCTTGTCCATCGCCACGTATGAGGATCACCACTCACATGGTATGCAGCGATGTTCTGCGGCGGCGATTCCAGATCAACACAATGTCAGGCATGGGTTACCAGTACAAGGGCATTACGGACGCGATTCGAGTTATTGTCATGCAAGAGGGAATCAAGGGCCTTTACAAGGGAATCGTGCCTAATCTTTTGAAAGTCGCCCCCAGCATGGCATCGAGCTGGCTAAGTTTCGAGATGACGCGTGATTTCCTAGTCGATCTCAGGCCTGACCCTGAGCCTCAATCATTATGATTTTAAATCTATTTGTCAAGATAGTCCGTATGACCATTCGGATTTCTGAAGCATAGATTGTTTGGCAGCAGGGGAAGGAATAGTGGAATTAAGAATGGTGCGGTTATGGGAGACATCGGTAGATTTGTACATTCATGGGATAATTGGAACAGTAACAAAACACATGGGGCAAGAGCTACTGTACGTATTTGGTGTATGCATAGAGGATTAGGCATTATAGGGAAGAATCGGTACCTAGTTGGATACTATAAGGACATTTGACTGAATAGACAAAAAATTGGCTATGAAAGCATAAACACAGTTGCTAGCGTGTGACGGCCTTGATAACGCATTGTACCGAGATCTTCAACGTATGTTAGTCACAGTTGGATGTGCCTCGGGGTATCAGTAACTGGCTGTAGGAAGCATAACAGACGGAATTAGTAGGACCACCAGACTCGGATCGTTCATTTTTGGCCCATGGAGCACACCTCGGTGAGTTCGGCGAGCAACTGAGGTGGGGTGACTAAGAAAACCCTAACTGCCGTCAATCACCGCCCTTCAAACGGCCACACCAATCTGGAACCCACCAGTGCAAAGGCTTCGAAAAGTGAAAGAAAGTGTTGTTCGACGCATCCACCTCCATACCCAGCATCGCCAAATTTCACAGCGACAACCGCCGCCATGGGTACGTGAAGATATTGAAGTTCAGCCTCTGTATGCGAGTAGAGGAGGTGTGCGCTTCTGTGCCTCCTTTTCTGCGACCAATGCACCATCTTGTTCGCGAAAGCGCAAGACAGAGTTGCTATTTTTTGAGCATGCTTGAACAAAAAGGCTGACGATGGCTTCACCCTACAGGTATCGATCTCGACCGCCACCACGTTAAGGGCACTCACCGCACTGCCCCCAAGAGCGACAATGTCTACCTCAAGCTCTTGGTGAAGCTTTACCGCTTCCTGGCTCGTATGTCCAACCCTCGTCAACGACTCCGTAAAGTTGAAAATGCAGACTAACCCGAATCACAATTTTACAGGCCGAACCGATGCCTCTTTCAACAAGGTTGTTCTTCGACGTCTGTTTACTTCCAAGATCAACCGACCTCCCGTCTCCTTGTCCCGTATTGTCGCCAACATCAACAAGGAGGGCGAGAAGCGAACCGTTGTTGTTGTCGGTACCATCACTGATGACAACCGTCTGCTCGAGTGCCCCAAGGTGACCGTCGCTGCTCTGCGATTCACCGCTACTGCCCGTGCCCGCATCCTCGCTGCTGGTGGTGAGGCTATCACCCTGGACCAGCTTGCTCTCCGTGCTCCTACCGGAAGCAACACCTTGATCCTCCGTGGCCCCAAGAACGCCCGTGAGGCTGTCAAGCATTTCGGCTTCGGTCCCCACAGCCACAAGGTAAGATCAGTCGTTACTTGCTCACAAACTACAACGTCTAACGCCCATTACAGAAGCCTTATGTCGAGTCCAAGGGTCGCAAGTTCGAGCGTGCCCGTGGCCGAAGACGTTCTCGTGGTTTCAAGGTCTAAGCGGTTTATGGTGAAAATTATTGGCCTTGGGTGGAGTTGGGGCCAGTTTATGGGGCAAATGATGCCGAACATCGGCTTGCAAATGGGTCTTGCATGGAATTGGCGTGCCTAGGTATCACAAAATTCTACAATGAACTTCTCGCGCATTGCTGCCGTCATGATGCCATTTTCCAATTGATCGAAAATCACTAGGTCAAAATTATATACATCGTGAGAAGATGAGTGCATTTCAACACAGCCTGGTCCCTGTTGGTGCACTTCTACACGCCGGCTCTAGCCTTGGCAGTCTCGTCCTGTGTGCCCGTCGATGATTGTATTGTAATATTAGGCTTCCTTCGCAACCCAATGAAGTATGCCTCGCGGCTTTCCTGTTGAAGGTATTAGTATATTTACGCGCCCTCGTATGGGTGTACCCAGCCAGATAGACTTGCCTTTCTTGAAGAACCCGGCTTTTCTCTAAATACTTTGCTGAAGAGCATCTTCAACTTCTTCTCAAAATCCTTATCCTCAGATCCCTGATAAAACTTGCAGACAAAGTGTCCACCAGATCTCAGTGTATCACTGGCAAATTGTAGCGCGGCGGCACAAAGATCCTAAGTCGATGAGTTTGGACGCTTTTCACAGTTGTAGAGCAAGAATATTCTCACCATACTCCCGGCATGGTCGCGAAAGGCGTTCCCGCTCGTGTTCATCAACCTATGATACGGGTTACTCAATGTGTTCACGTTAAAGCCAGTGGTTTGTTCCCAGGGTGCTGACATGTCACTAAGAACAACCTAGACAGGCATTAGCGTATAGGTTATACAGAGATAACTGAACGAACATCTACGATGCGCTTTTTTGACGCCTCTGATTCCAATAGCTGTACCTCATCCTGGGCAGCATGACGTTCCATGTCAAGATAACTCGGCCGATCAAGTGCAGTAGCCTCATCGGGACCAGACTGTTCGGTTTCACTATTATCTTGCAGGGGAGGTGGGCGTCGATGGCTTTCAAGAATGAAGTTTTTGACCATTTCCTGTACGTCTGGTGAAAGGAAATCGCCCTGGAAGGTTGCAACACCACGCGGCGGTTGGGCTGGGATAAGGTCGATACCAATGACCCGGCCATTGGGCCTGGTTCTTTCTACAGCGACCTTATATCATCAACGATCTGTAGAGCCAAGAGACATATGGACCTTACCTGTGACCAACTACCTGGTGCGTATCCCTGATAATGAGGTAAGTAAAGGAGCTAGCTCTTGGTACTGGGAATACCGAGTGTAAACCAAACTCACAAGATCGACCACTGTCTGTCCGCTTCCCTTGAAAAGTCTGTATTTCGAGTCCATCTAACGGAGATATTAGCCTACTCATGACTCTTGACATGTTACGGTAAGAAAGAAAAATGACAAACCTCGAGTAGCTTGAAAGCCGCCCGGCTTTTGAGTCCCTGGACCTTCGCACCACGAGCATAGGAATCACGACCCTGGCGCTGTTTCCAGCGAGATCCCGATGACGACCATCGGACAAAGGGTGCGATCGATTTCTGCAATGATAATATTGAGGAAAGAGGCCGGCATGTAAGGCATGGTGCCAATCGAGAGACCATTTTGAAGATTGTAGGTGGCAAGAATAATGATATTAGTAGCGACAAAACTTTTCACAACCCTGTGTTAGCTAGATAGGCTTTCTTTTGCAAGTGCCTAGCGGAGTCATCCATCGAGAATCACGGAATCGCAGAATCAACGCCAGCAACGCTGTCATAAATACAATAGACAATTCCGTAGCTCGTTCAATCACGAAATTCCTGAAGTGTTTGGGGGCACATAGAATGTGGAAGATATGAGATGATTATAGTTGAAGGTAGTTAAACTGTGCCCGACGGCCTTGCTAACCTATACTGCCACGCACGCTGGGGATGTACAAAGCCTCGACACACTTGGGATGAAACCCTGGTTAAAAACATACACTTTATCTTTTGCGCCTACCAAGAGGCAATGTCTTATTCCAGTTCAAAATCCTTGCGCCTATGCCAAACTCCCGACCCAATAGCACCGCTGATCCAGCCCAATGAACCAGTAAACGCCAGTAAACCACGCCTTCCCATGCCATATTTGTCCTGCTAGACGAACGAAACAACTGAACAGTCCTTTTCAATGGAGGAAACTAGCACCGACTCCTCTTCTATCCTTCTTCAAGGGAGAGAAGGTCGCCCCGGCAAATGCATTACGAGGGCCTCCCAATGGCGCTTTCGCCCTACGGCCAGCCCCCATCTGTATCTTCGCTGGATTTGGCGCTGGATCGGCTTCTTCATCATCATCAAACAGAGTCTTGTTGCTACCACCGAGCACCTTGCGCTTCTTCTTTCGCTCATCTGCGTCATCAGCACCATGCCTCGACAACGCCGCAGCAGGGTTAGACTTCAATAACCCAATCATCTTTTTGGGCCTTGCCTGAGGCTCAGCCCCTGTCTCACCAATCTCGACTTCCTCACTCACCGCGGCAAGCTTGCCGGGAGCCTTTGTTGACTTTGCCTTTTTCTTTGCCTGTACAGGCATGTTCTTCTTTGCTGTTGGTGCCTCATCGAGAGCCTTTCTTGGTCTACCCCGTCCCTTCTGAGCCTTCGGTTCTTCAATCTCTTCAGAACTAACATGGCCATCTGACTGGCCATCTGAACCAGAAGCTTCATCTAAAGCTTTAATGGAGAGTGAACCACCAGCTTCCACAACTTCATCCTCAACAGGTGCCACGGGCTCCGGGTCATCAGCAGTTTTACCCGTCGGTGAATGGACTTCACTTGGCTCGTCTGACAGGCTGTCGGATATATTCTTGCTGCGGTTCAAGAATGGCGTAATCGAGAAGGTCGATTTCTCACCTACTAATGCCTGTTCAGCGCCTCGCTTCTTGAACGGGCGCCGAAGAGTGTTTTCATCCGGTCCTGGCGTTCCGATGCTGATATCCTCCATGCTTATATCATGAGCTCGCCTCTTTCCGACCAGTTGTTCCTTTGTGACGGCATTCTTCTTGCTCAACTTATTGTTAGCCATCATCTTACGTGCTTCCTCTAGTTCGGCACGGCAAGATGTAAGCTCGGCCCGCGCATCCTTCAAGTCTGTCTGTGTCTTCTTCAACTTGCTTTTTGTGTCTTCCATGCGGTCTTCCAACATCTCGTATTCACCGCGGACTTCCCGTAGCTCTCTGCTATGTTCTTTGTTGAGTCTTTCCATTTCTTCCTTAGCTTCGTCGAACTGCTCCTTCCATTCATCGCTGTTTTGGTTTTTTGATTGCATGCGTTGGTTAGATCTTTTCTCATTTTCAAGCTCGACTTCGACCGAACTGAGTTGGCGTTCGAGATCCTGCTTCTGGGCGACAATTGCGCGATGATTTTCGAGTTGTGACTGGAGATGTTCGAGTTCGGGTTGAATCTGGTCAAGCTTACGGCTCAGGGCAAGTTTCTCCTGCAAGACCTTGTTTGAGTCTTGTCTAAATTCGTTTAACGAGTCGATCTCAGCCTGCTCTGCCGTTAACTAAATATCTGATGGGTTTCGCCGCCTGCCACTCACCTTGAGATCTTCCAATGCATTACTCTGTTTTCGGATTTGTGTATCCTGGGCTTTGAGCTTCGATTTGGATGTTTTGAGCTCGGCCTGTGTGTCGCTGCTTTGCTTGGAGAGTTTCTTCACGAGAGCATCTCTCTGAACCAGCCTATCCTTCAACGAAGCATTTTCATCGCGTAGTGTCAACAGTCGAAGTTTCAGTAAACGAGCTTCTTCGTCACGACCCGTCAATTCCATCTGGTTGACATTACTCTGGTGCTTCAGTTCGAGCTCGTTGATCCGAGCTACGCGCTGTGAGGTTGCAGTCAGTATTGTGTTAATGTCAAGCATGTTATAACGTGCATAGCTACCTCGCTGGACCTGACCTTCATTATCCTGAATGGAAAGTGCAGGTCAATTGTAATAATGGGGCTAAATGCGGCAGATAAGTCTGATGTTTGTGTATATGCAAAGCGTGTCTCATGCGAACGGTTTGAACAACGAAGTGGGATGAATTAACGGATATCAGAAGCAAGCCAAAGTCTGTGTTTTGGTAACTAAGCTATTCCCAGGCAATACCAATAAACAAGATGCTACATCTAGATTAGCGTAGATTCTGCTCAACGCTGCACGGACGCAGGCACGTGATGAATGAAAGACAAGAGGTCTTGCCCAATGACGCGTGAAACCACAGGCGGGCAGGCGCGACACATAAAAACCAGTACTGATTTAGTGGTTGATGGAAATATCAGATCAGCTTTAGTGGGTAGATAGCCTAAGAAAGCACTTACAATTTCGTCTAGTCGTTTTCCAGTCCCCTTTTTTTTGCAGCCCACCAATTTCCTGTCTATGAGAGCTTACTAAGGTCAGGCATTTAGGTACGTACCGCAGCTAGAATCAGAGGCCACCTCAGCTTCAGTTCATTAGCTCCAGCTTCTTGTGTACAAGGTGTAAGCAACAAGGTGAACTAGGTCAGTAGCTTCACTCTTCTTCTACAAAATACTTGGCCAATTGGCCTCTTCCTTTTCCTCTTTTCCTCATCTCCGAATTGTTCTTCTAACCGCCATGCGTTTCTTCCATTCGCTTCTCTCCTTTGCCTTGCTTGCGACAGGCGTTGTGGCTGCGAAGAAGTCCTCCGCCGAGCGATTCAACGAATTCCACGCCAAACAGATCTCGACGCCTCTCAAGCTCAAGGATTCCACCTACAAGTCCTTGACATCCACACCTCGAGACTACAGTGTTGCCGTACTCCTTACCGCTGCCGATGCGCGATTCTCTTGTCAGTTATGCCGAGAATTTCAGCCTGAATGGGAACTGCTAGGCAAGAGTTGGAACAAAGGCGACAAGGCAGCCGAATCGCGACTGGTTTTTGGCACACTAGATTTCGTTGACGGTAGAGATACCTTCATGTCGGTATGTACCCTTGGAAGACAGCAGTACAAAAAAACTGTGCAGCTCGGTTGCTGACTTGTATAACAGCTTGGTCTCTCAACTGCTCCTGTATTGCTTCTATTCCATCCTACGGTCGGTCCCCATGCATCAGCTAAGAAGGAACCCGATCGCTATGACTTCAACACTGGGTGAGTACCGCAATCTTGTAAACACAGGAATAGCAATGAACTGACATCATTCAGACCTGCATCCGCCGAACGAGTTCAGTCATGGCTCGCTCGTTCTCTTCCTGACCGACCTCACCCTAGCGTTAAGCGGCCTATCAACTACGCAGGTTGGGTAGTCTCCATCACTGCTGTAATTGGAGTCCTCACTGCGGTCATGGTTGCTTGGCCCTACCTCGCTCCAATTTTCCAAAGCCGTAATCTCTGGGCTGCTATCTCCCTTATGGTTATCCTGTTGTTCATCAGTGGTCATATGTTCAACCACATTCGCAAGGTTCCTTATGTTACTGGTGATGGGCGCGGTGGGATCAACTACATTGTCCCAGGTTTCCAGCAGCAACTTGGCTTAGAGACCCAGATTGTGGCGGCACTTTGTATGTTGTACCTTTTCCTTTTTAACTTTCTACTCATGCTAACCTCTATGTCCTAGATGGTGTTCTGTCATTCTGCGTCATCACTCTCGCCATCAAGGTTCCGCGAATCGCTGATGCCAAGACTCAGCAAGTCGCCGTCATCGGTTTTGGTGGTCTTCTCTTCCTCGTGTACAGCTTCTTGTTGAGCGTGTTCCGTGTCAAGAACGGCGGATATCCATTTTCTCTGCCACCTTTCATGTAGAGAGGCTTTAGAGCAGGGGCTAGCGATTGGAATAACGTGTGGATAACTCTTGTGCCGCACACCAGCGTCCACCCTATATTGCCATCATCAGGACGACGGTTTTAGGTCAAGGCGGACTGAGAAAACAAAAGCATAGTGCCAGATAGGGAGTCCTAGGAAAATGAAATGACCATGTGCCAAAAAGCTGGTCAACAGTATCTGGAACGCACTTATCTGGCAATTTTCATCAGTACGCACGCAAGCACTATGCCAATACTTCATCAAAGCATTTAAATTCTAATCAATGCTTGATTAAAAATGTGTTTAATGGCATATGATACATTATCTTTGTTGAAACCTAAGCCTGCGGTTGGCACAATGGTACTTCTTTCGTTGGTTAACGGTCACCGACCGCTTGTTCTTGATGCAATAAGGAGACACTTGTGTTATCCATATTGATCACAAAGGCACATTTTGACTGTACGACCGGCCGCATTACATGATAGCTTAGATAGGCACATACAGATACATTCACTGAAAGGAAGTCGTGACATATTTTGAAAACTCGAGTTCTTTATTGGAGAACAAAAGGATGAATCCCGGTAATTTCAGGGGCTGCCTATAACCAGCAAATGCGTTATGCCCTCGTCAGATTTGTAGTCGCCCCCCTTCCTTTGCATCAATAAAGACCAAACGAGGAAGCCAACCAATTGACGCCCCACCAATGATCTACCTTCTTCCGCTCGCCTTCGTCACCACGCCTCTTTTTTACAGGGTAGAGCAATTTATGCCCTCGACATGACACCCCAGGCACGGATGATGTTGTCAGTGTAACCAGCGAACAGGGTCTGGCCATCAGCAGACCAAGCCAAGCTGACACACTCAGGCTCCCGGCTCTTCTTGCCGACAGCGGGGAACTCGGGCTTGAGCTCATCAACCTTGCTCTTCTTCTCGAGGTCGAAGATGATGATGCTGCTGGCGGTGGCAGCGCACAACCAGTATCGGTTAGGGGAGAAGACAAGAGCGTGGATCTCGTCGTTGGCGTTGAGGGAGTAGAGGTGCTTGGACTCGTTAAGATCCCAGAGCATGGTGGTACCGTCCTTGCCACCAGAGGCGCACAGAGAACCGTCGGGGGAGATGGTGACGGTGTTGATGTAGCCGGTGTGACCAATGTGGTCAGTCTGGAGCTTGCAGGTAGAGAGCTCCCAAACCTATTCCATATGTCAGAACCTTATCAAATGCATAAATCTGGGCGTATATAGAAAGAATTGTGGCAAGTAAAGATCAGGGCAATGGTGAATAGTGGTCTCATGGCCTGCGTGAACAGGCTCTGAAGTAGCAAATACTTGGGTTGCAAACATCATGTAGAAAGCGGCAAGGAAAATATGGCTTGTTGTACTGACCTTGACAAGCTTGTCCCAACCAGCGGAAACGATGACAGGGTTCTGGGGGTTGGGGCTGAAGCGAACGCAAGAGGCCCACTCGGTGTGGCCCTTATCGGTGATGGTGTACTTGCAGTCACCGAGGGTGTTCCAGAGCTTGATGGTTCGGTCACGAGAACCGGAAACGATCTGGCGGTTGTCGGCAGAGAAGCTGACGGAGAGGACGTCGTTGGTGTGGCCGACGAATCGTCGAGTGGTGGTACCAGTAGCAAGCTCCCAAAGACGCAGAGTCTTGTCCCAAGAGGCAGACAGAGCGTAGGCACCGTCAGAAGAGATAACCTATTTCCAACAATCAGTCGAATTCTTCATTTCTTCTGCCCGCCGAAGCGCTGTTGTTCAAGGCGGGGCACCGGGTAGACGTACACAGTCGGAGACGATGTGAGAGTGGCCGTGGAGAGATCGCTTGGGGTAACCGTACTGGGTCTCATCGCGGGTGAGGTTCCAGATGATCAAGGTCTTGTCTCGGGAAGCAGACAGGAGCATGTTAGGGCTGTCGAACGGTTAGTTGGGTGTCTTGGATCAACTGCGTGTTTGCAATGCTGAACATACTTCTCCATGGAGGTAGCCAGGCTAGTGACCCAGCCATTCTGTGAACAGTCAGCCTTCAGTCTTTCCTTCCTCAAATATCATCTTCTTCCATGATGCCGACTCAGCATTTCTTTATGAAGCGGGTCGTAACCGGCGACAGTCGCGACACAGCAGTTGGCATCGATAGAAGCAGGGCTGATGGGGTTCGACGTACGTGGCCCTCGAGGGTTCCCTTCAAGATCAATTGTTCGGCCATTTTTGCGGTGACGAGGCGATGCAGAGGATCAAGGTGCGTGAAGGGGAAGAAAGAGAGAAATCAAAGGCTGCTCTGCAAAACCTAGGCCGAGTCGGATGGGAAGGCGGTTGCGAATCGTACCTGCCCTTTTTTTTGTGTGGGTTAAAAATTAGGGAAAGTTAGGGCCTTGAACTCCGCTTTCAAATTAGCGGGGGTGTGCGAGCGGCAGGCGAGGTACGTATTTATTTTCTCTGGCACTTGCTCTAGGGTGTGGTTTTTTTTTTTTTCCAGTTGCGTGGCGCTGTTGATCGTGGCACACATATGCCCCAATGTGGCTGATAAGATGAGCTCATTATGAGATATGATATTGAACTGGCTGCGATGCCGGTTAAATGTCCTAACAAAGCCTTGGAGCTAATACGCAGTCCTCAAGCTAATTGAAGGGAATATATGGCTTGATCACGGAGCAGAGTAAAATGTGCGGTAGACCAGACCAGACTGTTGTGGGAAGAAGAATGCTTCTTGATCGTTGTGTAGCTCGTCCTCGCATATTCTATTGATCGATGCAGCCTAAAGGTTGAAAATCAATGTCAGTGGTCTTCGTATGGGAGAAATGGGTAAACGCACATAATACGATTCAGTCACATTATATCAATAACCAAGTTGTTCCGTGCATGTGAGCAAGGAACCATGGCCTTGTTCTTTGTTCGATTCGTTCTTAGCCGCAAACTCTACATCAGTAACTGATTTGTCTCCATGTTTACCCTCGCAGGAAACATCAAATAAAAGAGAGGAGAAAAACAAAGCAAACCCCGAAACACCTGACGCCATCATCCAACCAGCACCATTATATGCATGTTGGGTATCATGTTGGTGATCTTGTTCATGTCTCCTTATGTCACCTTTTTGCTTGCTAAAGCGGTTGAACGTTTGCCAGCTCTTGGCACTTCCTTTCGCGCGAAAAGCGCTTCACCGTTGACAATCATGCTGTGGTCCGCAATCTCCATTTGATCAGTATTTTCCCCTCTGCCTTCAGTCGCCATGAACCGTTTCATTGTGGATTCCCAAAGCCGGAACCTCTCTTTCCCGTGCGTATCGCGTTCAACCAGGGTTTTGACTTCTTTCTGTTTTCGCATCTTGGATGCTCGTACGAGTCGTCTAAGAGCATCCTCCCCCTGCTGAGCTGTTCTTGCCGCCTCTTCGCGTATTTTCTTAGAATCACGAATGCTGGTGTCTTCTTGAGGAGTGAATTTATATGTGTGTTTGCTTGGAAAGTCGGGGAACGAAGTCGGGACATAGTCTTTCTCGTCCTTGTCGGGCTGACCACTGAGTTCCTCGCCCAGAAGTGGCAGTGTTGTGTATGCGTCAAGGTCTTCAGGCAAAACATCAACGTAGTCAGGAAACACTTGTGTTTTAGGAACAGGCGGCTTCAAGTGTGGTTTTAGTGATGAGACACTGACGTTGTGCCGTCGCAGCGCATGCTCGAAGTCAGTGGGTATAGGATGTTCGCGGCGAGCAGCCAAAGCGAGAGTTTTTGCAGCTTCAATCATGCCCTCCAAATCTGGTATATGTCAGTAACCCGGTCTTGGTTGCCCATAACCAAATCGTAACTCACAAGTCTCTACCATTCCCGTGAAGCTTTCCATTGCCTCGGGGCTTGCTCCTTCAAACCCATCATGATTGAGAACCATTGCGATAGAACGCTGAAGGCCTGTTCTAGCTTGGTAATGCGGGTTCGGTACCAAAGAAGCGATCGAACTAATCTCGTCATCGTCTAGTTGTATCACCCCGATTTCGGATTCGTCCAGTCGAGCGCGCTTTGGATCAGGCTGTTGCCCGTCGACGGGCGATAGACTTCGCTTGGGTGTCATTGCGACCGATTTCGCAGTCGGAGGTTTCGCGACGCGATGCAATGTCGAGGGAGGGCTCACTAATTGCCCATTGATAATCGTTGCTTTGAGAACCCTAGCGATAATGTGTTGATATCTGGTGGTGTTGCATACAACAGGTTAAGTATTAGATAAGTCGATAGTGAATTTGTCGTTTGTGAGGCTTAATGCACGTTCGCGATAGATGTTGTGTTTATGTATCAGTAAGAGCTTAAGCAAGGAGCTGCTAAGCTTCGCTGGTGGTGTCTGGAGAAACCCCGGCTTATTCGCTAATATTGGATGAGCCCCACTCGACTCAACTTCTCGTGCCTGAAACACTAACGCTCATAGCTACTATTCCATATACTGTCAGCACGGCCTACCTCGTAGGTAATACCGAGCTGGAATCCAGCTTCTAAAACTGGCACTAAATCAAAATAAACAATTCTAAATATATCCATGAAGAAGCTGACGGTTGGTCGTGAGGTTTGGGTCGTAATTAGTTTCCATCTTTTAAGTACCTACTAAGGCATGTTGGTAAATGCCGGCACTTGTACGGAGTAAAGTACCGCCGCCTTTCTTTCATTACAACCTGGAAAGCCTATTTCTGTGTAAAGAGGTGGGTGCGTGCTAAGGGAAAGGGATCTAATCAATGATGAAATAAAGTTATAATACAGATGCAGAGACAAATAAACAAGTCATCCTGACACGCCAAATTACGTCGCGGTCCTCTGTGCTACCTCTAGATATAATGTGCAACTTGTGTGCGAGATTAATGCCAGTGGTATGACAAAGTTCTAGACCGACAGATCGACAACGGTCTGGCCTTACCGCTCAAGTCCCTTGAAGCTTCCAATACAACCTATTGCACTGATCCATGCAAGTAACGATTCTCATCATCCACTTACTGTAGTACCTACTGTACAGAGGCAGTACCTACTACTCAATGGATCTTTTGACCGACACTTTGAGATATACCAGTACACTTCTAGCTCAACATCAGAGGAGCAGTTACGGAAACCACTTGCATGGTTTCCAGGTGACAAGCGAGTCAGTTTATCACCACATATCACTCAAACTACCTGGCAAGCACCCTTTAAGTCAAAGCGTGTCACATGCTGCCTGACGAAGCTGAACTTTCTTGAGCTGCCCTCAATTATGTGTTTGGCAATGGAGATGTCAATGCGAGCATAGTTCGTAGAAAGAGATCAGGTTTTCTTTTTTAATATTACTGTCTATATCTGTACATTAATTACCTCTACCCAAGTAAAAATTCATAGACATAAGAGTAAGTGGCGTCACAACACAGGCTATTCTTAGACAATGTAAAAAGAAAAGCTTATTACATTTCGTGTACATCTACCAATAAATGCCACGTTGTATATCTACCTGCACGTTCAGACAGAACCCAAGCCTAGCGACATTATAATTGGATTTATTCCTAGGACCCTGATTGTCTAACACCCCCTGCCCTAACTAAAACCCTCAATATCAAAGTTACAAAGTCCCACTTACCGTGTAAGGACGGCATCATATGCTTTGTATTATTTTCTATACATAGGCTGGAAGCTGGACTTTCACGGTGCGCCATTCCGAGATATCTTTTTATACATATGCACGACCTCCCTATCAGGCATCTATTCTACTCTTACGCTGTACCATCCACAATGTTTCCTTTCGACCAGGCCTCTTTGCCGCAAATCACAACACGCAAAGCCCTCATCGGAGTGGATTTTCAAGAGGACTTCATATCCAAGGATGGTGCTCTACCTGTCCACGAACCAGACGGCTTTGTAGAGCGTACTGTCAAACTTTCAGAGGCGTTCCGAAATGTAGGTGATGTTGTCTGGGTCCAGTCTCAGTTTAACGAAACGCGACATGCACCGGAAGAAGATATTGTTATCACCGACAAGGCGCCTAGATCAGTACAATATTCTTCAAGGGGTCGTCCAAGTCCTCCAGATAAGATAATCGAGGCTAGTGGTCCGCCAGACAAGGAGGCTTTCCTCAGTCATGAGGATGCTGTATGTGTTGAAACCGACACGCCTGGCTGCCAGATCGCCTCCGTCATCCAAGACTCAATGCATAAGACAGACGCAAAGCTTTCTAAATCCCACTACTCGGCTTTTCGGTCGACTCATCTACTGCGCGTTTTGCGAGCCAAGATGGTCATGGAGCTTTTCATCTGCGGGTCATTGACTAATGTTGGTGTGTACGCGACAGCCCTGGATGCTGCCGGACACGGCATGGCCATCACCATTGTCGATGACTGCTGTGGTTATCGCACCGAGTCAAGGAAGAGCGAAGCAATAGCCTCTCTGATAGAACTCACCGGGTGTGAGATCGCTTCATACGATGAGGTGATGGAGGTAATACAGCCCAAGCAGAAACCTCCCAAGTCACGAAGGACCCAACCACCCGCCTCATCACAAGGCTCGGAACAGCCACAGATCGTCAAGTCAGGTTCCAAAGAGACGAAAGGCCGCGAGAAGAGCACCACCCCGGATTTTGTCAAAGACATGACAAGCCTTCGGCTGGCTTCAGATTCACCAAGCCCGGCACACTCATCGCTTCAGACCCCACCAAAGGCCTCGTCAACAGATGCAGTTGAAGGCCGTGGCTCAACAACAAAATTGCCAAAGACTGAAGAGCCCCACGACATGAACCAGCCTATAACGAGTGGAGAGCCCGACGTTGCACAGACCGCGGATTCATCTATCAAAAGTAAGATTGTGGATGCAATAGGAGACAAGGCACATCAAGCATCCCCACTGCAAAGTGCTGAAGAAAAATCTACCATTGATTCAGACCGTTCAAAGAGCTCCGCCAAAGATAAAGACAAGCATACTCAGTCATCAGTCTCGGCAAACAAAACACAGAGCGAATCAAAACTCATCCAAGCGATCCCTACCCCGGATGGCAAGCATCTTGATCAAAAGGCCAAGGAGTCAGAAACTCCGAAGGACAAGAAAATAATGGCAAGGCGTGATGATGACTTTGGAAAGAGGGGGCTTTGCGAAGGAGATACCGATATTATCGAGAATGCTCTCCCTGATTCTCTAGTCGACGGCATATTCGACAAGCTACGCGAGGAGGTCCATTGGCAGCATATGTCCCACCAAGGCGGACAAGTCCCACGACTTGTCGCAGTGCAGGGCGAAGTTGGTTCAGACGGAAGCATCCCAGTTTATCGACACCCTTCTGACGAATCGCCACCACTGCTGCCGTTTTCCCCGACCGTTCAGACCATCAGGACCGAAACAGAGAAGCATCTGGGACATCCCTTGAACCACGTGCTCATTCAGTACTACCGAGATGGTACCGACTACATCTCCGAACACAGCGACAAAACCTTGGATATTGTCAAAGGATCTTATATCGCCAACGTGAGCCTGGGTGCTGAACGAATTTTCACGTTCAGGACGAAGAGGAAAGACAAGGACGCTGCTCAAGATGGAACCTCATCACCGGCAGACGCGAAGAGAACGATCCAGCGCGCCAAACTCCCACACAATTCACTATGTCGGTTAGGTCTACGTAGCAATATGAAGTGGTTGCACGCTATTCGCCAGGATAAACGACCCAGAAAAGAAAAGTCCGAGGCGGAACTTGCTTTCGAGGGGGGCCGAATATCTCTAACATTTCGACATATTGGTACCTTCTTGAACCGGGAGGAGACTCTTATTTGGGGCCAAGGAGCCAAAGCCAAGACCCGTGACGAGTCTCATCCCGTCATCAACGGCCAATCTTCCGAAGCTATCGAGATGCTGAAGGCTTTCGGAACCGAAAACCATGCCTCAGAATTTGACTGGGATGCGTATTATGGAAAAGGATTTGACGTGCTGCATATGAGCAATGCGCCTCGTTTCTTTGCTTGCCGCGACCCAATTGCCAATATGCGCATTGCTTTGATGTTGGCCGAGTTTGGCGTAAACCATGCAAAAGGAAGCATAACAACAGGATCCGAGCCGTTAAGCTCCGATAAACTTGTCGTCAAGTTTGCGGACAAGGATAAGTCCATCGTGCAAGGCGATCTTGCTGTCATGTTGTATCTGGATGCTCGCTATGGCATCAGTAACTCTGGCAGTGCTCTGCAAGCTCCGGCGGTACTTGCAACTCGACTCACTCGTTTCCAGCGTGCCATGGCCTTTTTGGATATTTGGCGAAACCTGCCCAAGGTCGGCGACAGTGGTACACGAGATACCAAGTCTCTCAAACAAGAACTTGAAGTCTGGGACGGTTTCGCAGAAGGGGACGCACAGCCCTTTATTGCTGGCGCAGAGATGTCGCTGCCTGACTTCGCAATCTGGCCAGTTCTTTACAGCATGGTAGAAGAAGTAGGCCTAAAAACTTTTGATGGGTTGAAAAACCTTAAGGTGTATTATGAGAAGGTGAGGGAGAGGCCGAGTACGAAAAAAGTACTTGGCAGAGGCTAGGGGATATATATTTTGTGATCAACCAAAACTTGTATATTCATTAGTGGTTTAAGTGTAACAATTAATTACTTAGCGTTGTAACGATATTTCTGGATTGCCGTTAAATTAAAAAATCGCATAATAAACGAAGCCAGATTAATTTCTCATGTCCTACTTAGTGTTTTCAAGTTGAGTCTCCCTCTCAAGTCGTGTTATATCAAAGTTCATTGCGTTAACAATGGGCCGATGGAGTCAGGAACAGAATGGTCATGGATCACGATATACACTATAGACCTGTCGAGCCGAGGTTGCAAGTTTTGTGCCAACCCAAGATAACGGGCGACCCTTGTTGTTGTTCCCTCACCACGAGTAGAGAAGGGTTTGGTGTATCAATTCATAAGTTCTTGACTAAACGATTCGCCAGTAGAATGTTATTGCGGCGTGCTCCATGGTACAGGGTATGTGCCTACCCAATCCTCGACCTCACTTCGCAGCTGAACGATTTCAGATTGTGTCTCACCATCGCCGAGATGCTCTAGGAAAACCTTTATTTTACCAGGAGTCTCATCACCTTTCTCCTCCGCCGCCTTCCGAGCAGCCTTGTCAATGCGAGAAGCGATAGTGACAGCGCGATCAACAACATCAGCGACGCGGATGAAGTCATCCTCATTAAAGCCGCGAGTGGTCATGGCAGGTGTTCCCATGCGAAGACCACCGGGAACCAAAGCAGAACGGTCCCCTGGGACTGTGTTTTTGTTGGCTGCGACGCCAACTAGCTCGAGCACGCGTTCAACTCGGCCACCATCAATGCCGTGTGGTTTTAGGTCGGCCAGGACCAAGTGGTTGTCTGTCCCCCCGCTAACAAGCTTGTAACCTAAGCCACCTTTGCCCTTGGGCTCACTCAACCGTTTTGCGAACGCTTTCGCGTTCTTTAACACTTGAGACTGATATGCGTAGAAATCAGGAGTTTGAGCCTGTTTGAGAGCCACGGCGAGGGCTGTGATGGTGTGGTTATGGGGGCCGCCTTGGTGACCGGGGAAGACGGAATTGTTGATTGGACCTTCAAGGTCATAGAGGATATCCTCCTTAGTTTTCGGGTGCTGCCTTCGAGTGCCCTTTCTGTAAAAGATCATGGCACCACGGGGCCCCCGTAAGCTTTTATGACTGGTAGTAGTTACAATATCTGCGTGTGCGAACGGTCCAGGTATGACCTTGGCTGCAATTAAACCAGAAATATGAGCGATATCGGCAAGAAGATAGGCGTTGACTTTGTCACAGATCTCTCGCATGCGTTGGTAGTCAATAAGTCGACTGTATGCACTTGCACCAGCAACGATAATCTTTGGTCTGTACACGCTCGCAATCTCCTCCAGTTTGTCATAATCAATGTACCCAGTCGTCTCATTTAACCGGTATGGTAGAGTTTCGAAGTACTTTGAAATGGCAGAGATCTTCTTGGTTGGTGTTTGGTAACCGTGTGATAGATGACCACCATGTGGTAGGTCCAGACCCATTAGCCGGTCGTGTGTGTTGAGCAAAGCGGAATAAACGTAGAGATTGGCGGGTGCGCCAGATAGAGCTTAACAATATAATCAGCATCAAAGGGGGGAGATATAGAGTAGTTTAAATGATGTCTGTATTGACCAACCTTGAACGTTCACCCCCCATTGCTTCGGATCGAGGCCAAATGATTCTAGAGCGCGTTGTTGACAAAGTCTTTCGGACTGATCGATGAATTCGTTACCGCCGTAGTACCGGGCACCTGGATATCCTTCGGAGTATTTATCTGCGACGCCTGCTGTTAGCACTTGCTGCGGCCGGTCTTGAATTAAAGCTCACTTTGCATCACACTGCCCAGAGCATCGAGCACGGCTTGTGACGTGAAATTCTCGGAAGGGATCAGATTTATGAAGTGTTTCTGGCGATTCTTCTCCTATTCAGCCGATAAGTAAACGAGCAAAGGCATGGGGGCCCCTATTCAGCGAGGCAACCGACCTTCTCGATAATGTCAAAGACGGCGGGGTCAGCTTTGTTCAGGTGAGCCGAGAGAGCCTGTAGTAGGGGAATTGAGATTCGTTAGCTGCTAGACTTATCCTAAAGATCCAATTAAACAAGAGCGCACCTGCTGCTGATCCTCAACGGCTAACGAAGAAGCTGGGCGAGTGCATGTCGCTGATATGGCGACTGGCTTCGCAATGCTACGCAAGACACGGGAGGTGCCTCTCACGCCTGTGAGGGACATGGCGGGGCGTAGAGCTGGTAGACGGGTGCAGAAATCGGGCAATAGGAGTACGATTGGCAGAAGAAAGAAAGTGGCTGTCCTAATATAGTTATTCACAGAAAACCACACGACTTCGCAATGTGGTTGTGATTGTCTAACGGCGCGATCGCTCAGAACGTCATCGACTGAGACGATGGACTTATTTAGTGCAGAAAGCGTGAGTGTGAGCGTGGGCGAGGTGGAGGAGGTGGAGGTGGAGGAGGCCCGGGCAGGACCGAGACTCGAATGTTAAGCATGGATCTCATGTTGCATTGGTCTAAACGAAAAGCAGCCAACCTCAATAGGTAGGTACCTCAAAGAATAGGTACCTTGCTCGGTGGGCCATACATACCTGTAGGTACCTACCTAGTAGGCAATAAACATCACCTTCAGCGCGTACCTTCTGCAGCTATTCTTCAAGATCTATTGATAAACATAGGTACCTAGCGAATTATTATATGTCTGGAAGCTACTGGTAGTATATATTTTGCATGTGATACTTATCACTGTTGCGGCTGGCATCATTGGTTGGGATTCTTTGAAGCTGTTGCGTCTGGCGCATCATTTGTAGTTGACGCGGGCTGCTGTTTGCGTCAGTTCCAATGGGATTAGCAATATGTAGGCACCCCCTGCAGCGCAGGTTGTGGACGCGAGTTCCTCTATAACAAATGGGACTGATCCAACCTTTGTGATACCCATCAACACTTAGCCACACGGACTTGTTGTGGCGGCGATCAATAATGAACCATGAGTCTGAGGGTATGATGTAACTGGAGAGACCTATCGCAACATCCAACTCCAGAAAGTCACTACTTACAAGGTACGAATGGAGCCAGTATGACAGTCTGATCTAATGTTATTTGATACTGACCCCATGCATCTTGTCTAGTCGTTTCTCGTTTTCATCCAAGTCAGGCAGTCAAGATTCCATGGGTTTAACTCGTCTCTTGATGCCACCGTTGTTTTCTAGATACTGGTGGACATCCATGTTCATAATTACGTTGTGTTTATGACTTAACCAATCGTGAGACGTCTGCTATGTGATTCATCGCTCGTGAAACAGATTGCATGTGCGATTTGATGACGCTCCCACAGTCAAAAATTGTCAAGTTGCGGCTCAAGTGTGGGCCTGGATCCTTTTCGTCATCCCAGTTGGTAGTATAGATCAAACATCACATACGACCGCAGATAAAGACAGACGCAAACATCATTTTCGTCACTGGTGGAAGCGGTTTGTTGTGGTAGTGAGCAAAGCAAATGCTCAGACAAGATCGTAAATGGGAAAACATCCAAGCATCCGAGCATCATCGATTCCATTTTCAATGCTACATGCCTGAACCCCGCCGGTACAAGTGTAGAAACCAGAAGGGCATAAAAAAAGACCCAACCCGTAGACTCCGTATGCAGCCTCCTCCTAAGACCGAAATGTTGTCGTTGTCCACTGGGCTTACATTTATTCCTCGGCAAGGAGGGCATTTCGCTTCGCCACCGCACGCTCCTGCTTGCGCTCACGGGCAGCCTTGTTCTTCGCACGCTTGGCATCCATCTCCTCCTGGAGGGCAGTCTCGCGGGCCTTCTCAGCCTTGGCACGGTGAATCTGTAAATCTCCATGTCAGTAGGCATCCCTCGGCGTGGCCCTAATGATAGGGCAACATGGTGGATAAGACATACGTGCTCTACGAGGGCACGCTTGTGCTTGAAGGCGTTACCCTTGCTGCTGTGGTACAGCTCGTGATAGAGGTGCTTGTCGATCTTTCCGCTGGCACGGTACTTGACCAAAAGACGGCGGAGGACTCGGAGGCGGCGCATCCAGAGGACCTGGCTGGGCATACGAGCATCGGCGGTACCCTTACGCTTACCGTAGCCACGGTGTCGGCCCTCTCGTCGGGCGAGGTTCAGCTCGCGGGCTCGCGATCGCGAGTGCTGGGTGACGGGCTTTCGGATGATGAGGCCATCGGAGATGAGCTTTCGGATGGTCTGACGAGAGTTGGCGTTGGAGATCTCGCTCTGCTCGTTGGGGTCGAGCCAGATCTTGCGCTTGCCACAGCCGATGACCGATGAGGCCAGGCGCTTCTGAGTTCGCAGGTTGACCCTGTAGTCGAGAAAAGAAAATTATCGATTAGCCACCAGTCCCCTCTGATAATATGACAACCATGTTCAAGATTTTCCTGAGCACCGAGTCCGTGACGACGCCATCAAGAGCATTTGTTTCCAGCTCGTACTGTCTCCAAAGCTCCTCCTGCATCGCCTTCTCGAGTGTCGTGATCGATTCGATATACTTACATCTTGATTGTCGTTAGTGGTGACGGCCGGGTCCTCGATGGATGTTGGATGAAGACTGAGAGGGGTTTGCAAGGCCAGAATTTCTCTGCGTTGCACCTCACCTGTTGGAATGGTTTGTGGGTTCGAGTGCGCTATGCCCCATTCGATGCACTAAGCGAGGGCTCTGATAGAGTCATGAGTCACCGCCGATGCACGTGACTCGCGCCACTTATAGGGTCCGGCTTGTTTCAGTCGTTCTTTGGCATTAGTTATTTCTTCTGGTGGGGTGCCACCGAGCTTACTATGGCTCAATTGACAGGTGAGGCTGCAAATTCTCATTCACTCGTTGATACAACTGCTTTTTCTGTTCTATTTTTTTTTTGTCAAGTTTTAATAGTAGTTAACGTAACACCTTTTAAATGCTACTAAAAAAAAAACTGCTACCAACTACACATCACCTTGAAAATCAACAACTTCAAAAGGGGAGAAAAAATACTATACCATCCTCTTGATTCTTATAGGCAACCATGATTCCCTAATTAGATACTCTGATATACTGCGATTAGATCGTTTGTACTTGTATTCATTCAATCTGCTATAATAGCCATGGCAGATATAAACTCTGGATCGAATCTAGACATTTATGTGAATGCTTCGCTACCTACATCAACCTTGCCCACGCTCCATATCTCTTTTTCGTCTTCGGCTTCATCGTTCGATAATCCGAGTCCTCCTTGTCCACCCTCAGCTTCGCGCCTCTCACGAGCTTGAGAACCCAGCCTCATAGCAACACGTTTGAAGTAGTCACCCATGCTTCTCTTGGTGTTAGGAGCAAGGTCAGCCCCGGCACCAGCCATGAACTTGTCGAAGATGCGGCTCTCCTCGTCCGCCACACTGAATAACTCCACAAATGCCGCTTCTGCAGCAAGCTTGACAGGGATGACAGGATCTCGAACGCTGGCAAATATGGGCTGTGCTAACAGAGCAACATGGGGCCGAACCATCTCCATGTCTTTGCGGCTGACGGTACGAACGACGACTAGAGCAAGTCGACGCGAATCGGTCGCATTGCCAGGCTGGATAACAGAAGCCAAGGCCTCGAAGATACCCTTTGTTGTCTCAAAGGTCTTTGCAGAATCCGAGAGCAGATACTTTCCGGTAGCAAGAATACAGTTGTCCGCGACAAAGACCTGAAAAATTGTTAGTACACTAGTATGACATCTCACAAGATTGAGAGTAACTTACGCTCTTGTTAGTGACACCCTGGAACAAGAGGTCGGGCAAGTCGTCGACTAAGGAGCTTTGAAGCAGAACATCTGGGGACTCGGCCAGGACGGAGTTCAGAGCAAGAACAGAAGAATGGGTAAAATGTGGGGTGGCCACGCGGTTCTTCAACAAACCCAGAGCGGCATCTTCAGGAACGTTCTTGATGAGCGCGCCCAGTAGCTTGGCATTAGTGATGGTCATGGTCTCATCTCTCTCGTCTGTATCCATGTCGATAAGTGACAAGACAGAAGCTCGAGAGGCCTCTCCCATGTTAGCGCCAGCTTTGCTGATAACCTCGTATAGCGCCTTGAGCATAGCGGTCTTGACGCCGGGGTCCGCTGTCTTGGATCCAGTAACGAGCTCAGCGATGAGGGGATCAATGCGTGGCGTATACTTGATCAAAGTTCCGAGTGCCTTGGCAGCTCGGGTTCTCAGTGTCTCGCTGGATGAGTCCGCCAGAGATTTAGCGAATGTGCGCTGAAGCTGGGGAAGAAAAGGCTTTAACGCGGTGGGCATTTTATCCAGCAGGTTATTGAGGGTCAGGAGAATGGCCGACTTGACTTCGGTGGCACGCTCTGAAACGACTCGGATCAGGGGACCAGTAATCTGGGTCACGAATGGCTTGAGAGAAGCCTCACTTGTTCTGTCGACAATATCCGATATACCCAGGGCAGCCTGTACTCGCTGATCAGCGGTGCCGTTCATGAGACCTTGTAAGAAGATAGGCAGAATAGCGTTGATGCCCTTTGGCAACTCGAAACCGCGCAGGTTCGCTCCTGCGACACCAACACGCTGAAGAGTTTGTCGTGTTGAAATAACAAGCGACTCCATTTCCTCCTTTCGCAGCTTCTTGGTGAAGGCGCTGAGAGCTGCCCATGCAGCCTTGACAACATCGGCGTCTCTGTCGTCAAATGAATTGAGAAGGGAGCGGATAATATCTTGGCTGTATCTAGAGTAATCTACGCTAGCAGCCGCGAAGAAGTTGGCCATGTGGTGTGCAGTGGCTGATCGGCGACGGTGGTCCTCATGCTTGAGAAGCTGCAATAGGACGTTCATGACCGTATTCAGACCATCGTATTCATCAATAGACTGAATAACAGTGTCGAAAGACGTCGCCAGCTCTTCACGAAGGCCATCCTCCTTGCAGTTGATCTCGTTATCCATAAGCGAGTTGATGATGTTGGGCAAGCGACGGTTCATGGCAGGGCCAGCAACCTTGGATAGAGAGGCAAGAGCCTTAGCATCGAAGGATGAAATAGGAGGTGTTGTAAGTGTTGGGATGAGGTTTGGCAAAATAATGTTGGATCGGGTTGTCTCAGTAAGTAGCGTAAGAAGAGCCTGCAGAGCGTTATCTGCCTCGTCCTCAGAACGTAAAAGGTTGAGAAGGAAGGGAAGGACCTGATCGACTGCTCGCTTGCCAAAGATCTGCTGAAGCGAATCAAAGGCTTCTGCAGCAGCTTCTCGAACATCCTCGTCGGAATCAGTAAGCGCGGTACGAACAACTGAGATGAGGGTCTTCTCGTGGTCTTCGAGAGCCTCGGGAGAAGCGGACGAAATAAGTTCCCTCAACGCAAGACAGATACCTTGCTTAGCATCGACATCGACAGATGTCTGGAGACCCTCTTCTAAAGTAGGAAGAAGACTCGACAGAACACCATCTCCGGCCTTTCGAATAAGCTCTCCAAGAGCATTGCTGGCAATGACCTTGTGTTCCATGTTGGAGCTTCCCAATCGTCTGATAAGAAGTTGAGTAAGGGTGGGCACAAGCTCTTTGAGGGTTCTCGGGCTATGAACGAGAACCTTCCAGACAGCAATGGCGGCTGATCGAACAGCACCAGCTGTATCACATCTGCATACATACAGGGCTGACAGAATCTTGTTGCGCTTGTCTTCGCCAAGGGTTTCTTTGAGAGACGCGCCTGCTTCCTTGATGTTCTCGTCCTCTTCAATATCTTCGGCGTCAGTACCAGCCTTGATACCTGTAAGGTTAAATAGAAGATCTCCAACGAGTTCGACGGAGCTGAGCCGGATTCTGTAGCTATCATCGGCGAGACCACGCTCGAGTTCCGGAAGCAGGAGATCGACAGCTCGAGCTGCGAAGTTCTTAACCAACAATCGACCTGCGCGTAGTGCCGTTTCACGAATAGACTCGATATCGTCGGCCAGACCTGCGAGAATAGGTGGAACAATTCGACCCAAGTAGTTGGAGAAGCTGTTGCCAAAACAGACAGGAAGAAAGATGAAAAGCGACATAAAACCTTCGCGAACGGCGGGTTTTGAAGATTCGACGTTCTGGAGAATGGTCGGGAGGGTCTCCTCCAGTCTTGTTGTTCCCAGTCCAGCAAGAACTTCGCTGAGGGCTTGAGCAGATCCCAGACGGTCACCAGCACCAGTGTCTGACTTGAGGGTTTGCATAAGGCCAGGAATAAGGTCAGGAAGCGTATCTTCTCCAAGCTTCTCCACCAAAGAACCTAGAGCCCTAGAAGCAGTAGCTCGGGTGGTCGGTACTGGATCGACGATGGCAAGCTTGAGGCCAGCCACAAGCACAGGCAGGTGCATGACAACGTCCTTCTTCTCCGTCAGGTGAGCCAAGCTGCCAATGACCTGTGCAGCCTTGCGCTTGGTGTTAGAACGATCAGCCAAACCGCGTTGAAGAATGCGAGTAACCAATGCCAGAGAGGGAGCATCAAGGTAATGGACGAATTGAACTTTGATAAGCGAGTCCAGAGCCTCATCTGTGTATTTCGTAGGGTCGCTGAGGGCCTTGAGAATGATGTCAACCAGGGACTTGATCTCTGGGTTGTTGATGACTTCGCCAAATCTCTTCAAGCTTCGGTTCGCAGCAGCTCTGACTTCTTTGTGACTGTCGTTGAGCACGCCAGTGAGAGGAGGAATGATGTCGGGTAGACTGTTGGCAAGCTGCTGGGGATCGAGGTATGCCATTGCACCGAGAAGGTCACAGGCACCCTTTTTACTTCTCCACTGTTGCTCCTCCAGGCCGTTAAGAAGGGTTGGCATAATCTTCTTGACACCATAGGAGCTCAACCTGGCAAAGCATGCCTTTGCCGCTGCCAAACAAGCATCCCGAACGTTTGCATTGGCGTCACCAAAGCCCGTCAGCAATTGAGGCACGATCTGAATCACATAGGGCTCAAAGATGCGCCCAAGCATGGTGGCCAGGAGCTCGTACGCGAGTAGAGCGGCCTCACGCTGGTTTGCTTCCTTCTTGTTCTCCGCAGCATCATTGAGAGTTGAGAGTATGCGGTATTCTCGGATTGATGCAATGCCACGACCCATGACAAGTCCAGCCAGACCATATGCAGACCCACGCTGGACAGCATACTTCTTCGAACTAAGAAGCTGCTCCAGAATCTGACCGAAATACTTGGAAGACTGATCTGGACAGGCCTGAATCAGGGGAGGCAAGCATTCAGCAATAGCATACTGTACTGTTTCGGAAGGGGTACTTAGGGTAGCCACCAGGCGATCAATGACAATGGGGATCTTAGGGTCACCAGGGCTGAGGTGACGAGCCAAGGCACCATACATGATGATGACGGCTTCGTTTACACGATCAGCCGCATCACTGTTTGTGTCTGGCTGCTCCAAAGTCTGCTCAAACTTCGACATGAGTTTGTCGAGAATTGTCTTGCCGTGGATCTCGATCGCCTTGATTGAGGCATCCAGCATTTCACTCCGTACCGCGTCGTTTTTATCGCCAAGGGGTCCGACGCTGATAAGGAAATCGAACAATGGATCCAGCTGATCGGTCTTAATAACTGAAGCGAGTTCTTTGAAGGCAGTCGCGATACCTTGCCGACCCTCCCAGGGATCGGACAGATCCATCTTCTTGGGCATTCCGAATTCATCTAATTGCTGAACCCTGGGTTTTGCTAGCTCAATGTAGGTAGACTTGAGCTGCTCGAGCACAGCTTCCAAGGTCTCGTGATGTATGCTGACTGCTTCAGCCAAAGAACGAGCAGCGCCACGACGTAACTGCCCGTCTTTACTCTCAAGGAAAGGTAGCAACCTCAGCGGCATCTCTGTCGTAACTTCAAAACCACTTTCCTCCCAGATTTCTCGACCGAGATCTTGATGTTCCTCCTCATCATCGTGAGCAGCAACCCAGATTTCATCAGAGTAGCCCAATTCGCTCATGTCAACTTCGGCACTGATCGACTGCAACACTGTGGATCTAACCCTCGTTTCGGGCACCAAGGTACCCTTTGTTAAGACGATCATCTCGTCTCGGTCCATGTTAGGAGCGATGCAGCGACACATGTCAGCAAAACAGTCCTTGAGAAGCTTATAATGCTGAGCATATGCCTGCATAGAACTGATGAGAACTGAGAGGAGCTCAGCTCGGGGTACGGCCTCGTCGACACATACATCTGTATGGTATGAAAGGAACTCAATAGCCAACACTAGTTGAGCATCGGCGTCATCTGCCGAACTGCCAACTCCGCCCTTACGGAGAAGGTCCAGCACGAGTGGCAGAGCATAAATGAGTGACACTGAGTCGAAAGGTCGTTGTTCGCCCGCGAATCGCAATCGATAAAGAACTCTCGTAATCAGATCCTCGACAGCCTCTTCCTGGTAATTTTCCGATAAAGACACGCCACGCAATCTTAAGGCTGCGATTCCGATGAAAGGCCTCATTGAACCCAGGCGCTCAGTCACCTTTTCAGCGCAAGTGAGATAAGCTAGAGGTGCCTCGTCTCCTGTGATCAGCGTGGCGCCGGCGTCCATGATGCCAACCAGGAGGGATACTGCAGTGCCAATCCATTGAGTGGCATCGGTTGGCGGACCAGTGGCAAGGCTGCGGATAATGCCAATACCTCGCAAGAGCCTCGCCACGGTCGCGGTAATTGATTGTCTGATTTGACTCTCTTTCTTTAGTTGAGCGTTGACCTTTGCGTTCTCTTCAGGGGTCAGTTTCTTTTGTTGGCCTTTCTTCTTTTCGAGTTGACTCCTGAGTTCTTCCTCCCATTTGAGAATATCGTAGTCCTTCTTGTTCTTGTCCAAAACTTGCTGAGATTTCTTTGCGAGGACATCAACAAATGCGGTGCCTTCGGCAGTTCTATAGATAGCCGCCTCGACAGGACCAATGTCTTGTAATTGTTCCGCATTAAGGTCTCGGCGCAGTGCCTCCAGCAAGCGTGGGATAATAGTTTCAGGGGCGACAAAGGCCAGATCGGCAGCTGCATTGTATGCAGCTGTCTTAACAACCCCGACCTAGCAATTTGTCAGTAATGATCTGTTCTTAAACTCTATGGGAAGATGGCTACAAACCTTCTGATCAAAAGACGTCCTGGCTTCTATTTCAGCCATAAGTTCGTCTTGATACTTTGTCGCAAGATTGCCAGGATCCAACTCCATTCTGAGACACAAGTCGATCCAGTTTGCTCTTGGTATCAACTCTGACCGTGCCAGAACAAGAAGGCTGTTTGCCTGAGATTCGAGGTCTTCCTTGGCAACAGATTTGCCAGACTTGCTTATCTCATTGGGGGTGAGACAAATTGACTTCACAACCTGAATCAAGTTATGAGTACTCGCTGAGTGTTCCCTGTCACCGAACCCAGAACGCTCGACATGATCCCATAAGCCACTTATGATGAAAGCAGACACCAATCTTGGATTATGGACATAGAGACCAGAAAGGAGTTTGGATGACTCCTGCTGAATAGTAGCGGGTACGTTATGGGCGGCGACAAGATGGATAAAAGCTTCAGACCAAGCAAGGGTCACCTGCTTGTCCACATTCTCATCAAGGCTCTGGAAAACAGAACCCAAAGCACGCGCAAACCATCCAAGATCTTCGTTTGCTGTCACTTTGGAATAAATTCGATGGCTCAGAAGAAAGGATGACTTGGGATCCAGAGACAACGATTGCTTTGTGACTGACGCTTTTGTTAAACTAGATTCCGCTGAGGAGCCGGGAAGTAAGCGATATATATGGGGGCTCACAGCCGTCAGGATATAGGCACCAACGACGAGACCGCTTTGAGCAGCAGAGGCGGCATTGGCTGCCACCTCTGTGAGGGTTGTGACCATTTTAGGCACAACAGCCTCGACAAAAGTGGCCATACCCGGAGACACTGATTGTGCTTCAGCAAGGGATTGCAAGATAACTCCTACCCTGAGCAGCCAGCACTTGCGAGAGGGGATCTTCTTTTCAGTAAGTCCCTTGGTAACTGAGTCCAGGACAGATTTGGGCACTTCAACATCTTGCGCCAGAAGAAAGGTTATAGCATTTGCCAATGCTGATGTCTCTGCGGCCAAAGCACCCTCATTTCCTTCCTTGACAGCTACAGTGGCCACCGCGCTGGCGACCTGTTCGGCACTTGAAGTTGAAAGAGGGGTGGCTTCGAGCATCTGCGCATGCAATATGCGATGATCAGGAGATGCGAGTTTGCCTGCTTTAAGAGGGGTTGCGACCTCATTAATAACCTTCTCCAACGAGGCGGTATCTTTCGATCTGAGAACTAGTGCACGGAAAGCATCCAAGGCACCAGTACGAATTGCTGCATTTGTTGACTTAGCGTTTGACAACAAAGGTTTGAGGAGATTCTGTTCGAGGACCTTTGAAAGGTCGAAATCTTCGGGTAGAGAGCGGACAAGAGGCGTAACAACGCCCCCAAGTATGACCTCGGGCGCACGCAGAAGGCCTTTCTCAAGAGCAGGGATCAGCTCCTTGGAGAGTTCCTCAGGGGTTGCGAAAGAAGTAAAGAAGTCACTAAGTCCCAGCACAACGTGTTCCGGAACAGCGGTGCGGGAGCCAATTATTTCTCTTGTAAAGAATTCGTAGTACTTGGGTTTGATGGTATCAAGAACCGGTCGCAGGTGATCCTTCCTGGCAGATACGCCAGCGATAACACCAAGCAAGACAGCATTTCTGGGGGTCGATTGAGCGCTCTTCGTAGCTAAGGTATTGACAGAAGAAGAGAGTCTCTTCTCGCTTGAGTGTGGTGATGAGAAAAGCTTTCGTAGACCCCTCCTGGTAACAATGATAGCAGAGTGGGCTACAGACTTCCTGGCAGAGGACTGGTGACATTTATCTAAAGCATCGGCGTCCGTTAAGATGATATCGGAAGCGAAATGGTCCCACAATGAGGCATCAAGATACTGCATGAACAAGCTACACCATTCGACGAGTACAAACGCGTTGGTCGGAGCGATGCCATGTTTCTGGCTTTCTTTGCGCAGAGCGGCGATGAGTGGGGCAATGGTCTTGGAGTCGATACCAGCTGAGATCAAGGCAACAAGGCACTTCTGGACGGATAGTCGGGACTGTCGATCAGTGTAGAAGGCGTATGTACCAAAGAAGAGCTGAAGAAGACGTGTGATTGAGGTGTTGTCGACGGCTATGGAACGAAGGGTCAGTGGGCTGATGGGCCTTGGTGGACTACAGGGACTTGCGCACATTTTTGAGTAAGCTTCTCCTCGATTGAGTGTAGCTGACTGATTCTAATATTGGTCGAAGACGAGGCCAGGGCGTGTTTAATGGCTGTAAAGTCGAGGCTGGCCATGCCGCCAGGTTCGGATGAGTCGCCGTTAGACATTCTGGAGTTCGGAAATGAAAGTGAGCGTTTGGTTTGATGAACTCATCTGGGGCTACCAGAGCTCACAAACGCCGGTTCTGAGGCGTATCTTCTGTCGGGGCGGGGGAAAGGCTAAGTCGAAGGAGTTTGGTGATGAGTGGTTGGTGGTGTTTTGGATTTTTCGTGCACCAAATCCGTTATATCTACACTAACCTGCGGACTCGACCCCACGTCGAAGCAGCAGGTAGCAACTTACTAACCTAACACTGTTTTTTCCGTGGAGCTGTAGGTTGGGCTCGAGGCTGCCCCTCCAAGCACTTAGACTAGGTACAGCGAATAGCCAAGTTGGTGGGGTTAGGAGCCCTGAAAGCCCCCTATGCCCAAGTCAGATAGGTCATTGGAACTTCACATCATCTCGGTATGACGCATCGGAGATAGACAAGGCAAAAGGTGTGCGCAGCTTTTATGTTTCTCGTCAGGTAGGTAGGTACCCTAGTAGGTAGTAGAAAAGTTAGGTAACCTCCAAACTTTAGGGTAGAAAATTAAGTAACCCAAGGTCATGCATGGTCTGAATAGCATAAAGTGACCTGCTAATTTCGTCTCTTATAACTCAAGCGGCCAACTCTTCTGATACCCTGAGGCTACCTCCTACTAAGGTGGATTGGATCAGAAACGCTCGTGGAATTCGATGCTATCATTAGCACTAATAAAGGCTACTACGAGCATAAGCCGAGCTTGATGGGACGGGAAACATTTAACGGACTACGTACCTGTGAATGCACATGTAACCAGAGGTTCCTTGCAGATCCAAAGAAACTGACCGGACTTGATACCAAATCATGGCCAAATTATATAATCGAGGTTTTCAATCCATCCATCGCACGAATCTTGACAACATCATTCTGATTTTGAACCATTGGCACTGTAGACTACTGTCGAGCATTTTTATCGACTCTTCATCTCTCTCATCGACATGATCCACATCTGGACCAAAAGCCCTTGCGTCACAACATCCACCCGATCACTTTGCTCCTGCACCCTTCTCTCGTTGATTGGGATCTCTTGACATACACGTTGACCCCGCTGTCTTTAGTTTCACAAGGGACAGGAGATTATCGAATACACCAACTATTTCTTCATGATTATCTTAACCTGAAAACGCACCTCCCTCTTTCTATTGGGTCTCCAAGCTTACCACCGATCCATCCTTTTTTCCTCGCTCGGTCGCTGACTATCATGGCTGGCGGCGCGAAGAAGAAAAAGAAGCCCGCTGCCAACCCAGCTCGGGGCTTCGCTACTACTTCGGTCGCTTCCAAGCCCAGGCCAGAAGTCACCGAGCCCGAACCAAAACCTGCAGTCGCCAGAGGCCAAGGTGCCCCTCCATCAACACAGAAAGATACCCCTCCATCATCGTCTACAGCTGACAATGCGACTGCCACCACCAACAGTCAGGAGGCGATTCTGAGTCCCGAAGAATTCGAAAAACACTTGGAGGAATCTGAGTTGCAAATCCTTGTCGAAAAGCATGCCGCGAAAACGAAGAAGGATGCCTTACGCCAACGGAACCGGCTCGATACTGATCGTCGGCTCTTTCGCAGCCAAGCCGACTCTATCAATAGCTTCAAATGGTTGCCTCAGGATCTGATGGATCATATACTTGATTTAATTCAAGCTGAAAATCGATTCACAGCTTCGAGTCTGTCTTCGTCCGACAGCACTGGCGCTGGCAAGATGCTCCCTGAGGAAGAAATGATCATTCGCCTCTGGACCTTACAGCAAACCTTGACTACGGCCGAGTTTCCGATTGAGCGTGTCGCCGCCGTCATACGATATATTTTGGATATAGCCCCAAATGTCTCGACCACCAGCAGAGAATCAATCTGGGGACTCGAAGAAGCACTCGACTGGCTGGCCCGAGAATGCAGAATTGAGGAACTACCCAGCTACGAACCCAAATCAAAGCCCATGCTCAAAAGCACCACCGGTTTGTTTCCTTGGTATTCTAAGTTCTCCTCCGTCCTGACCATGACTCTTCTGTAGATACTCCCCAGGACAGTCCAGTACCAAGTCGCTCAAGTACCCCTCGCCATGCTGATCCGCGAAATGGCCGCAAGAGCAAACCTTCTGGGGCCAAAAGCCGGCCAGTAAAAAACTCTATGCCCGACAAAAAGATGATGGTAGCTTGTGATAGCGATATAGAACCCGACGAGCTTGTTTCGAAATACTTGGAGAGCAAAGCGAAGCTATTGGAGTATGAGCGTGGGCAACCCAGGGACTTGCCAATTAACGAACATGACGAGCAGCTTGCTGTTGCCAAGCTTGAGGCCAAGATTAGAAAGATCGAATCGGATGTGCTCTTCGACAAGTACGAGGCAGACCAGCAATGGAAGGTCCAGAGAGTTGATCTAGAAAGGCAGCTAGCTGCTGCAAAACATGATAGGCAAGATCAGGCTGGGGAGAACTTAACCGTTGAAGGGGAGCCCGTACTCGAAAAGACTGATGTCGGCGACATTAGTAACGAGGCTGAACGGATCGCTGCCGAAATATTGGCTGAAGTTAGCGATGAAGATAATGACATTGGAGGGCTGTTCGCATCTCTGCCACAAAACGAAGTCGACGCACGTACAGGCGAAAGTCGTACTGTTGTTAATTCAGCTGACGGCAATCAAATCGTGATTCGTGACTTTGGCAAATCAACAGGTATCAGTCCCCGACGAGCTCTTGAAGAAGCGTGTCGCTCAAGGTAAATGAAGATGATCATGAAATTGGAAAACAATGATACTAATCATAAGAATCAGGGATTCAATGGCAAAAATTTTATATACTATCGTGTCAGATGCCTCGTTTGCGAACCGCCATTCTGTGGATATCATTTGGACGAAACCTCAAGAATTACCACCGCCAGCAGCTTCATCAGAAGTTGAAGTTGTAGCGGACCATTTTCGATTCACATTCACCATGACCAGCATCGCCACACCAGATTCGAAGCAGTCAGAATCCTATATCTCTACCGCAGCCTTATTTTACACATTCAGTGGTAACACTAAGGACGAGAAGGTCGCTATCAGACTTCCCCATGTATGGAAAGATGTTTGGGCAGAGCTTGCAGAGGCTAGGAAGGCACAAATCGACGAACAGGACAGAGAGGTGATGAGGGGCTTAAGAGCCCTAGTCCGTGAACGTCACGACCAAGAGCTCGAAGACGGTGTCATAATTCAAGGGGCATTCCGAGGACGGGGTAACAAACATGTCACTGACTCAGGCGATGATGGCAACCACGATCGCTCGAGGCAAAATACCACAAATGGCGATTACTATCAGAAGATCTGGGCAGACAAATCTAGCACCCGCAAATTCCAAACAATGCTGGTAAGCAAAAATATGGATCAATCGTTCTCAGTAAGACTTACACGGTGCAGCAATCCCGAATGCAGTTGCCCATGTGGCACTTCAGAGAGCAAGTATTGGAAGCTGTTGATGGAAATCAGGTTGTAATTGTCTGCGGTGAGACTGGCTGGTGCGACGCCTCAATTTTCCATGTTCCGAAATCCTTGACTGACCATCGCACAGCGGCAAGAGCACCCAAGTTCCTTCTTTCCTACTAGAGCATCAGCTCTCTCAAGGAAGACCTTGCAAGGTTTACTGCACAGAACCTCGACGAATCTCTGCCATCTCTCTTGCTCGTCGCGTCAGCGAGGAGCTTGGCGAGAACAGAAATGATCTTGGAACTAACAGATCGCTGGTGGGTTACTCTATCCGATTAGAAGCCAACACGTCAAGAGAGACAAGGCTGGTGTATGCGACCACCGGTATTGTCATGCGGATGCTCGAAGGGTCCAACGATCTCCAAGAAGTGACACATTTGGTACTCGATGAAGTGCACGAACGGACAATTGATAGCGATTTTCTCCTCATCGTCCTGAAAAAGCTACTTGTCAGACGCAAAGACTTGAGAGTCGTTCTCATGTCTGCCACAGTCGATGCAGATCGCTTCTCCTCTTACCTTGGTGGTGCACCAGTCCTCAACGTTCCTGGACGGACGTTTCCTGTCCAAGTCAAATATCTCGAGGATGCCATCGAGCTTACTGGATATACGCCTGCGGACTCAGAGCCTGATAAAATGGTGGATCTGGATGACGACCCTGTCGAAAGTGAGGGAGAGAACACAAAGAGTGATATCTCAAAGAGTCTAGCAAGTTATTCACCAAGGACTAGATCGACACTGTCTCAGATTGATGAATATCGGATCGAGTTCGACCTAATTGTCCAGCTCATAGCTCAAATCGCCACAAACGACCAACTCCAAGATTTCAGCAAAGCCATTCTTGTCTTCCTGCCAGGTATTGCTGAAATCCGGACGCTGAATGACATGCTTCTTGGAGACCCAAGGTTCGCTAAGGACTGGCTTGTCTATCCTTTGCATTCCACAATTGCAACCGAGGATCAAGAGTCAGCATTCTTGGTCCCGCCGTCAGGAGTCCGCAAGATTGTCCTCGCTACCAACATCGCCGAGACTGGAATTACTATCCCTGATGTTACTTGTGTTATTGACACTGGTAAGCATCGGGAGATGCGATTTGATGAAAGACGTCAGCTTTCGAGACTAATCGACACATTTATCTCTCGAGCGAATGCAAAGCAAAGGCGAGGCCGAGCCGGCCGTGTTCAAGAAGGTCTATGCTTTCATATGTTTACTAAGTTCCGCCATGATCAACTGATGAGTGATCAGCAGACGCCTGAGATGCTCCGTCTTTCACTGCAAGATTTGGCCATTCGTGTCAAGATCTGCAAAATTGGAGGAATCGAGGAGACCTTGGGCGACGCCCTCGATCCGCCCTCGGCCAAGAATATTCGGCGAGCGGTTGACGCGCTCGTGGACGTTCGCGCACTTACTCAGGCAGAGGAACTGACACCACTTGGACATCAACTCGCCAGGCTGCCCTTGGATGTGTTCCTCGGCAAGCTGATCTTGTATGGTGTAATTTTCAAATGTCTGGACATGGCCATCACCGCTGCTGCCATTCTGTCTTCCAAGTCGCCTTTCTCCGCACCTTTTGGCCAACGTACCCAAGCAGATAATGCGCGTATGGCTTTCCGTCGTGGTGACTCCGATCTTCTTACTATATACAACGCTTACCTAGCATGGAAAAGGGTATGTCAGTCTACAGGCGGTGGCGGGAAGGAATTCCAATTTTGTCGCAAGAATTTCTTGAGTCAGCAAACTCTTACCAATATTGAGGATCTCAAGGGACAGCTCCTCACTTCTTTGGCAGACTCGGGATTCCTTTCTTTGACCGAAGAAGAAAGGCGAACGCTATCCCGTGCCCGCTTTTCTGGTGGACGGGGAAGAAGGCAGCAACAGTTCTACGACATTCCCCGAAGAGTCAACCTCAATAGCGACAACGATGTTGTTTCCGCATCAGTGATAGCTTGGAGCTTCTATCCCAAGATTCTAGTAAGAGATGCGCCAGGATCGAAGGGCCTGAGGAACATTGGTACAAACCAATCGATTAGCCTCCATCCGTCATCTGTCAATCGAGGACGTCTTGATCTTCGATGGCTGTCGTACTATCATATCATGCAATCCAGGGCGTAGGTTTTTTCTACGGCCGCCTGCTTCTATGTTCGTACTAACATATATTCCAGAGTGTATCACGCCCACGAGGCCACAGCTGTGGAAGCATTTGCCATCGCTCTTTTGTGCGGCGATGTAAGATGTGACGTAAGATTTTCTTTCTTGCCATCGTCCATAGAGGGAGTACTGACTTGTGAAATTACAGATGTATTCTGGAGTAATTATCCTCGATGGAAATCGGGGACGTTTCGCAGTTCCAGATTGGAAGACGATGTTGGTTATGAAAGTCCTCCGAACACGTCTACGTGAACTGTTGACACGGTCTTTCAAACAACCAGGCAAGTTGCCTACCGCCCAACAAGAGAGGTGGCTTGATGTATGGCAGAGGATCTTCACACAAGATTTTGGACAAGATAGATCTACTACGGGAATGACGATTAAGGCATGATTGGACATGTATTTCGATGTGCTGTTTTGCGACCGCAGCCGAAATATTTTGGTTATGTGTTTTCAGAAATGGCCCCTCGGTCAGTCCGCGGAGGCAATTTGTCTCTATGCTCCAGGGGGAAAGACTACTCAAAAAGAAACCACATCTCCAGCAGCTTGTCCTGTCCTCAGGGTATCAGAAATATTGACCGCTGGAAGCATAAGAGACGAAATTAGAGATAACTTTATGCTCCTTAGACTATAGTTCTTAGACTACTGGATATCGTCAATTGTAGTAAATTACATTGTGCTTCATGATGAAGCAGTTGAAGTCAGCGTTGAACCGAACTTGCGGCTTAGTTCTCCTTAGCCTCCCCCTTGTCTCCCTTGATTTATTTACCCCCTCCACTGGCAAGAAACATAGCCTTGAAATCAGCATTGCTCTTTTTGGCTGATGTGTCAGATTCGCCGTTTTGTGTAGGCTTAGCACTACCGGGCTTGAAACCAAGACCACGACGCAGGCCAGGCTTCCCCAGTACTGGGCGACGTACGGCAGTTGCAGAGGGTATGAACATGGTGGATGAGGCACCAGGAACATTTGACTTATGCTCCTGATCCTTGTTCTTTCTGCCCGTGATAATACGGTCGGGGGTAAATTCTGCTTTCGATTTTCGGAGTTCATCAGGCGTGCCTGTGCGGAGCTTATGACCTTCAAACTCCATGCTATTTAGTTGTAGACTGGCCTTGCCTGCCATGGCTGCGTCGGCAAACTCGATCTCGGCTCCGCCATTCCCGGGCTTCGCCGTCATTTTGACTATCGCACCGAAAGGTTCGACGAGCGACCGGATTCGCGCATCGTTTACAGTATCAGGAAGACCCATCAGAGCGATGGTTTTTGCTGAGATTTCCGCTGCAGTTGGTTTGGCCTGAACCTCAACACCTTGCATAGCTTGGTCGCCATCGACATCATGAGACGAAGGTGCTGGTGAACCTCTGGCATTATCAGTAACAATAGTCTTGGCTGCTGGCTTGATCCTGGACTCTTTAGAGAGAGCGACTGCGAGAATTTGGCTTCTAAACTTGGTATTGTTCATTTCCGTCACAGCTTTCGCAGCCTCTTCTGTAGTTGCAAAGTCAATGAAGGCAAACCCCTTGTTTTTTCCAGCCAGAGTTGTAGGGATGTTGACCCGTGTGATATTGCCATACTTGGAAAAAACATCTTTCAGCTCTGTCTCGCTTGTCGATCGATCCAGATTGCTAATGTGAATTTCTCGACCTTCCGCAAGAGCGCCCTCTCGAGCTTTTTTGTGTCCTGGGTCGGAATACTTGGCAACGAGTTTGAAGCTCTTTTCAAGGAGCGTACCATCCAGTTCAACAGCTTTTGCTGATGCTTCTTGGTCTCGGAACGAAACGTAACAGAACCGTCGGTGGGCGTTGACCTTCAGACTCGGCCAGCGTATGCTGAGGATCTCACCGCAATCCCTGAAGAGATCACGGATATAGTTTTGATCCGCAGCAGGGGGGTAATTTGTGACATATACAGTCAGATCGTGACCTGATTTGACGGTCAGCTGTGACCGGTTCATATATTTGCCGTCTTTTAGCAAGGCGGACTGGGCTTCTTCGGGTGAGCTGAATTCAATGAGCGCTGTTGAGGAATCGTTTATCTCATCGCGCACCAATGCCGTAACATTGTTAATATGGCCGTAGTCCTTGAAGTATTGCCGGACCTTGGTTTGCGAAACGTCGGCAGGGAGACCAGAGACAATTATGGTGGCATTTTCCCTATCCCTTTTCGGAGGTTGTGCTACGGGAGTAGGATCAGGTCCTACCCCATTGGGACCATTCTTTTGGCGTTTGCTGCTGCTCTCAATTCCATCGGTGAATTCCGGTTCGGTGTCCCTTTTCCTCTTGGAGCCACCTGGCGATGACGGGACCTGCTCTTCAGGTTCAGGAACAGTGTAGTAGGCAGCATAGGCCGCCGCTTTCTCTTGTTCTTCGCGCTCCCTGCGTCTTTTGACTTCTTTTCCGGTCTTGTGCACTCGATCAGCAGCCTTTCGCAAAGGCAGCGGCATTTCATAATCGTTGCAATGTTGCATATAGACCTCCAACACCTTCTCGGGCCAGTCGATTGTTCTACGAGCAACGGCACGGGCGAGAACTGCTGTCGCTAATGTTGGTATTCGGTAAGTGCCACCCCCAGACGAAGGCGTGGGACTTCTGTTGTCCTGTCCTCCAGTGGATGAAAAAATGAGCATTTCCCACATGTAAAAGCGGAACCAGAAGTCGTGGTTGTCAGCGTGGATTTGCATTGAGGCCAGCTTGTTCCACTGGGCTCTGGCCTCATCTACCTTGCCCTTCTTCTCAGTGAGGTATTGGATGTATATACGCTCCAGTCGAAATTTAGGGTCGCCTTGGAAGTCTTTGCCGTAAAGTCGCTGCCCAACGACTGACACGTCCTCGAGGGCCGCGCCGAGACCAACATCGGCAACATCAACAGCTTCGTCAGATGCAGTAGCATCCATGGCATTGCGTTTCAAGAAACCGCACCATGCTACGTACATCTCGATCATGCCCTCCATTCCATCCTTGAGCAACTGATCTTCACTTGTCGCAGCATGTTTGATAGATTCGACCTCGCCAAAAGGAAGCCTGGCCTCTTCGGCGCACATGATGTAACGGTTCCAAAGAAGACCAGACCATGGACAATGTTGAACCGCTCTTTGGAGCACATCAAGGAGGCTACTTGGCTCCTGGAGCTCGGTGTTGGACGAAGAAAGGAAGACAACGTATTCGTACCAGGTGTTTTGGTCGGTAGCGAGGGCCCCGGTGAGAGCACGAGCATAAATTCCGCGGCATAGGTCGATTCCAATTTCAGGGCTATCGTTGCTACGCTTACTCTGAAGCATTTCCCATTCGAGATACGTGTTGAAGGCAGCCTTTTGGGCTTCGATGTCGTTGGTTTCTACTGCTTTTTTCAGATCAGCCTCGTATGGGTCGCGTGCTGCAATCAACCGTTTCGTCTCCTGGGCGTTAGTGACGATGTCCTTCATGGAATCTTCATAGGCAGAGGGGTTGTATTCGGTGAGGAAAGTGGAAAACTTTTGGGAAGTCTCGTCCCAGGTGAGGTGCGGCGTTAGTAGCAGTCGATTGCGGTAGAGATGAGTGATGCGCTTGATACCATCGGGCGTTCTAGTCTTGGCTAGCAACTCCATCTCGAGTGATATCCAGCGATCCCAAAGCAAGTGGCTATCGCCAAGACGATAGCAAATAGCTTCGTATCCTTGCTTCCACAGCTCGAGAGCAGCGCTCAACGAGAACAGTTCGCGGCCGAGCATGCGCTCCTCGTCGGTCCATCCTTCTCCAGTAGGGATCTGGGTAGCTTCCCACAGAGACCAAAAGTAGTTGCAGTAGGCGAGCCAAATGCGTAAACTGCCAGGCTCACAGCCGACGGCGCGTTTGTAGTGTTCAACAGCATTGACTCGCTGGTCGAGGTCGGAGGCGTTTCGGACGATCTCTTCGAGGTAGGCAAGCCAGTTTTCTTCGCCCACTGGGTTCGCCATGGTTATCGCGCTGGATGGATTAGATCAGAGAGTGCATCACAGAGAGGTTTGGGCAATATCGGTTCTGGCGCATAAGATGCTGAATAATGAGGCAGGTGCTGGCGGGGGGTTTGTTGGTCGACGCTGCCGCGGAGTGGCTCGGGAGGAGGGAGATTATTTTTTTTAGGTTTTTGTTTTTGAGAGTTTGGAGGGAAAGTAAGGCGATCACGCGAACGTGGCTAAGACTCATCCAAACTGAGATTAATCAGCTTAGTGGGTAGCAGAAACAATAGCCTCCTAAGTCTTAGGGTATAAAAATAAGTAGTCTAAGAACTATAGTCTAAGGAACATAAAGTGACCTACTAATTTCGTCTCTTATGCTTCCAGCGGTCAATATTTCTGATACCCTGAGGTCAGCCCAGCAACTACAGTAAGTTGTGATGTGCCCTGGGAATGGATGTCTGGACTTAGGAAGATTGCGTGTGGAGCAAGGGAAAAAAAGCTCCTCCCAATAATTCAACAGCTTGGGCTCGGGACGGGACCAGCTAAGCAACGTTGAGTTAGCACAGTATCGGCGGAGCAGGCGCTGTGCAGGGGTTTTACGTAGGTACTTTCCCTGAAGAACGGGAAGCGAGCCGGAGGGTCGTCCGAATGATGTAATGGCTTGTCTACTGCCTAACCGATGAAATGTTTTAGCTACTTTTGATGCAACCCTTATTAAAACCCGACTATCGGGGTAGAGATATTACCATATTGACCATCTGAGTACAGGGTTCAGATTTTCGCCTGTTGTCCAAAGTGTATCATAGACTGACTCCTCTCAATGTCTATGATAAATGGAAACAGTAGGTCCAGCTCTCAAGGTACCTGCCGTAGGTACGCAATAGATCTCAGCATTTGGTACTCGTTACAACTGTATAGGCTTGTTGGCTCTGAGCTGATCTATTACCCAAAACGCACAAGCCCAGAGAGTCTAGACCGCGATTCGACTCAGTTTACTGCAACAAGGTCTTGGCAATTCAACGTCCGATTCTTTATTCCCGGCGTATGGTTAAACCACTGCCTGTGTTGGGCTGCCAGCTGACAAAATCCCCGACTCGATTAATTAAGAGTAATTAATTTCTTCTCTTTCTTTTCGGACAACAGTCAGGCATGCATGTGCCCGAAACCATCTATGAAGACTAGTCGGCCTTGAAAGCATGGGGAAGTGTCTCGTATTCTTCAAAGTATGATGGAAACCTAGTACCCATGCTGAAAGTATCACAGCCATTTGTTCTAGACCTAATGTTGTTCCCGACTCTAAACACCTCGCAGGTGCCAGGCCACTCAAGCAGTCTGACAAGTGGAAGATGGAAATATTAGCGGATGTGCAGAATACAAATTAAGAGGGTTCATTGTCGTCGTAGCACCTGTTGCCTAAATCCTTCTACCGTTGAGAGGTCTAGAGGTGGCAATGGCTCTTCTGGCATCCAAGTCTGAGCATCGCTTCATACATTGTTACGAACAACTAATTTGAATCAATTAATTATCAAGTATCTCAAATGCATAAACCCAGAGACCACTGGTACTACATACCTACCTGCCATGCAGGTTCAATTTGCGTTCTGACGTATTGTGCTGTACCTGTTAGTTAGAATGGAAGCTGACAGACACAGACAGACTATGGAGGGTAGGGAGTAGAATGACGACAATGACCTTTGGACCGACCCTGGCTGGTCACGTAACCATTCAATGGTTCTATATGGGTTTCAAAGCCCAATACTGACTTCTTCCTTCACTCTGTATGACTCTAAGCTAAGTAGTGGAGGCGAAGCCAGTATTAGGCTTTCCAAATTCACGTAGAGTTATCGAGTAGCTTAGTGTCATAGTAGATAAAGTTCATGAAGCAACCTTATTCTTATGAATACAAAAGCACTGCTCAACAGATAGCTACCACTACTTCTTCCTTCAATAGGACCACGTCATCTGTCAAAGACGGGTTGTTTAAATGAAGACTCAGTACGTAGTTATAAGGGTTCAATTGTTTAACCGCAAATGAATCGTCTTCATCTCATCTGAATGAATTGCACCGCACAACATGGCCGTGTCCTTCAGGACTTCATCTGTTTTGATCCCCATGCAGACATCACTCATCGTGATAAGCCCCAGTCCCATTGCAAGTCAGAACTCAGTACTCGGACAGTTTCAAATCGAGAGCTTCACTTATGTGAAAGAAGAGAGAAATTGACTTTCATCACGGGTTATTCGAGTTATCGTTATCGAATTGGCGACATACAAGATGGCCTGGAGCACACAGTTTGCAGCCGCCAGAACCGATAGTTAGTAGTCGCAACCCAGATGAATGGAGTGTAAAGGCTGAAAAAGACGCCAGCAAACAAAGAAATCTGTCAACCGCCAAGGTACTAGGCATAGCATACCTAACTATGAGGCCTCTTGTCGATCATCCGAAAGCCAACACTACGCGCTTCACCAGCATTAATTGATGTGTCTATGTGATGTTTTGATTGGATTGCGCTTTGAAAGCATCGTTGGCTTTTTGGGCTATCTTCTGGGTTCTTTCATGCCTCCTGCCTTCCCGGCAGTGGTGGATTTCGGAACATGGCGATCAGGCAGTTCAGCTACCTAGACTAATACTGGGCCTAGTCTACATGAGCTAATGAGTCAATAGGCACACCAGCTGCCTCATACAACAAAGATGTCAACAGCCTTGTGTCCACTATCTGCGCCGCTGTTGTGTGCTGGCTATGTCTCTATTATATTCCATATGAGGTGGTATCAAGGCAGTAGTGACCCGAGAAGCAACCATTTTCTGGACCAAGGGGAAGAGAATAGAATCAATCAGCTGAGGCACTGAGGAGTACGACCTGATACTGCCAACCGACTTGCCTAGGTTGATCCATAAGATCATTGCAACACCCTGATTTTATATTCTATCAACGGATGTCTCAAAGCTGAGTCCGTGACACTTCTTAGGCACAGACCTGCCTAGTTGATTGTAGTCACGTATCGTTCAGTCTATACCTTGCACTGATGCAGTAGGTCAGTGTCTGCTAGCTTCAGAGTACGGTAATCTGTATTGACAAAGGATTGAGGTTTTCACGCTCCATGATGGTTGGCGTTCGTCCCCTCACACGTTGACCCATTTTCCCAAGGTCTACAGATAACTAGCTCGTTGGCTGATGCACACATTCAAGCCAGACTCGTGAGAAGGGTGGGCTTGCTGGGATGTAGCCTGCACATCCTAATAAAAGTCGCCAAGGCTCGGTGTACAAAAGTTGCATAAACAGCGCTCGCTCTGACGAGATGAGCGCATTTCTTTGACGGCAGTTGTTTTGTAGTTCTGTCTGTTGAACTGGGTGCATTTTTGGTCCATGTGTTCGTCTCAAATGTGTTAGAGGACAACCATGGTCAGTATTTGACAACAGCGGTGTATCAGGACGCATAGAGGTTTAGGATAGATTAGACCAAGACTTTGGCCAGTGGACGACTCATGGTCAGTCTATTCTCTACTCAAGTACTAACTTTGGTAAGACGTAGGTAGGGATTGTGTGATTTAAATAAATAAAATAGGAAGAAAAATAATGAACAAAGAGAAAAGAGCAAACAGTCTACATGACCATTTGGTGGAAAAGATCTAGAAAGGATTATCCTTTAATGGTGTCTGCAGGTACACACAAGTCTTGCCAGATGAAACAAGTGAGGGGACAGTTATTGGACCCGCAGTAAACAGCCCGTGGACGCTAGTACCTGGCGCCAGGAGCTTCTCCAGTAAACCCTTACCACTTGACGCTATTCAAGCCCTGAATGGGTGGTGATTGGCCCCCTTTTTTGGGGTCGGGTTGGCCTACGTTGATGGCGGCGGGTGCTTGACAGTTTCGCGACGTTGGATCGGGCCTGGTTTTATGGATTTGTTACTGCAGAGGAACCAAAAGCCAAGCCAGACAGGGGCACGCAAATAAGGCATTCTGAACAAAGAACGAGAAGAAGGAATCAGACAAGCAAGCATCTCACCTCATCTTGCCCAATAGAAACAAAGTCTGTCCCTAAAAAAGGGTGTGATATTGTACCCATCAATCTGGATCGCCCTTGTCCATCATAAATAAGTAATCGTATCAGATTCATGCCTAGCTGTTAGATATTCATAAGGCGAGCTTCCTCTTTGCATTATCCTGCATTCTTTCTAACATCAGTGCAATTTGACCAGGTCCCCCAGTTTGTTTTCCATTCCTCCCTCACAGTTCTACGCCGGGGTATCTCACTCACTTGATCTCATCTCATATCATCTCATTTCATTTCATTTCTCCCTTGGCTGTTTCTCTCTGCTCAACCTAACCCACCTTTTTCTCTCTTTTCCACTATTCTGTCCCGTTCCCAGACGGCTTCTCTTCTTCTCTCAACATCGACATCTCTCACGACGGACGACCTCACTGCACCGGGCTCTTTTCACTCTTTCAAGTGCTCCGCGTCTTTGCCTCTCCATCCAGTCATTCCTTTGGGTCAATTCCTTCTCCATCGTCCTCTTTCCCTATATCTTTTTGCTTTCTTTTTATTCCCGTTCGGGCTTGGCAGACGACAATAACCCTCATTCGCTTCCTCACTCATTCGTATTCTTGACGGAGGCTTGCATCCGCTGCTGCATTGAGTACCACGTTGGACCAAGTCACTCACCTCTGTTACATGCCATTACACTGCATAGTACACTTGGTTGTCCGACTCTCGTCTTTCCTTCCTGCTTGAGGGTTTCTTTTGCGACATTACTGGACGCACAACTTCATCCAGGTCAACCTGAGGCATTTATCGATATCCTCATCAACTTGGACAAGGTCTAGCCACTCTCCTTGCGACCGCGGCTGCCAACGATTCACGCACTCGACTACCTGTTGGCTCGACTCACCCTCTACTTCTGCTCCAACAATCAACCAGAGCCTATCACCAAGTTCGGATCTGGCAACTTATCATTCACTCAAGGTAACGGGATTAGTTCTCGTTGCATAAACAATTTCGAAATGCACTTTTCTCTCTCAACTGTTTTGGCGCTGGGCGCCCTCCACACTTTTGGTGTCTACGCTCAGGACTGTATTGTAAGTGACTAGCGCTCAATCGTCCACGCGATCCATTTCCAAACAGGTCCTGATAATCTCTAGAACACCTGCATCGAGAATGTCAAACCCACTGTTGGCTGTGCGGATCCTGCTGATGCCAGTTGCGTTTGCGTTTCCAACGACTTTGTCAAGGGCGTTGCCGAATGCGCAAGAGCACCTGAATGCGCGGCTGCAGACGATGCCATCACAAATGGCATAAGCAACGGATTTTGTGTCGGTACGTCTTTCTCGCCAAGAGCTGCGCACTCCTTGTTACTCCATGGTCAAGGCTAACTCACCCAAGGCCAACAGGTGCCTGCTTTCCCAGGCGCTGCTACGACCCCAGTTGAGAGTGTAGCGACATCTGAAGCAGTAGCAGCAACATCCGAAGCCCCTGCTGCACCTGAAACCACTGCCGCTGAAACGACTCCCGCATCGCTCCCGGAATCCTCAGAGTCATCCGTAACTTCGGAGGCTGCGGCTACTTCAGAAGCTCCAGAGACTACTCCCACTGATTCCGTTGAATCAGCCGAATCTAGTGTAAGAACCGACAAACATTCCTTTGACTCTGTATATATATTTATTAATACACCTAACAGGTTACCGAGGAAGCTTCAGCTTCTTCCACTGATGCTAACAACTCATCCGCAACCACTGAAGCAGCCGGTGCTGCCGCCACACATGATTCGGCGGAAGATGAACATGAGGACGAAACCGCTGGAGGTGGAATGTCTGGTGGTGCCAAAGCTGGTGTCGGTATTGGTGTCACCATTGGTGTCCTTGCTCTCCTTGGTACTGCTGGTTTCTTCTGGAAGAAACGTCAAAACCAGCAGGACCTTCCACGCGGAAACATGGACGATATGTCACCACCCATGGCTTCTAGGGATCGCAGTTATCCTGCGCCTGATCAAGGATCAATCGGCGAGAAGCACGGGTATGATCTTGAACTCATGTCCCATCGGTATGAGGATATGCTTCCCCGGGAGGAACCACGACACATGGTTTAAGGTCACTTTGGAGAAAGCCTGGCGTTTTAAAATAGGGGCACAAGCAAAACCAATACAGTGCAAACATCATTCTCATTCGCATCATTTCTTGCTGAGCAAAGCCTCTTTATGATTCAGAACTGGCTGCCCAGCTCACGAGCACTGGTCATCAAGCGTGGCGGTCCTCACAGCGAAAGAACACTAACAGATTCTGCGAGTTACGAGTAGAAATGAAATTTATATCAAACCAGGCTTTGATCTGGGCGGCGTTAAGAGGTTCCTCGACGGACAAGATACCACAAAATGATAGGGGGGGGGNGGGGGGGGGGGGGGGGGCAATGGTTGAAAAAAGCCAAGTCAGTGAGGGAACTTAGCATATTTTAGCATTTACATTAACTTTCATCAAGTGTACATCCTATTCATTGTACATATCTTACAAGTCCCTATGGGATATTACGCTGTGGTCTTCTACCGCGTTTGAATCCCGCTTTTTTTTTCATGGTTCCAACAATTCAGATTGCATCAGCCAACATCTTGTTTACCACGAATAGTATGGTCTTTGTCCATATACAGGTCGGTTGGGCAGATGTACCCATGGTCCCTTCTTGTTCTTCTTGGCCACGCGCTCATCGTACTCTCGTATTCTTGACTTCTCTTCCTTGAGTAAGACAGTCAGGCCTAAAGAAATTAGTCAGTCTCTAAAATCAAGCATAGATATAAACAGCCATGAAAACTTACTTGTGCTGGGGTGTCTGATGATGCCCATGCGTCCTCGACCCTTGTAATCAATCCTCTTTCCCCGCCAGGGACCCCTTCCAACCCACGATTGAGCGATATACATGCGTGTAGGGTCCTCAATCTCGAGCCATTTCCCATCGATAGTCTGGATCTTTCTCGGGGTTTTTAAGATCTCGTCATTGAACTTTCCAAGCCCCATACCACGTTGAGCAACAGCCAGATCGCGAGCTTCTTCAAGGTAGTATCCGATCTCAGCTGCCATCTTCTTCTTGGACCACTTCATCTGCAGGATAGCATCATCGACGGGCTTGCCAGCGATCTGGCGGGCCAACATGACAAGCTTCTTGACACTTGTTGGCATGAACTCGCTCTTGTGCAAGAGTTGTCGCTCTGTCATTTGAATACGCTCGTCTTTGGTCAAGCGACCGTTACGACGGACCATTTGAATAACCTTTTTTCGCTGCCAACGGACTCGGCTTCGAGGGTCAGGGTCCACTACCATAGCCATGTTCTCCCTTGTCTTTTGTTCGACTTCGGGGGTGCCAGGAGCGGCGGCTTCCGGACTCGCGGTCTCGATTTCTTCTTGGAAAATGTTGTCCTCTACGCCGCTGTACATGCTCTTTTGAAGATATTCCTCACGACTCTTTGGGTTGTCGAGCTGGGATGTAGGATCCAGGGAAGCCACCGTCTCGGCATTCTTATTTCGGGGCTTGCCCCATCCCTTGAAGAGATTGGAGGCCCATTTGTGTCGTCGCTGAACTGTAGGTCCGATGGTTGCAGAGAGAACGGGAATTGGTGTGCTGGATACTGGATGCACAGTCCTTGCTGTAGAGTGAAGCTCTTGGTCAGTTTATACGGGGTTCAACGCCAATTGAGCGGCAAACAGGGTGAGAAGAGTATCGCCGTACCTGATACTGCCAGCCTCTGGGCAGCTAATCGGAGACTCATGGTTGCAGATGTCGTCGGGCTCTGCAAACCAACCAATCTCTTCAGAGTCGCTCTCACAAGATGTCTTGCAGCTGAGGGTCGTTTCAATGGGCGAGATTCTTTTCCATATCGTATTTTACCGCTGTTCAGCCGTGGCTATTACTGGCACCACCCACTGTAGCAGGGTCGGAACAGCCCAGCTGCTACCATGGTAGCACACGTGACACGAGCGCTCTAGCGCGATTAACATCAGCCCATCTCGGGAATCAACTTGGAACTGCTTGACCACATTGAAATCCCAAGCACCTCTGCCACCCTCGAACGCTCCGCCTCTTCGCCCGAACATCTTTGCACAAATAAATCAGTCATAATGGCCGTCCGACCCATCACCGGTGTACGTTTCCCCGACCCAATGGCTTGGTCTTCGCTTCACCCGGGCCAGAGGAGCCTCAAATAAACCCGGTACCAGAGCTTTTCGTGGACTGACAATTGTGCTAGATGCTCCGACGAAACCTCGTCCTGGATCTCAGCATCGCTCTCGGTACGTCGACCTCTACTACAAACGATTCGAACTACATCAATTGGAATTTGTCAACTTGAAGGGAAGGACTATCGCAAGAGCTGACAATTCGCGTGATGTGGTTGGTTGGAGAGCATCAAGCTGACTGACTGGTAACATCGCAGGCTCCGGCTTCGTCATGGCCAACTTCTTCTGGTAAGGGATATCGCCGAAATAATGGCACGATAGCGAGACTAGAAGACTCACCATTCCGACACAGGTACGGCTTCCACATGCCCCGAACCAACGCCCGCGACAACTACTACATCAAGCTCGAGGAGGAGCGAGCTGCTCAGAAGAACGAGTAAAGCAAAGATATGCCGAGTCGAAGTCGGATGGCATAAGCAAGGGCATAGGGGAAGTTGGGAAGTACACATAGAGGCCACTAGCCAATGTTTCGTTTGTCGTGTAGCTGGGTAAAAAGCAAAATACCACCACGGCTTCAACCACATCGATCGCTGGCAATCTGTACTGTAGGCAAGGGCAACCGAATCGTATGTGCTTTGATCATTCCTGAAGTGCTATTAAAATGAAATGTGATAAAATGCGACTAGTATTCAGTTGGCGATCCTACGAGCTGCGAGCATGAGTCACAATGGTACGATCTCAGTACTCAGTACTAGTTGTGAAGTTATAGATGAGATTTCACAGAGCGACTCGATGAATGTTTTCGGTTGTAGGCAGCAATTATTATACAAATTCATGGTCCGATAGAGATATATGCCTATTCTCGGCCCATTCCAGCAATGCCGTCATCAAGTTGTTGCAGCCTCGCATGTAATTCAATGGACCAGCATCAAGGCATATAAACTACTTACCCCGTAGTATTTTATCACTACGCTGATATCGCTTGGCGCGCGGACGCTTACTGACATGAATTGTCCGTGTGAGGTGTGCAAGCAATAAGTTTCATGTGTGTGAATAAAAACTATCTGTTCGAGATGAAGCTCCCCCATGTTGCAAAAAACCAACGGCGGATGATGCTAGCCCATATTGTGACAGCAACACTTTTCGAAAAAGGGAAAAGAAAGAAAAGAAAGAACCAAATTAATTGCTGTCTTTTTATCTTGCGGTGTCTGGTGAGTGCCAGCTTGAGGACCAGTGGTAGTGCTGAGGAGGCGCCTTATTTCTGCTGTCTTTTACATCATCACTCTTCTGTCCCTCCACAGGATAATCTTTACCCTCCCACGCTGTTGTCTCGACCATGAATGAACCCTTCTTGTCTTGACATCTACACGAACGAATTAATCGTCAGAACCTTTCACCATCCGCCATAAAGGCTGCGGTACATATACAGTGCAATATTGCGTGCAAATAGAGAGGGTGGTAACTCACTTTCGGAATAGCCGTTCAACAGCAAAGCACTGCACGGGGCTATCCCATTTGACAGGCTCTTTGATCTCGCATTTATACTGCAGCATCTCAAGGAGCTCACAGCCTTTCAGGTCGACATTCTTGGCTCCCTGATCTAGCTTGCGCTTGCGACCGCTGAGATTGGTTTGGATACGGTCAGGAAGCTCCGAAGCGTGGAAAACTTGACACGGGTAACCCATCTCCAAGGGCAATCGTGATCGCAACTAGAAAGTGTCACTAGATACCGTGATTTATCCGGAAGGTGATTTTCCTCTCGTTTTAACGATGGAGGCGGCGACTGGGAGTCGATTGTTGGGAGAGATTGAGGAGATGAGTTTAGAAGAGGTGAGTTCAATATCTCGGACTTGAGGCTTTTGCCGCTTTTGATCATTACCTTCCCACATTATCACCTCATTATCGGCCAAGCTTGAGGATTATCATGACTATGGACCAAGTAAGAAATACTACTTGAATACTGTCTCCCTTGGTTTTACTCATATTTACGAGCTTTTCTCAGTCTTTTCTGCTTGAAATTCTCTGGCTTGGAGGACACTTCTCCACCACCAAGTACACCCTTGTTTAGATTTTCCAAGCTGCAAAGTGACTCTTTTGTTCCGTTACATATATATATGATTGTAGCAATGCGATGCTAAGCTGTAAGTACAGATGCTTCGAGGTTTACGTTCATCGCCCACGTTGGATCCGAACGTACTCGGCCTCAGGACTCAGTTTCAACCAAGAAAACTCACACATATATCGCCGCTTGATGAAATAGCAGCGGCTCATTTTCATACGACAAAAATTGCGAGTATTGGAATATCTGGACGTCACCTCCCGCTTCTTTATAAAGTCGTATCGAATCTCGTCAGCCCACCTCATCTCTATGCTATTCTCATTATCGACATAGAAGGTCGCTTCGATGCCACCCGGTTGCATTGTTCGCCATCTCATATGCGACACGTTTACGTTCAAAGGCCCGCTCGAAACGATCCAGAACATACACGTACCCTTGTAGCCGAAGCAGAAGGGATCCTTCTTTACGGCGACGTAGCTCGCGCAAGCGCTGGACGTGAGTGGTGGGGAACTATCGTCGTAGGCGGTTTGGGATCTGGTGATATCTCAGCGAACTGGAAAGGATGGCTACGGGTCGATCGCGAGGGCGTGCGTGGCTTTGCATTAGGTATCAGTGCACAGGAGGCTCTAGATCAGAAGAAGCAGAGACATGATGTTGTGGACATGGCTGGGTGGGCAGTCACTTCGCAGTGGGGAGGATATACGTTCAAAGATGGTGGCGAGGACGCTTCTGAGGAGGATACGAGAAAAGGGGACGGTGTTGACAATATAGAACGAGTCGAGGTCAACCGGGAATGAATCAATAAGATCTTGTGTAACCGAATATATCATTCTGTAACAATATAGGCCTACTCCAGACTGACTCATAGGACTCATACATGACCCACAAACTTCAAAGCTGGTAGGAGGGTCATAGCGGACGCCAGCGACAAGTCGATTGTGTAGGGAGAGACTAATGAAGGGGCATGTGGACTGTTATGCGTTTTGCGACACAAACTTGCCCCGTCGTCACTGTGAGCCTCGCTCGTAACCCCCAGTATTTGGTGTTGATCTACGTTCAAATAGAGTACCAAGGTAGATTCGTTAGAAAACACCGGTCCGTCTGCACGAAAATTTAAGAAGGCCTAGTTGCGATGTCAGCCGGATCACCTTCTGAGCAGGATTTTGAATCACAATTGAGCCTCGCCAACCTCTATCTTGAAAGATGAGTACAAGTGGGTTTCTACTGAGACTGGACTACAAAAAAAAGTCTAGTGAGGTTAGGACGGATAATCTGCTTGTTCTCGATGTTCGGCATGGTAGTCGAATGGATCGGCAATTAACACATACCAACTAGTTGTGCGAGTGAATAAACAGACAAACTGATTTGTTCTTAGTGCTCATTGATGGCGATATGCCCGGCCAACACAATTAAAACCCAACCCTTTCTTATCGACCTTATTGTTTTTAAATCACGTTATAAGGGTCTCGTATAATGAATATTGCAAGAGTTTTTTTTTTTTCTTTTTTTTCTATCTTTATGCTATTCTATAGGATTGATGTGATGCTCATCAGGGTATAGGTGGGTGGTGCATCAAGGGTGGGTAAGAAACTAGCTAGATAAGATGAAAAACTTAGAATTCAGAATTCGTCCGTTCATCCGGACGATGTATGCTCTATCAAATCTTCAGGACCTGTATCCGGAATGTGCTCGTGGCACCTGCAAAGAGCCGTAATGCAGATGGGCTGTAAAGGAAAGTTCGTTTCGCGTGGCTATGCTACAATAAAGGAAATTCCGTAACTCCATGAAAAAAGATGGTATCCCAAAGTAGTGTATATGAATAGAAGGGAGGTATGTCGGATTAGATGGTTATACCATCCATATCAACAGCGATCTCGGTGATACCGGAGTCAGGAATGAGGGCAGGCTTGATCATTTGGCCCTTAGCAGCCTTCTTGTCCATTTCGCGCTTAATACCATGGTTGACAGCATCGAGGACGTTTTCGACAGTGACACGAGGCTTGTGGGCAGGTTCAGTGCCGTCCTGGTATACACCGGTCTTGACAAGAATGCTGTACCAATCATTGTCGGCGACCTTGTTGACAGCATTGGTACCACGGATGTCACTCTCAGGGGTGTCGCCAACGAAGTAGACAGTGTCAGGAGGAGCGACGAGACCATGCTCAGTCTGGCGCCACTGACCCATCAAACGGGAAGCAAACTCGAAAGTAGAGACCTGGGGCTTGCCGAATGCATGGGTATGTAGAACACCATTACCGCCAGTAAGATCCTCAAAGGTAACCTCGAACATACGGCGAAGGGCGCCCATGCCGAGACGAACATGTTCATGGGCAGCAGACCAGACAACGTCATTGTGGGAGAAGTAGAAAGGAGGACCCTCGTCGTTGGTCTCGCTGCGGGTGCCGAGACGACCGCCCTTTGACATGGCAACATCGAGCATGATCTGGATGTCGCCGGCCCAGTCGCGAGAGTCGGCAAAGACAAAGACAGCGTCAATCACAACGTCCGTGAAGTCTCGCTCACGTGAGTTGCGGTGCTCCTCAGGAGTAAGCTTGCGGAAAGGAGTTGTGGCAGCGTTGTGCTTGATGATATCACCAGGAGTTACAACATCTTTGAATCCATAGCCCTCGGCAACGTGTCGACACTTCTCGCCCTCGCCACCGACGACAAGAACGGTGCCGTACTTCTCAGCCATCTCCCTCATGGGGGTGTGACCGCAGATAAATTGGCCAGGCTTAATGTCACATTGGAGCTGACCAGAGAGATCATTGCATCGCTCCTCTTCTGTCTTACCACCACCGTTGGTAAGGAAGATATGAGGCCTGTTATGAGATGCATTAGTATTATGGTCCAAGCTAAAGTCACGATGCCCTTTATTATGTGGACCTCCCCAGAAAAAGTCCGGGGATGGTGGATCGCGACTGCATATGGTGCATGGTTCGACTTACACTTGAATGCCATATTCATTGTCACCATTGAGAACCTTCATGGCCTGAAGGGCCTCAGGAATGGCTCGTCCGCCGCGGACAAGGACACCGTCAATGTCAAAAGCAAAGACAAAGGAGTCAGCCACAGGCTGCGAAACAGCAGGGGAGAGAGGAGAGGCGGGAGATCCGAGACTGGCAATGCTGTCACTGGAGCTGGAGCTTCCAAGCTCAGGAGAGCTAGGTACAGAGTCGGGGGTGGTGACCTCGCCCTGGTCAGGGAGATTGTCCTTGAAGAACTCGGTCTGTTGTGAAGACATGGTGGTGGTAATTCGTGTTGTGTAAGAACAAAAGCAGTCCTGTTCAGGCGCACGCGTATCGATTTAGACGCGTGGAGTTAAGAGGTTTTGAGTGGGATCGAACAAAGTGTCTGTCTGAAGTAGCCGGATGATGACTGGGGAGTGCTGAGCTATTTGTGTAAATGGTGATGGTGGATATGGAATCTGGGGAATGATGGAGAATGATGATTTCTACCGTCAAGAACGGTGGGAGAAATGGGGCTTTATAGATTTAGATATCAAGCGGAGAGCAACAGGAAGGTACGTAAGATGCCTCAGAAAGCAAACATCAAGCAAGGCGCCATCTTGGCCATAGCCTGTGATCGATATCGAATCGACGACAACATGTATCCATGGCAAGCAAGGTATGGGCATGGCATTCTCGGTAGACGCCCGTCGATACGTAGGTCGGGGTCCAATAACCGAGTCATTTCACATCTATCGAAACTATAGCGTAGCAAGCCCAAGGATGATTCCCCTATACCCACAGTAAGGGTTCCACAGCTTGGTGATGGTGATGCTGAGGTGAGGTTAGTTTAGGTTTTGGCCGTAGTGCAACAGAAAAAAATTTACAGTATGAGGTAAGGGATGTTGATGACGGCGTTGCTTCCTTCCATCTTCTAGTTCTGGGCGACAAAGGTACCTGGAAGAGCCAGGTGGGTGGGTACTGTATACATGCAATTCCCTGCTGTAATGCGTCAAGACCCAGTGTATTGACTACACTAGCTTCTGGCAACCTGCTGTTCCCCTCGCGGCTGGGGCGGGCCATCATGATTTTGCTGTGCACTGGGTTCTTGACGCCGTCGCCGCACTAGAGACAACCTGACAACCCCATTCTCAACCTCACCTCGCGCAGATTGGACGTCATGACCAAATAGAGAAATACGAAACATGCCTGTCCAGACCCTTGTTATCATTTGCCAACCAACAGGTCGTAAATAACGCAACTGGAGATGTATCTGCCTGCCACATTGTGTCTCTCTGTCTGTCAGACAGACGCAAGCAGGTAGAACGTGCTGTGATCGCCAATTGATTGTCGTCTTCTAATCAGGTTATCAGGGCTTCTTGAATCGTATTAGACACAGCAAAAAAACGGTGTAGAACTGTGGCGTTTTCGAACGGCAACGATATGCTCTACCTTCTACCGTACCTGTACATACTGGGTACTACAGAGTAGAGGAATTTCAATTGTGGTGTGGACCCTGAGGCTCCTTGGGTACGCACTACCAATCAGGGACTCTGCATCGGCCATTTACAGCCAGTCAAATCAGCATCTCTTTGTAAGTCCCCCAAGGACAAGTTGACGACTTCCAGGGGCTCAGGGGCTCATGCACTCAGCTCTCGGCGTCAGAATTAATGCAAGACCGACGCCATCAAGCGCGCGATCCTGAGAGAAACCGGATTCAACACCCATTGTATCAAAGAGTATCCACCGTCAAGCACAACATCCATGACGCCAATACGGTTGCCGTCAGAGAAAGAGGCATTGTTGACGGTAGTAATGCATGCAAGCAGCTTCCTGCCACCTCCACTATCTCCCGCGGAATCAAGACTCAGTTCGTTATTCTATGCCAATTTGGTACCCGTTTCGTATATTTCGGCGCACAGTTTCGGTCCGTTGTTCAGGTGACGTCAAGCTGGCTCCGCCCAGGGTCCGCCAAAACCCCACCAGTCCGATCCGAAGCCCTATCAGCCATGCGGAACGGCCCCATCGGTGGGCTTGGGTCATCCACTGCGGTCTTTGACGGGCACTTTCGGCTGGCACTATCAACAAAACATTATTCATACCAGAAAAGAGTTACATTACACAACAATCGCCGATTGTTTATGCGATCTTAACATTGGCAAGAAACAAGATATAATAAAACCGCAATAGATACAATACTCATAGTCATCATGATAGAGGGTGAAAAAGAGCAGAGAAAATATGGTTGTACAACGTGGCTGCTGTAACACAAATTATCCAGCTCAAAGAGATCTGTCCCTGAAAGCATGTGAAACGCGGTCAAAAGATAGCCGTTATCAGCTTGATCGGGATTAGATCTGCATGCGACAGCTGGGTAGAGCCAGCCTGGTACAAGTACATAGGGTCCTTGCGCGTGCGCACCAGAAAGACGTTCGTCTATGAACGGTCAGTCAGTGGGCTGCTTGCATGTCACTGACCGGCCTGCCACTTCAGTCCAACCGAGCTTGGCTTGGCTTGGCTTGGCTCAGCTCAGCCTTTTGGCGCCTTTGCCTGTCGTGTCGACGTTGTCTTGATACGGTAGTCATCATTGTCATCGTCACCGTACCGTTTTCCCGTCTTGCCTTGCATGAGAGTACATACCATCGATAAGCTAAGCTTGCACATCGCTCGATTCTCTTGAAATACCTTGTTATCTATCTGCTCGTCCATTCACGTCCCAGATAAACGTAACCATCTGGGCCATATTTCTCTTGGCAGCAGCGGCCTCCTGAGTTGACATTCAGAGTCTTTGCTAATACTAGGATCATGGTTCAGTACGCTTGGTCTTAACGTTCTCTTTCGCGGGGTACGTACGCGATTAACATCACTGTTCCTTGCAGGATCCCTGTAGTTGATGGAGCGCAGGAGTCGGACGAAAACAAGCATGAGGGGAAAACACTGGGGAAAGCAATAAAGGATGATTTCTGGCTGTTTTTATGAACCCGTGTATCGCGTTACGGTGGGCTGAACGGTCTGGATGACAGGGGCTCTTGTACAGAAGTAAAGGGAATTTTATTTTCGGTGGTTTTTTTCTTGACTTTGGCAGTCCGTGATGTCACTCACTACCTACTTATCCTGCAGAGAATTTCTAGAAACCAAGGCCTTCGGCAAATAGAGTTCAGACTTTTCAGGAGAGCAATGGCATTATTTCGCCTTTGTTCCAGGGGATTGATTGGTACCTACCTAGGTAGATAACGATAACCAGAGTCTACCTATAGCGAGGGGATGTCTTGGCCAAAGTATATTGTCAGACAGCCTCGGTCGACTCCCGCCCAAGATCCTAGTCACCTCCTGCTTATCATTTCCTCGTTACGTTTGAATGCTCTGTCACCGTCCGAGACCCTTCTGAATCAAACAGGATCATTCTTGTTTTCTTTGGCTTGTAATGGAGGGTAAACACAACGGCACGGTAGCCTCAAAAGAGACAAGGGTGGAATGGATGTGACGGAGCCAGATATTGTGCAGAGATTTACGGTTGTATACTGCAGTTTGTAAGACGCAGTACTCTTTGAGCTCCGATTTGTCTTGATAAAAAAAGCCGCGTTATGCGGATTGCTCATCATCTTCCTACAAACCAACAAACAGGCCTCCAGTCGCCCGCTTTCTTTCCCCCTCAATCTTGCCTAACAGCACAGTCACTGGTATTCTTGGATTGGGCATCGATCTACGCTAATTGCATGAGAACGAAGATTGAAGCAGCCGGTCAACGCCGTCGAAGCCCGGCGCCGCGACCCCGGACCTGATAGCGCCGCCCCGGGTCTCCGATTACCTGGATGATCCGTCGCAGAAATGGGCATATACCAAGGTGAGAGCGGTTTTGATATCCAATACATTCGTGATAAAGCACCGCCAGGCTCCACGAGTCAGAATCTTTGCGGCTCGGACAGATAATCACCCACATAACTAGAATTGACTCATCTCCACAAACAGGGAACAACATTGGTGGCAGTTATTCGTTTCCATAATTCTCCAGGTTTTAGTTTTGCTTCGATATCCATAGCGCTTCGCCTCCACATACCCACTTCTCCATATCTCCATTTCTCCCCACGAGCTTAATCTTCTCTCCTTCACTGAAGATTGACGAACAGACCACCGTCGACGAGAAGCTGCGCACCCGTCACATATCCGCTCAGCTCTGGACACGCCAGGAAGACGGCCGGGCCAGCCATATCTGATGGCGAACCAGTACGTCCCAGAGGGATACGGCCTTCCATATAAGTTCTCTTTGCATCATCAGCCAGGTCTGCGTCGTTGAGCTGCGTACGAATCGTGCCTGGGAGAAGCGCATTGCACCGAATGCCGTGTTGTCCCAGGGCGCACGCTGTGCTCTGCATCAAGCTCAATACGCCTGCCTTGGTGGGTGTATAGTGTGTCTGTTGGCCACCGCCGACAAGGGCTGAAATGGAAGAGACGCCGATGATGCTTCCTCCCTTGGGCTCTTGGTGAAGAGCCATCTGCCGTGCAGCAGCCTGGGTCACGTAAAAGGCACCATCCAGATTCGTTCGCACCGTTGAGTGAAGCAAATCCGGCTCGAGCGTAAGGAAATCAGCAAATGTGCAGATGCCGGCATTAGACACGCAAACGTCAAGTCGCTTCTTGGGGGAGTGTTCGACGGCCTTCTTGACCAATTCTGTTGCTGTCGCTGGGTCACGCACATCGCCCGCTTGGTGATCGAGGTGCCCGGCAGTGGGTGATGCTTTTCGGATTTCGTCGGCCTCAGCGATGAGTGACTCGAGGTGAGTCTGGTCTTTTTCAAGGCCCAAGTGGTTTACCACGACATTAGCGCCTTGCCGCAGAAACTCGAGGCAGATAGCACGGCCAATGCCCGTTGTGCCGCCAGTAATGATGGCAGTCTTATTGGCGAGAAGACCTGCTGGCATCAACATAGTTGCGAACGTAAATGCGCAACTGACTGTAAGTGCTTGTTTCAATTTGCTGTTCCAATATGGCAAAACCCGAGGAGACTGCAATGCTCCTTGTAGACTGGTTAAAACGATGCCGAGAATGAGGTGTCGTTGCACAAAAGGAAAGGCCTTCGCAGAGAGTCTTGTATTAAGATTATTACTAAGACTTTGAGGCGGGTTTCTTTGTAAAAATGATTCAAGGTGAAGATTTGAAGAACTGCGAGACGCCCATTTCTATGTCTTTCCCCTCATTTCCGGTAAATGGCTCTTAGTGAACCCGAACTGACCCTCCTCTTGGAGGTGAGCATCCATCACGACCCGCGCAAATGGTGGGACAAGGCAGCAAAAAAGAGGAACGTGCCTCTTCTAGACCTTGTTGTGACGCTGGTGACAGAAAAAGCCTCGGTGCACCAACCTGCGAGACATTTTGGGGCAAATTAAATTTACAATGTTGTTGTTATCTCGGTGTGCTTTGACGCGAGACACCGGCGGGGAAATGTGAATTACTAAGGTACTAACAAGAGTGAGTTTTGGCCAAACCTTTTTTAAGACGAAAACTGGAGTGATAATGTGGATCTTGGCAGACTCCAGTCTGATGGTAATTCCTCCCATAAATCAATGTAGAGTCGGAACAGGAACACCAGATAAACACGCCAAATGATCGTGAACCTCGAATATTGTATCTCAGATCTAGTAAATCTCGATAAACCTCCCCGCAAAACAAACTCGATCAGTTCCCACAAAAGCCTAAACTCTGGACCCGGAAGCTCAAGCCAACGGCTCTTTACTGGGGTTGTGCATTGGATCGTGAGAATGAATTTGCCACTGACGTTCTGAACTGCCACCGTCTTTCATAAAGCGGCGCAGTAGACGGTCACCGTTTGACCCCAGAAAAAGGGTCTCACGATGCATGCATTCAACGTCGCGTCTATTTACTCACGAGACTCACTGAGCGTTGTGGGTCGCATTATCAAGATTGTATTTTCGTTTTTGTATTATTAAGTACTCAATTCTCATGTTGCACTGTCTTTCAATAACACCGATAATTCACATTCCATATTTAGTATGTTTTCAACTCCATATCTATGTCGGATAGAGATCGGCTGTGTCGATACACCTCTATTTCTTGGAGGAGCTCCTCGGCTTTGGCTGTTGATGAATGATTTTCTTTTTGGGGGATACAATTACAACCAGACACTCTGACAACTCTGTGTAAGTGAATCTGAATATGTCTTAATTCAATTATCAGTGTTTTAAGATGCTACCTGGTTCTATATTTTCACGATGTCAATCGACACCACTGAATGCACGAAAAGTCTTTCTTGACTGAGTATGTACTAGGTATGTAGATCACAAAACGTAGCCACAAAACAAAACCCTAACCAAACCCAAAACCAGAACACTGCAACGTCCATGATAGCACTCATTACAGAGCAATCGCTATTTTAAGAACTCGTCGAGGTTGTGAGACTTTCTACCTTGGCCGCAAGGGAGTCAAGAGTGCCGTTGGGCTTCTCGGATTGTTCATTTGACTTGATTTCCTTACCAGTTTGGGGATTTTGAGGTATCTCGGGAACCTTGAACAGATAGTCGCTGGGGATAAGCTTAGCCCGAGCGGCAGGGTTAATGGTCAACCCGAATCCAGGCTTATCCAGGTCGGCAGTTGTGAGATACCCCTTGGTAGGAATAGGCTCGTCGATGAAGAGGTCTCCGAATACGGGTAAAACACTCTTGCCGTCGGGGGAGTTGGCCAAATACTCTTGGAAAGGAGTGTTGGGCTGGGAGATTTGAAAGTGGTAGCTGTAAGGACCACTGGCGTGAGGAACAACCGGCACATCGTACGCAGCAGCCAATGCAGCGACCTTGAGAAGCTCAGTCAAACCACCAAGCCACATGACGTCGGGCTGAATAATGTCGAGATTCCGGCCCTCGACAAGCTTGCGAAAGCCATATCGAGAGTACTCGTGCTCACCAGTGGTGAACTTGACAGTGGGGTGGGCACGCTTGATGAGCGCAAATCCGTCAGTATCATCGGGCGACAAGCACTCCTCCCACCAATTGATGTTAAGATCGAGACAAGCCTTGACGAGCTCGATTGTGTAGCTGACGTTCAAACTCATGTAGCAATCGACCATAATGGGGAAATCGGGGCCAACAGCCTCACGATGCTTTCGCAGGAACTCAACATTCTTACGGAGACCCTCGTGGCCATCATCAGGGCAAAAAGGTAGAGGGACCTTGCCTCCCCAAAATCCCATTGCCTTGGCAGCTGTGGGCTCAGGGCCTGTGCAGTAAAAATCGAGGCGCTCCTTGGTAGCGCCACCTATGAGACGGTAGACGGGCTCGTTGCGAACCTTTCCTAGAAGATCCCAAAGGGCGAGGTCGATGACCGAAATTACGGCGATGGGGAGGCCCTTGCGGCCGTAGAACATGGAGGCTCGGTACATCTGCTCGAAGAGGAGGTTGGTGTTGCGAGGGTCTGCGCCGATGAGGAAGCGCTCGAAGTGCTGGTGAACAAGCCAGCAGGCGGGAGGTCCTATCAATCTGTCAGTAAACCATTTCTAGCCGTTCTTGAGGTTCCCAATTCGCAAGCCTATCATCCGAATCTCTTAAGTAATCGAACTTACCTCCAAAGCCAGTGGCGAAGCCTACTGTTCCATCTGTAGCCTCAATCTCGACCAGAAATGAGCCCAAAACATTGATGCCCCAGCTGGTTCGTGACTTTTTGTACTGTTCCCATTTTGAAGCAGGTGTTGAAATATCGCTATCGATGAGCCTAGAGGTTGATTGTGAGCGATGGTTCCGAGACGGGATGATATGGGATTGTGCCAGCATACCAGTGACCACCCTTGACGTTATGATAATCACCGCCTATACACCAAGAATTATTAGCACAAATTGGTAGTCGTGGGCGTTTTTACATTTTGATTCATGGAGACATAAATCAGCGCGACATACCTGATCCAACACCGCCGATTATGAAGGACCTAATAGCCTTAATCTTGGGGAAGTCCTTGACAGATGACATTTTAGAGGCAGAGAGTCAATTGAACCATGCAGGAGCCGACGAAGTGAAGTTTCTGGAGCTCAACAAGTCGCAAAAAAAGCGAAATTGTTTATAATGAGAGGTTTAAAAGGAAGAAGAAGAATCGGCGCGAGCTGGGGATGAGCCTCTCTTTACAAAGGATGTGCTGGTACTATGAAGGTGGGTTGAACATATTTGGACTGCAGCAGTACCGCATCGAAACTCATAACTGACTGGTCAGTGAGTCTCGTGATGGTACAGCCCGGTAAAGCAATGTCCCGTAGGGGTAATGCATTGCCTCGGATTCCCCTCTGGCGAACAAATATCGGGACAAGATGCACCGAAGTTGGTGTTGAATATGGAGTCATCTCCAATTGCAAGACCTTCTCCACAATTTCTCGGTCCTTGTCGGGGTTCAGAGCGTAAGAACAAAATTGGGAGCAGCTTCAGCTTAGCGGCGGCTCATGAGTTCCGGTGTATTTTTTTTCTTCGGTTTTTCCCCCCCTTCCTCTTTTCTTCCTTACCCTTTTTGTCTAGATATAACTCTTCTAGCTTTGCAATGATACAGAGGGTACTGTCCTTTATTTACTTGCTTCCCACCTTCAGACTTCATAGTCTACGTCGATTTCGTACAGCCACCGGCCTTGGCTTCTCTGTTGCCATGTATTCAGCCATTTCTGTTTCTGCCACAAACATTTGAGGCCAAGTGTGCAATTGCGGGGTGACAGGGGAGGGAAAGGCAATGTGTGGAGAGATTCTACATGTAGCCTAAGCTCGAAGTTTTGGGGATGAGATTCTGAAAACTATTTACTAACATAAAAATAAGTCCAACAACGGTGAACTTGATATACATATAGACATTTCGATGTTTAATCCCTGTATCATAATATCCACTATGTAATAGCCATTGAATAACCTTGTCCGTCAACATGTTTTAGAGACAGAGGCAGCCCTTTTGAGGTTGAATTGAAGACCCAAATGGGACTAATACTGTTGCAGGACGCAAGGTCCGGGGCAAAAGAACTTTACGATATCCACTTGAATATCATTCCACAAATCAGATTATACCGCTTCTCCCATTTCCCCGCTTTAGGTCCCCTTGAGGAAAGAGCCTGGGAGGGTGAGGTCAAGGTTAGGAGGTAAGAAGGTTTGAGCAGGTACAGCCTACAGGACGCGTGCGGCGTGAAGGTCCCGTCATTTCTCTCCGCATTATAGATCCATCGTAGTTGAACCGGACTGGGAAAGTCCACCCATGAAGCATGTGAAGCCAACTGCTTCTTTTCTTTCCCTCGAAATTGATCTTTTTTTCCTGCAGTTCCACAACAACTTGATCGAAACCCAAGAGCTCACAACAGTCTTCATTCAAACAACTCTTGCAGCTCCGGTTAACCGACTGACAAGACCAAGCACTGGCAGTCTGTCCACCTGCTAAGGTAGCTCCCGAGTCCACCTCGGCCCACCTCAAATTGGCCCGGTCATCACGGCGCCACTTCCCATCCGTCCGAGGCACAAAGCCAGCAGAAAGCGAAGGGGATAGTGAGAAGACAGGTGCCAGGCAAAGAGGAGATATCAGCTCATAAATAGGATTCATGAAAATATTCATGCGCATCGGCAATTCACGGTATTGGTAGAAATTCCTACGTCAGGTACCTACCCTGATGTTAGGTTACCTATCCATTCCTCTGCTACCTATTTAGTGCTGTACAGGCCTATTTATCCTCGGGCGATCGTACTCCTGCTCCCGCTTGACATTATCCCGGACCGCGAGGTCAAACACGACTGGTCTTTCGCGCGGGTATATGCTGTTCACCATTTCGTCGCTTCTTGCTGTGCCTTGGACCACCCCTGTTTTTGGGCTCTATTCACGTTGCTCGCACGACTGTTGGGGAGCTCGTTCGTTCTTACATCGTGCCGACACACGAGACCAGTTACAAGGGCTCTGGGAGAATCGCCCTTACGCCCAACATCCATCTCACATTTAGCCATGCAGAACGGGGCCAGCAAAGTATCGGGCGACGGCTCGGTAGAGAATCGCCCGCCTTCCACAGAGGCAGACAGTGATGAAGCCAACCAATTCCATAGTGAGGACGAAGACCACGGCGACCATGAAACTCTCTGTCGTAATGGGAAGAGGAAACGTCCTGTCTCAGTCTCGTAAGTCCAGCTCCCGTCTCTGCTTGTTACCTACACACTTTTCCCAACCACACAAACAACCGCCTCAGACTCTGGTCGAGTCCATGTCTCAAGTTAAGGATTTGTTTTGTCCTCTTGGCAGATCTCCAATTCGATAATCATGCTGGAGTCTTATCTGCATTTCCTATACTCTCTTATCAACACCATGCCATCCGAGGCCACTTCATCGCCCCATCACTCGACCTCCCCACTCCCTGCAAATCTGGAACATTACACCACATTGCAGATTCAATCTGCTTTGTCTACAACTGCACAAGATTTTGTCGACACTGAAGCTAACGTTGCTGTACCCAGATGTGAGCTGTGCAAGCAAAGAAAAGTACACACAATCGTGTCCCTTATTTTCTATCTTGAACATGCTGACCTAATTCATCTTTCAGGTCAAGTGCGATCGTGGCCAGCCGTCATGTGGGTGGTGTAGCCGCAACGGCGCTGTATGCGAGTACAAAGAGCGCAAAAAGCCTGGCTTAAGGGCGGGCTATGGACGCGAGCTTGAGCAGCGCCTCGACAAACTCGAAGAGATTCTGCGCTCTCATGCTGAGATTATTCACGGTTCTTTAGTATCCAATACAAACCCAGTGTTTGCTACCAGTATTCGACGAAGCAACCCAAGCCTTTCCAGTGAACAAGGAACACCACGGGATACTCATCACAACCTTTTCCGACCATCTGAACCAATCCGCACACCTCAAACTGACCCAGCCTTGTTCGTACAGAAAGCTCATGGCTCGAATTTTGCGCCAAGCACCCAGAGCCTTGATTTTAGCATCGCTCATACACCCAAGATGAACGATGGGTACCATGGTCAGAACAGATCGTCATTTTCAGGTGCCGCGGCGCCATCTCAATTATCGCCTATGCAGCATAACAACGCTACTCAAGAATATTATACTTCAGTACAGCCAAATATCCATTCACCTACAGCACCGTTATCCTCAGCACCAGGAGCCTCAACCCCTGACCGTGATATGCCGCCATACGATCTTCTCTACGCACTAGTAGACCTCTACTTTAAGCACATCAACACGTGGTGCCCTATTCTCCATCGCAAAACAACTCTGGATAGCCTTTTCGGGCCATCTGCGCTCGATGAAACAGATCGAGTTCTGCTGCATGCAATCGTGGCAACAACTATGCGCTTCTCGGCAGATGCAAGATTAACTGAGGAGCGGCGAGAACACTACCACAGGGTCTCCAAAGAACGTGTCCTCCTCTATGGCATGGAGAACTCTTCAGTCAAGGCTTTGCAAGCCCTCGTTATACTGGCGCTTGATCTTTGCGGAAGCAGCAACGGCCCACCAGGATGGAACATTATGGCCCTCATTACCAGATCTGTTGTGCAACTTGGTCTAGCTGTCGAGGTCACCTCGTCGACTGTGTCGCCTCATTACCTGTCAATTTATACGCTTCGGGCCATGACACTATCAGAGCCCAAGGATTTCATTGAAGAAGAATCAAGACGTCGTTTGTTCTGGATGATATATTTGCTTGACAGATATGCAACACTTGCGACTGCCTTCGAATTCGCTCTGGATGACAAAGAGATCGACAGGACATTACCGTGCCGCGATGACCTATGGATAAAGAATCAAAAGGTTGATACACGATGGTTTACCACCGACCTACACTCCGGTTCTCCGGGACATGACATCGACCAGCCTGAGAACCTTGGCGCATTTGCTTATTATATCGAGATACTCGGCATTCTTTCGAAGATACACAAGTTTCTCAAGCAGCCGGTTGACATTAGTGCTTTGAGTGATGTGGAACAGTGGCAGATGAGATACAAGGAACTGGATAACATGTTGACATCTTGGAAGTTTAGCCTTCCTGGGGAGTTTGGCAACATGGCCAAACTGTTTCATCCTGGGAGTAAGAACATCAATTGTGCTTGGGTAATGCTTCATGCTACGTACCACACCGCTGTCATTCGTCTTCACTCATCCGCCGCCTATCCTACAACGAGATCTCCCATTTTCACGCCATCATACAGCGCATCACAGCGATGCCATGGTGCAGTCGAGAATGTCGCCGCACTTGGAGAGTTTGTCGTGAATAATGGAATGCTAGCAAAGTTGGGGCCTCCTTTTGCTTTCACCCTCTGGGTTTCCGCGCGCCTGCTTCTTGTTCATGGCTCGACAGTTGAGCGTAAGCTATCACCTCAGCTTCCATTTTTCGTCGAGAGTCTACGCGAAATGGGGCGGTATTGGCCTGTCGCAGCCCGATACTCCCAACTTTTACAGAGGGTCCTCGATGAGCATCACGACAGTGAACGGCAAGGGGATGGTATTACTCCTAGTTCGGTCAAAATCTTGTCTGACATGCGACGTACGGCATTCGACTTGGATTTCCTCATTTCCCGCCAGCCGAAGCAGCCGGGTGGTTCAGCTCTCAGCAGACTACCAAGCGTTACACCAGCGCGAACCCCAGCGCCTAATGAACTTGAATATCTCGATGTATTCGATTTCTTCAACGTGCCTCGTCTTCCTTTCGGTGGTGAGAATATATCTGGCGTCAACAGTGCCCCAGTACCACCAGGTTCAGACATGGACGCGTCCAACGACAGCGGTACGGTTTTGGGAGCATCGAACGAGTTCAACATTACCAATTTTATGGTCGACGCTAACAGTGACTGGCTTTTCAAGCAAGAAGGCGGTCCTAAGTACATGGCAGCTACATAAGCTGCGTCCCAAAGTTGGACGGGTTATTGCTATGTTTGTTGGAAATTGGCTTGAGTTCTGGATGAATTTAATTATCGATACCCCCTTTTTGCATGTTCGGGATTTATTGATGAAGATACAAGGATGATACTTATTACTTGTTTGGCTGTGCTGGTGGGTTGGAGACATAATGGTATCAAAATTGAAGACCTGGTGGATTTCGAGCCCAGGGACTATGAATAACGGGTTCATGACACCAAAATCATTCACAGCAGTATTGATCAGTCATGTCAGACGAAGATCTTATTAAGTCAAAAGGTTCCACAAAGTTTTACTTGATCTAATAAGAATTTACGTGCCGATATAACATCTCGATTATTTTTTTCCTTAAGCTTGAACGAATGAGAAACCAGAAAGAGGAAGTTGCTCCTACTTATCAAGGAAAACAAAATACATGTCTGGGTAACTAATTCTCTACGGGAGTATTGTAAATATTGCCAGTGCAGTACTGGACCCAGCCGTCAAGGTTCATCTTTTTGATGACAGTACTGAAACCGTTGGTGCCCTTGGCTTTGCCTTTCTTAGAGCAAATCGCCTTGCGGTCGGCCTCCTTGACCTTTGGTGCACCCTTAGGATACTCGATGTTGAATACTGGCTTCTTGGCCTTGATGAAGGCGGCAAATGTCTCGCACTCGGAGTATTCGACACACTGCTCATTAACTGAGAACTGAACGTAGGGCAGAACAGACTTAATGATATCGCCAGCGTTCTTAAGCCCAGTCGACATGTTATACTTGGCGGCTTCGGCGGCAAGGAACTTGACGTAGTCGATGGAATCCTTCTGAGTCAAGCCAAGGCCATTGTCGTTTTGCTGTGGTCATGTTAGATTCGGTACTTCAATTGATGATAGTGGTAACCTACATAACCATCGACATTATCAGGATCGATAGCATCGCAACCCTTCTCAGCAGCATACTTGATGCGCTTCTTCATTATATTGCGAACGTTTTTGCTCCTAAGGTTAATCCATTTCTCGTCGGGCCACCCGTCCATCGTCTTGCCCAGATCGGCCTTCTTGAACTGGTTCTTGTCATCACGCCAGTTCTCCCAAGATCCAGCACTGAAGTAGCAGATGACCTTCTTCCCAGCCTTGTGCAGCGCCTTAAATGTCTCATCATCATTGTCGTAGAGGTCCAGATCATATATGCCGACATTGGGCTTGAGGTTCTTGGCGGTTCCATCCTTGTTGAGCTTGAGGGGCTTGAGAAGAATGATCTGCCAGGTAGCGCCGACCTTTGGTTGCCATAGGCTGCCACGGGCCTTTAGATAGGGTTCTGTCGAGTCGTCACTCTCTATGTTGGAGGTATCATGGCCGTCGTTTCCTCCCTTTCCTCGAGTGAGACCAACTCCTAGGCCAACCGACAGAGCAATTATCACTGCAAGGGTCACACCGATTGCAGTGAGCTTCTTCCATAGCGGCAACGATTTTCTCGTGTTTCCCGCTTCCTTTTTCTCCGAGGTGACGACCTCCGTGGCTGGTTTTGTGGCCATGGTCGTGATTGTAGTGCAAGTCCAGGAACAAGTGAGTATGGCGGCTGGCTACCCGTTTGTGGCTCTCAATGTGCTCCTTATAGAGAAAAGAAGAAGATACTAAGGAAAAGAAATTACATGAGCATGCCAGACTTTCGAGCTCTAATCCCCATCCGGCCAGTGGGCAGGTCGAGGGCGGAGCAGTTGTGCATGGATTCGATGGTCAGACTGTACCGTGGAAGAAAGCCCAAGCCCAATGAGGGAATCTCCTTGGGATCCAGTAGGCTGAGTTGCCGTCAGCACTATGCCCCTAGCTTAAGATCTAGAACGAGCTGAGGATTCAGTAGGCAGCTTACACAGGGTCAAGGTCCCTTAATCTCATTGTTTGATGAATGCCAGTGCTAGGTACTATGTAGTCATAGGGCTTCGGGAGCATCCGAATTGATTGGAGACATCCAAAGCTTTGAGTTACAGAGATCAGCGTCTTGTTTGCTGTGTTGCAAATCGCCGCATTTGAAACATTCCGTCTCTTCTTGGCTGTCAATACTTTCTATCGGGGTCCAGAACTGACGCGTATTCTCACATTGTCCAAGCTCTTGCTATGAGTAAATTACACAAGGACAGTTTCATATCTATTGGTTCTATATTTCTAATGCATGTTGCGGACAGGGCTTGGACAACACCAAAGTAACCAGACCATCACGCGGCTTTTGGAGACTCTTCAAAAAAGGGAATTTAATCTCAACGTACTTTAATAATCCAAGTACCTTGAAATTAATCGTTATCGTAAGCCGCGGCACCTGTGTAACAAGGTACCTACCTAGATACCCCAAACAGTCTTACCCTCTGTCCTACCCTATAGACAGAAATGTGCTCAGTATCTCAACAATTATTGTGACGTCGCCCAAATCGAACAAAACACATGGGCATCGCAACTAAAAATCAATTGAATAAAAGTATTCTTGTCAAATGCCTTTAATTCGACTATGTAAAATACCATGATTTGCTTGAATTTGACCAAGATATCACAGTATTTTGACGACGACTGTACACAGCATCGTATGGGCTCACAAAGCGCTCTATGATGTCGCAGGTTCATTGAATGCGAATTCGCAAGCTCCATCGAATCTAGCATGATGCCATATGCCCATGGGTAATTTAGCCTAAGAACCCTCTTCCAGTCCATCTGCAACCATTTCAGGTCGATGTTGTCCGAGATCGAGCCCTGAATAGGAAACTCGGCGATCAAGACTCCGAAAAGGACAGCAACACGATGAATTAAATATGTGACGGTGTTGAGCATAAATATCATACTTGAAGACAAGTGAATATTTTATCGAAGTAGCAATCGCTTCTCTTATTGATGTCGTGGACTGCTGTTTCGTAAGCACCAATACCAGTGTCAGTCTCATATCCATACCACACACCCGACCATGAAGACGTTCTCAACTCAAGTCATGGCCGTGTCAGCTTTGCTGGTAGGGCTTTCCCAATCGTTTGAGATGAGGCGACCCCCACCAGTCGAGCTTGTCAAAGGATTCGACTGGGCAGACCCATTCACGCTCAGTTCCATGGCGGCGTTCCGGCCAAGATGTGACGAAAAGAAACAGTTCGAGGTTTTCGAGTACACACTCGCTGAGTTGATGGAACCTCCCCCAAAGGGACTGAAACCTTGGGCCAAGGGTCTCAAAGCAGTCTTTGCCAACAGAGAATACCCCGGAGGATGGCTCGGCCTGGACCCTCACGCTGGTGGTCGCAGCGTACTGCTGATGAACTATGATCAGATTCCTCTGGTGGTTCGCGAATGGATTGAACAGCAGGAGCGAACCGACGGCGAGGGTAAGGCGCTTTTCGCCGTGCTCGAGAGACCAAAGAACGACGAAGATGAGATTGAAGAGGTCGTTAGGTTTCCCGAAGCCGACCAGATCGATCGGGAAAATGATAAAAACAAGGTTGCCGTTTTTGCACCTGGTGCTTTATACGGTATCCTTCCTCTCTGGGTAGCGGGAACAAGTGAATGTAAAGGTAAGATGAGATACCCAGTCTGGTCCTGTGTTTGGTGTGCAATGGCTTATAACCAAATCGCAGATCAACTTATCGACTTGTCCAAGTACAGCCCAAAGCCTGTCGACGACGGAGTTGTTGGTTGGGTTCTACATTCGGAGCGCCAGCCTGATCAAAAGACCAAGGTTGACATCAGAGTTCAAGCACTTAAGGAAAAAGAAGTCAAGAGCGGTCAAGAGCAAGGCCAGGCAAAGACGGCATCAAGGGAAGAGTTATAAGGTTGATGTTTTTAGTAACTGCATTTCCTAAGTATCAAGGTAGCGTTCAAATCCATTGAGTTCTAGTTGTATAGCTGATAGTTAAACCGACATAATATGAGTTTTTTTTCGTTATGATCTCCCATACCTCTCTCTTGGTGCCTACTAACCTTGGTGAGGTAGGTAGGTAACCAGGAAACACAATGCACAAAGGGTTTTCCCTTACACATTCCGACTTGATTGGTCGGGTAAGAAAAAGAAAGAAAGCAATTGTTTTGGGCGGTTGGCGTTAAGGTTCGTTTGTTCCTGCCTTAGAGGTGAAGATTCCTTGCATCCATAGTCTAGATGGATGGCAATGCGAATTGCTAGTCCCAGCCATCGCGATCTGAACTGACCTCGGACCCTTTTCCGACCTCGCAGGTAAGCATTGAATATAAACATTTCCCCTCATGTTTTTGACCGCTGTTCTAAAGTTCGGATCATAACCTATTGCAGGGCTAAAAGACCCCAGTCCGGTTCGTTGGGCCGGGCATCTATCCTACACTATAAGTACTGTACTTGCGCACACACCGCCTTCGGGTATGATGCATCAGATCGACGCCAGCTTCACGATGCAGGCTTGAGTTGTCATGATATGGGTCTGGATGTCATGAAGAGTCATTTACTGTACTGTACCTAGCTAGTGCAGCAAGATGCGGTGGCCATCGTATGATGAAGGACAAAAAAAGCATGTGAAGATGCTGTCCAAGCCAAGCAAGTCAGCAAGAAAGCACGCACGTAGGCGAGCCTTACCGTTGTTTAGGTTCGACAGAGGCCATTGATTAAATATGAGGCTTTGTCAAAGTCCATCGGCCGACCTCTTCACATGAAGGAACGTCCATTGCGTACGACTACTTTAGGTACCTAGGGAGGTAGTATTACTTGCTCAGGCCTCAGAATTACAGAAATGATACTGCATGCTTCAAAGATAAAAATAATTTAACCACCCTATACTATCTTAACCCTAGTGTTCTTGGGCTGTTTATTTTCTTCATCCTGAGTTTAGTCAGGTCTCGAGTTTTCTTTCTTTCCCTAGGTCAAGTTAGCAGCTAACCTACCACCGCTAAGTGTCCCGTTTTGTGGACGTGCAAGGTTAGCTCAGGCACTCGAAGCAATACGACGCTACTAAAGAACCCCAGTATCACATCCAATAGCCTCCGGTGGGCGATGATGTTCTCCAAACAGATCAGGACCGCGTCCGTGCAATTCACCGATTGCGCTTATCTTTACATACGATGTGATTCCCTATGGCAATGACGGAAATGGATATTCAGACCTCCAGCTGGTCATGTCGAAAACATTCAGATTCGTAGTACCTAGTCAGCCACCACGGATTGAGGCACGACAGCTTATTAATGTCCCGGATGCGGTCTTTTGCAAAAGAGCTGAATAGATGGCAAGGAAAACTAACCTAGTAACTGCCTGCTTCCTACTAGCCTACTAGACTACCAGCCCAACTTTCGCCAATCAACCCGACCGCCAGCGAGCAAACGCCAGGACCTCCATGTCGTCAGAAAGGGTCCCACAGCTCTCGAACTGCATCTGTGAGTCCACCTGTTGCAGATTTGACACTGCAGATGGAACTCATGGGTCTTCCCAGCAGACAATTGAGCATTGTACCTGAAGAGGAATAGAGCATCATGAGAGCTTTAAGGAAGTGTCAAGTCGATAAAATATCATCACCAACAGGTCAAGCTGTTACCACCTGTGCAGCAGTGATTGGAAACGTTGAATAATTTCGGTGAAATATCCAGCTTGGAGGCTGGGGGTAACGAGAACAGTCAAATGAGGTACCTTTTTCTGAGATGCGTTGTACAGTACAAGCGACGAGACCCAAGCTTGGCTGATCCATCGAGACGTACTCGTACCCAGGGCGTTGCATTGCATTGCATTGCATTGCATTGCATCGCATCGCATGCATGGCCTCGCTCGCATCACAAGCGTTGTTTTCGATACCTGATAACAACTTCAATCATCTCAATCTGGGCTGCGACTCACATCCTCTTTCTTCAGTTGTTGCTGCTTCAGCTCCTGCTCCTGCCGACGCTGCACATCATCACTGATTCTGCACAAAATCGAAGTCGAATAAACCCCACATACCCTCCAATTGCTTCTTACATCAATATCATCATCACCATCTTTGGGCTGGTACCTACTACTGTTACCTATCTGTACCTTTATCTTTGCACCTTGTTTCTCTACTTTCCGCTTTCAAAACTTCTTCTATGACCTTCTCTCAAGTTCCTCAGATCAAAACCTATCTCCTCACCGTATCGACTTTACGTATCGCTGCAATAATCACCCTGTTCTGCATCCGGCGAAGGCAAAACCATCTTCTCAAACAGCCTAGAATCAATCCCTGTATCAATCGTTCCGGTCGATGCGGTCGTAGCACCCTTGATTTGTACCGGCTGTACCTTTTTCTTGTGTCGTTGCTACTGCCCCGTAGCAGCAGCAGCCGCCGCCGACCATCTTTAATTTCGCTCCAGTCCCCCCCAGCCTTGTTGACCAACGCCAAACCGGTCTTGTCCTGGTGCCTCCCCGTCTCGTCAACGAACTGGTTCTTCTCCCAGCCCAACATCTCTCCCACAAACAAAACAAAATCTCACTCGAACTCGAGACGCAACAAACGACCGTCGCAGTCACAGTCACCTTACCTCAAATCATTTCTGCGTTCCCTCGATTCCCACACGAAGTCTCCATTGCAGTTTACAAAACACATTTCAGTCATGGGTAGCTTCACCTTTAAGTGGTAAGTCGCAAACTACTTTGTTGCGCTGCGCTGCGCTTCACTTCGCTGTACGGCGCTGCTTCGTTTAACCTCTGCGCACAACAGCGCCATTGGACGTTGTATGGGAACCAGCTTACTTCCATACATGCGCCTCTCAGTGTTGCTCCGCGTTGTGGTTGCGAATTGTGTCAAATTTTTCCATGTCTGAGACAATCAAGACTGACCCCAAACCTTCTATAGGGAACATCCCGCCGAAGAGGTTTACGTGACTGGCACTTTCGACAACTGGACCAAGAGCGTAAAGCTAGAGAAGGAGGGCGACGTTTTCTCCAAGACTGTCGACCTGAAGGAGCCTGAGGGCAAGATTTACTACAAGGTGCGTCAGCATCAGCGAGCAACGACCCGCAATGCCAACAAACTGCTCTCCTTCCCCCCCCCCCCCCCCCCCCNCCCCCCCCCCCAATATTCACTTTGCATTTGACCCCATTTGAAAACTCCTATGCCCTTTTGCCATGACCGTCAGCGCCGAATCAATACTCTCACTTTTGCTGGAGTCATACAAAGACAAGAACAAAGTCATTCATTGCTACTAGCCGGACTTATCCGTGGTTGGTTTTGCCAAAGCAAGATTGGAGATAGCAGCGATGCCCGCGCCGCCCAGCAATCTGTGCTTTGTGGTCATCGCTATCTTCAGACCTCTTTTAAGCCTAAAAAGCTTGGAGGCGCAATGTTGGTGGCTGCCGTAATCTCAGGCCCCTGTCCAAGGATTTTTTTTCTTGCAAAGTCTCCTACGTTACCAGGATCGGGGGGCTGGGCCCCTGGTTCATTTCCCTGGCTGTCATGTCATGGGGGTTCTCAGGCCCATTTGGCATCTCGCACCATCCCCAACCAAAATCCCCCGCGGTTGGGTATGACGCAAGACGACCACGATCGCGACAGTTCTGGAATGCGTTAGTGAGCGGAGAGCGCTATAGCCAACCCATATCAGAGCTTTTTCTTGGTCACGCCGGTAGAATTCTGTGGCGCCAGGCGACCATTGCGTTGCGCAGAACCAAAGTTCTTCGGTGCTGCCAAGGCGTCTTCAATTGCACTTGATTTGCTTGCACCCTAGTGTGCCTGCATATCCGACCCGCTCTTGCTCTCAGCTCCGTCTTCCTCCTCGTCATCGCACCAGCTCATTAAACTCACTTTGTCCCCTCTTTCGAAGCCAATTACTCTTCCTGCACTCTCGCACACTTTTCGCAACCATTACAAAGACTGTCGCTCACCGTTTGATCTAGTTCATCGTCGACGGTAACTGGATTATCAATCAATCAGCACCTAACGAGCCTGATCTTGAGGGCAACGTGAACAACTTCGTCACTCCCGATCAACTTGTCCGCGAAACTCCGGCCGCCGCTATTCTTAATACCGTGACGCCTACGTCCACGACTGCAACTATGGCCAGCGAACAACCCTTGGAAAACAAGACCACTGAGTCGACGACTCTGGCCGATAAGGTAGCTGAAGAGATGATTGTTGAGGACAAGATCACCAGTGCTGACTTTTGAACAGCCTACCCAAGAGGATAAGCTGCCTCTCGAAACCCCTTCTGACATCCCTGGTGGTTTCCCCACCACCCCTGCGAACGAGCTTGACAAAACTATTGGTATTAACCCTCTTCCCGCCTCCGAGGGTGCAGGAAACCCCATCAAGCTTGAACCCGGCGAGAAAATTCCCGAGTCCATCACCGCTCAAAGCACCGATTCTCATGTGAAGCTTGACAAGGACTCTTATGAGAAGAGTGATGCTTACCCTGGTATTGAGACCGAGCTTCCTCCTGTTTCCTCTAACACCATTCCTGAGTCCAGCCTTCCCATTATTGGTGCGGATGTCATCGCCTTCAACTCTGCTGCACCTACAGCCACTACAGCCGGTCTTGCTGCTGATGTTCCTCTGGAGTCTAATGGCGCTTTCGTTCCTGAGGTCGTGAGAGAGAGCCAGGAGAAGGCCAATGCTGTTACCGAGGCTAGCACAGACCCCACAGAGGTCAAGGAGAAGACAATGGTCGAGGAGGAGCTCAAGGGCACTGTTCCCGAGGCCCCCGCAACCTCAGTAGGCACAGCTGGTGTTGGTACTGAGAAATCGGAGAACACTCCTGACACTAGCCTCGCCGCTTTGGCCGCCACTGCCGGAGGTGCTGTCATTGCCGCTGGCCTCGCTGCCAAGGAGACAGTGGAGGAGAAGGCTATCCCTGCTCTCAACAACGCTACCGACGCCATCGCCGATTCCGCCAACAAGAACCTGCCCGACTCAGTCAAGGAGCAGCTTCCTGTCGCCGCTCAGGAGACCCTTGCTGCCAAGAACGAGGAGCAGAGCCGAGAGCAAATTTCTCCCGAGGTTCCTGCCGAGGTTAAGGAGTCCCTGATCGAGGCTGGAAAGGCTCCCGAGGCTGCTGCCAACACTTCTGCCGTCGAGGACAAGAAGGCTGTCGAGAGCGAGCTCTTGAAGGAAGTGAAGCCTGTTACTGGCATTTACGATTCTGTTGTTGAGCAAGAGCAGCCCAAGGACGAATCCAAGCAGGTATCTCCTGAGGTTCCCGCCGAGGTCAAGGATTCTATTGCTGAGGCTGGCAAGGCCCCTGAAGCTGCCGCCAACACTGAGGCTGTCGAGGAAAAGAAGCTAGTTGAGGCTGAGCTCCTTAAAGAAGTCAAGCCCGCGGCCACAATTGATGAGACTCCTCAGGTTGCTCCTGAGGTGCCTACCGAAGTCAAGGACTCTATTGTCGAGGCCGGTGAGCGCCCTGAGGCTGCAGCTAGCACCGAAGCTGTCGAGAACAAGAAGGAGGTTGAAGCTCAACTCCTCAAGGAGGCCGAGCTTGTCCCTGCTGTCGGAGACGCAAAGCCTGCCTTTGAGGCCAACCCTGACTCTGCTGTCAAGCCTCAGGAAAACAAGATTCAAGAGCCTGTATCTCCCGTTCCCGCCGTTGTTCTTCCCACAGAGAGCAAGGCCGAGGAGCCAAAGACAGAAGCGCTAGAGGCTAAAGAGACTAAGCCCGTCACTAAGACCGAGACCCCTGCGTTCGGCAATGGCAGCTCGACGGTCGGCAACGGCACCACAGCGACCGGCAACGGTGCCTCAACAACAGAAACCAAGCCCACTGAGGCCTCGCGCAACGGCAGCGCCTCTGCAGCAAGTGGTAAGGAGAAGAAGAAGAACCGACTGAGTTCAATCTTCAGCAAGATCAAGCACAAGCTGTCTGACAAATAGATGAGAGGACGAGACAATTAAGCTAATGTCGCAATGATGAGGTATCAGAAATGTCTCGCGGTTTTTTGTTTTCTTGCGGTTGGTGTCTTCGTTTATCAATGATTCCCCTGGATCCATGAGCAAGAGAGAGTGGTTGAGGTCACTGAGGGCGTGGATCTCCGTCATATACCTAATTCATATTCAGTTTTTACGCGCATACTTTTGATTGAAACCGGACTTAATGTATTGTAGATTGTGCTGCTAAGTCATAAGAAAAATATCTGCTTTAGGATACATATTTGATGAAGCCATGATGATATCTTGTAGCCACTTGAAGCATTTTGATCATGTGATGGATGCGTCTCAGAAGCAAATGACTAATTTTGTCAACCTTATGTAAGCCAGATCGAGCATTAATCGAGCAGAAGCTGGTAACGCCATTACTCTGCGCCGAGCCTGTAAACTCCGTCACGATTTGCCCCGCCAGTGACTCGCTCGATCCACCTGCATCTTTCATCCATCAACGGGGTCCGTCCCAGCTGGACCCCTTCGTGAACCGCAATCCGATCCTTTTCCATCAAACTGCCTAGAGGCTAAATATCTGCCTTTTCCTAATTATTCTCGGGCGTGCCCACTGCATGCCTTCGCATCTTACTAGGCGATCACTTAGACCTGTCCGTTACCCCCGCCACCAGGACAAAGCGCGAATGATCGAACGGTTGGGCCGATCATTTATCTCATCGCCATTGAGACTTATCAGAAAGTAGCCTGCACGAAACATGAACCCCTCCACATCAAATGTGGGAAAGTCTGTCCCTGCTCCATCGAATTCTACAGCTATTCAAGCTGGCCCAGCGACCTCAAGCTTCGAATCATCCCGTCGGCCATCACAGGCTGGTTCCTCATACTCGCAGTCGATGCCTCGAAAAGTTCAAGGCTCCCGCAAACAACATCGGAGTCAGCGTAGGCCTGGACTTGGCGACAGATCAAATACTGGTCCTGACGACGAAGATGTCATGGATGACCTCAGAGCTTTCAGAAATCCCAATAGCAGGCGTGGTCAAACTTCAATCACCCACCTTCTCAATTACTCCATGCCACGCCCGGTCCAGGATCATCATTCACACTCAAGATCTTATAGAAGAACTCCAACATGGGGACCTGGATCAGGATATCACGCAAGCGACAAGGCTCGATACGTCCATGCCAACTACCGCTTCATCCTTTCTCCAGAGGGTACATACAATAAACAAGCCACGGATGCCGACACACACCTGGACTGGTCTCTTGTGATGCAGATTATTGCTTCAAGCGAATCACAGGGCTCGTCATGCCCGATTTGTCTTTCTGAGCCAGTGGCACCACGAATGGCGAAATGCGGGCATATCTTTTGCTTGCCCTGTCTTATCCGGTTCATGAACTCAGCGTCGAGCGAGGACGATGCGAGGGGCCGAGGCCCTAAATGGAAGAAGTGTCCTATTTGCGAAGACTCGATCTATATGCAAGACGTACGGCCTGTCAGGTTTTACGCAGGACAAGAAAGCCCCTTTCCTCGAAGTGGTGACGACGTTGTGCTACGATTGATGGCACGTAACGCAAGCTCTACGATGGCGCTTCCGCGAGAGAGCGGTTCTGAAGCTCTATATTCTGTGGACGACATTCCTTGGCATTTTGCTGCGAACGTCCTGGACTATGCTCGCATGATGAAAGGCACCACAGACTACATGGCTGCCCAGTACGATGAGGAGATTGCCGCACTGACCCAGCAAGCAAAGGAAGATGAGACGCTTTTTGGGCAGAACGATGAATGGTCTCAGAAGGCGATCCGGGCTATCACGGCCGCTAAGGAAAGGCTTGCGGAGCTTGAGGTTGTGGATAGCCCAGGAATGTCGGCAAAGCTCTCTGCAGACGCCGACTTTTATTTTTACAGCTCCCCGCCGCATCTGTACCTCTCGCCGCTGGATATCCGTATCCTGAAAACGAAGTACGGATCTTTTTCGTCTTTTCCTTCTACACTTCTCCCTCGCGTGGAGCACATCTCTACTGGGCATGTGGTTGACGATGCAATGCGCCGAAGGGCGAAATATCTGGGGCATCTTCCTCGCGGATGTGTTGTAAATTTTATAGAATGCGATTGGACTGATATTGTGCCAGAAGAAACGCTGGCATCATTCTCGGCTGATATCGAGCGGAGACGGAGACGTAACCGCGATAAGGAGACGCAGGAGGAACGCGAGCGACTCCAGGCTGAGCGCCTTGAAGCTGCGAATATACGTAAGACCACAGGTTATCAGAGGCTTCCCGAGCCGCCAGAGGAGGATAACGTCCCCCGCATGGATCTTGAAGAGTTCCTGCCATTGAGCGGTCACTCTGGCAGCACGCCTCCAGATCCTCGGCCAGGATTCGAGACATTGGCCGAGATGTCGACCAGCCCATCAAACCAGAAGACCGTTTGGGGCACGAGAGTGATCAATGGGTCACCTGAGATGGCAGCTGCCCAACCTTTAGACGTTCATGACGGGTGGCTCAGAGATGAGGACCTGTTCGACACGGCCGATATTGCGATGCAAATACAGGCCATTGAAGCGGCCGAGAGCAGCGTTCGCCCGGATAGTGTTGGCGGAGCAGGGCCAAGCAGCAGTGGTGGTGGCAATGGTGGCGGCGGCAAGAAGAAAAAGAAACAGAAAATCACGCTCATGAGCACCGGGGGTCGGAGAGGTAACTAGGTCTATCGTCCCTGTCTTCAGGTTGAAGATTCCTTTCTTTCTTTGTTAGGTTCTCCACGGCGTGGCATAGTCGGTTCGTACCATTAGTCTTCAAGGTAAAGAGATGGAGCATAGTTGTCAGCAACTGCATAGAATTTTCAGAACAACACAACTTTGAATAACCGGAGACGAGCAAGAATGGGAATTATACTTGTTAATTGTCTGTACAGTTAGTTCTGATCCAGCCTTCAACAAGCTCCATTCAAAGATATAAAGTAAAATGCCGCCTTGATTTTAACATTTCGGTTATGATGGTCACCGAGATGAACCTTGTTTGAGGTGATGTAGATACCAAATCACATTTTCGAGTCGCTGGCTCAAGGAGCACATAGCTGATCAGCCCTTTTCAATGTGAAGAGATGCATATGTACATTATGTAGGTAGCATCGTGCCCAATGAGGAGACTATGCATGCGGTACAGTAAATTCGGAGGCTTTCACCGTATAGTAGTACCTTGGTCTGGCTCGTGTGCTAAGCTGCTGAGATCTGCTCTCAATGTCGATCGAAACTTCAAATGCGACATGAAACTCGACTTGAGAACGCTATTACGGCACTTGGGCGGGACCTGATGACTGATATTCGATCAGCACAGCAGACTACAACACAACATCGTCATAGTTACTAGGGCATTTCTCCACAAAGGTGACTAGACACGGGAATGCCGATGTTGATAAACCCAGAAGCCGATATTGGTACGTACCTACAGGTCATCGCCACACAAGTAAATTCCTCTGTACATGTAACTCTATTTACGACTTCGGCTAATCGGATCGTGATGCCGTTGAACGATGTATTATGTATCCGTAGGTCTGAGTTAAAACCAGTTAAAACCCGAGCCTGCGGGTATTTCATAATTACGGACTACCCTATTAGAATGGAAACCGAGCTCTGTTTAGCGATGCTGTGGGGCTTTTCATGTTTTCACGATGAAGCATTGGTACCCAGGTACCTTAATCCGTAGTAGCAGGCACCTAAAGGTTAAGTAGGTAGTGCCTAGAAAGATTGAAACATAACGTTGGTAGCTTTTCGGTCGATGAACGGTCAAGGATTGAAGGGCCAGTCAGGAGGTGATGAATAAACAAGCAAAGAGGCATTTGCTTGACCTTCTGGAATTATTAGGCACGCCGCTTCGATAGCGGGGTTCTTGTCGTTTACAGCGCCAAGATGTACTATCTGACTGTGTTGGCGGCTAGATTTTCGATGGAGATTCCACACGATAAATTGTATTTGAAGAGTGTATTGGTCCTAGCAATATGCATAACAGCTAGGAAGTTTGCCTGTTATTCTTGTAGATCTTTCTAAACCCAGCGGACACTGAATCTGATAATTACGCCCCTATATTGGGTAGGGGCTGAAATAAAATTGGGAGGGAGCCAATTCTCTCCCATGTCGGTGGATGTTAATGAGCTCATACAAGACCTTGAGACTATGGAGCTGGTGCTAATGGATTAGCGGCCGATGAATATTATTGAAATGAGATTAAAGAACCTAGCTGACCAACAACACCAGGTACAGGGTGGATGGAGCTCGCTCGCTCTGATTTTGGATTGAAAGAGAAATCAAGGGAAACAAGCGGTTAGAGAAACAGGCCAAGAGAATGAAGAATGCACGTGATTATGCGCCGAGAAAGAGGTAGTCGGTGACCCCGCGTTGAATCGACATGGACTTACGAATCATCCAAAACCTGAACAATAGGAAAAGTGCACGTTTTGGATACTGTAACAGTGAAGCTTGACAGCGGAAACGCTTGACAAGCCACTGGCGGAATGAACTGTTGCCATCTGCACGGTCCGGCTTTGTCGTCATGAGACCAGGGGTGGTTGGACTGGGCATATCCTGGGTCGTTGGGGGGCAGCAGAACGAACTGAACCGCTTGTTCGGCACAGGGACTGATGAATGGCGGTGCAGGATTAGAGACATTGGAACAAATCAAGTTGATGGTGTTGCATCGTCTTGTGACGCTGACAAAAAGTGAGGTAGGTTCATCGAGTTATAAATAAAACAGACAAGCCCAGCCAAGCCCATGTCTGAACAAGTGGCACTTGGGATTGAAAGTAAAGTCAACACATTATATGTGTCGTTTCAGCCACTCGATTACGTTGGAATACGATCTGACAGTCAACTGAGCCTGTACCTACCACCTACGGATAACTATACTGTACTGTACTTTGTAGCGCCCACCTCAACAGATCAGTTGCCAAGAGAATGCCGTGGCGCTAACTGTTCTCGGCTGACGAACTTCCAGCTCCACTGGAGAAGCGCTGAGCCGAGCCTCAAAGCCACTTGCGCACCCCAGACGCTCTGGAAAACTCTCTGCCTGAGAGGAAGAAGGAAGAAGGGTCCAACTCCATCAACGTTTCAGCCTGTTTAGTTTTTTCTTCTTTGCCCTTTTTTGTTCATCTTCTGAATACCAAATATGCAATATTGTTCATCACAGATTGTCTTGGGAAGGGATCCTAAATGCCAAGTCAAATACTGTCTTGTCTTGTCTTGTCTTGTCTTTTGTTCAATTCAGAGACACAGATTCACTGGCTTTCGGGCTAGGTATTGACTTGCTCTGGAACCACTCCAACCCCCTGTCAGTTACGCACTTGCTTGGCCTTAACACACCCAACCCTTGTTTGGACAGTCTTTCACTTTCTCCGGGGCGGCACAGATCACTTTGCCATCTGCAGTATTAGTGCAAGTGGTGTCTTTGGTGCTGTACCGTACACTTAGCAGCTTGAGTAGCTCTTGGCCAGGTGCCGAATAGCGAGAGCCAAGCCACAGAATTCAACTTGACATTACAGGCGCCGAAGATCCGATCAAACAGAACCTCCATACGGATAAGCCAAGCAGAGACCAAGAAAAACAAAACTGCTAATGCATACACACACATGCATGCTGCTCATCATTCTACTGCTACCACGGGCAGTATTAGAACCCTGTCAACCCCCCCTTCACTCCCATTGCTAATCGCCCATCCAAAGTTCTGGTTTAATTTGACCAAAAATCTTCCGACCTCTCTACTCATTGAAGCGAAAGTGGAATCCCCTTTTCCCTTTTCCCTTTTATAAGAATACACGGCTTGGACTCATACAAAATCCGTCTCTTACTCGCATCGCACTCTCTTTCGTATCAGAGAGAGATTGCGTGCAACCGCTGAGGCTTTGCTCTTGCGGGAGACGAAAACGGCATCGCGCTTACACGTTCACAACTTACCCTATTTGGCAATCAACCTTTGAGCAAGAGTCGATGTAGTTCAAGACTCGGCGAAGCCTTGAAACTTTGCTCGCTTTTTAAACTCTCTTACTATTCTTAAAATATCACATTCTCGACCAACTATTGCATGATTCCACACTTGGAGTCTGCTCACCATACCGAAACAATGTCGAGTTCCATCGCCAACTCTGGCTCTATCAAGCCTCGAAGAGAACCCAGAGACACAGGGTTCCCTGAGCCTCTCAACAACCGTCAGCACTCCGTCTCGAACAAACATTCTGAATCATTCACTAACTTCTTCTAGTTCGCAACACAACTCTCCCACATCCCGATGCGGATCTTTCACCAAACGCATGCCTTACCCAAGAGGATATTGACCCCGATCGGGCTCTTATGCGAACCCGGCGATCTTTCCTCAGGAAAAAGCGACGAACTCTGAACCATGGACGTATCACTCCGGCCTCAGAGGCCCTCTACAGCGCCTATTCTCTGGCACAATCCGACGTCGGCGACCACGATAGTCTCAGAACCAGCACCACCACCAACCCATCACTCATTAGCGTTCGCCCAACTACACCCAGCATTCGAGTCTCCAGGGACGAAACCGATAGTCTCGCATCAAGAACCACAAGGAGGGGAGACGAAGACACGCCACCGACTTCGCCTGACGTCCCGTCACATCGTTCTAAGAAAGGATTCTTGAGCAAATGGCGAAGAAACTAGGAATACTTTAGCTAAAAGTCTGGCCTCATAACGGTGTGGTGTACACCTGGCTTCGACATGACCATGACTGCTGCAACGACGTACACGGCCGAATATTATGACCTGCAACGACCGCATTCGCAAAATGCATTTGCATCAAAAAGGATCACTCTCTTTCTCCCTTTTCATTTGTGTGCTTGGACAGCGTGGCGTTTATGTTGAATTAAGGATCGGACTTTGGAGTGGGACGGAGTTTTGTCTGCAACAGAGGCAAAAGCTTGGATATGTACTATAGTCCCTCTGGCAGGGCAGAGACAGCAATGTCACCCATATACAGTAGTCGGCTCACCTTGTAGTAACCGACATAGACACTCGTTAAGAATTAATAGTTTTACCAGTAGCTTCATCGCTATTCTCATGATGGTCATTGTCTCTTGTGCTCTCATGGTGCAAATAACTCATATGTACTGTCTTAACCGCGTCGCCATGCTTGGCGCACAGGTGTTTCTTGCCGTACAGAATATGGTATCATCATTCTGGCCCATTTCCTCCACAACTACAAGAGAATAATGCTCCCCATCTAACTTCCACGGTAGCTAGTGTAGCTGTAAGGGCTCAGCAGGAGAGGTACGTGATACGTCTGTCTCTCCTCCATACGGAAGGTAACTGTGACCTCTGGGAAAAAGGTGTTCTCCTCGCCAAAGTAAGCTCCAGTATCAAAGCGCAACGTCCAGCGTGATGAGCCCCGTCCCTTGCGGTCCTCGAGGATTTCAACAAGCGTTTGCAGAGGAGGCTCGCCAGCAGAATCTTCGGAAAGGTAGGGCAACCATGAAGTAACTCGACCGTCCTCATCCGTGATGGACTCGAAGGTGTTGGCCCGAGGCCGGGCAGCCGAGTGTGGATTGGCAGAAGGGGGGATGGGACCTTCAAGGCGGACGCGGATGCCGCGTGCGGGTCGACCGGCCTGTGTGTCAAGGACGTGACATGTGATGGGGTCTTTGGTGGGTGAAGTCATCGCGGAGGTGGTATTTGGTGTGTGAAGTGGTTGGTTGTGGTGGTGGGATAAGTACGGCAATTCAGTATTTGGAGGTCTTGATTGTGAGTTGAGCTCCGATTTATGCGCCTGACGTGAGTGAGAGACAATGTTGAAACAAGTTGAAACAACTGATTTTTTGGTGTTTTTCTGTCTCAGCTCCTATCTGACTATCGGTGAGCAAAGAAAGAAAGAAAGAAAGAAGAAGTAGAACTACCAGGAAGAGAGGGGTTTGAGCTGAAGTGAGGTGAAGAGAGGCAGTGGGAGACTGCGGCGCACAGCCTACCTTAGTACTCTGCTTACAGCAGATAATCAGTGAGTTTTTGGTTTTGGGGTAGACCTAAGGCCCAATCATGAAACAATGCTCAGAAAGAGAGTTGACTGTTTAGATAAGCGGTGATTTTTGAAATTTATTACTAGATAAAACCATATTAAGATTAACAAGAAGCTATATGGATATCTACGCGCAGCTCCGGACGCTTGACGCCGTTCGCCGGTACTCGAAAGATGCTATCTCATGGACGGGGCCGATCCAACAAAAACTGAGGTCGCTGACAGCATAATAGGGTTTACTATTCAGTTCCGGAGTTATTATTAGAGTCCAGAATAGTTTCAAGACGAATTAATGTTACAACAATCAAGCTCTATTTGAGTCGACTATTGCTGCACATGTGGCGAGTGGGTAACAATCATGTGGCGACTTTATGGCAAAATAACACAGTCAGGTCTCGCTCAGTTGCACCCAGGTACTACAGGCACTATTATGTCGACATTTACCCCTCCATCCAAGTCACCCACCATCTAAGAGCTTCTAGACTAGAAGTTACCCAAATCCTGATTCTACCCCGGACAAGCTTTACCTCATAGTAAGTGAACAGCTTCATGTCATTCGTCTTCCATTTACGTACCTACCTAACCAGAAAGTTAGAGACCGTCTGTAATCTCATCGTTACCCTTCCTCCTCCACCGCGAAAATGTCCACCGCCCTCATCTCCACCGAGGACGCCCTCGAGCCCTCTCTCCAGTCACTCCTCGACCAGCGTAGCCTCCGCTGGATCTTTGTTGGCGGAAAAGGTGGTGTCGGAAAGACAACCACTTCTTGCTCTCTCGCCATTCAGCTCGCAAAGGTCCGCCGGTCTGTACTTCTCATCTCGACCGATCCTGCCCACAACCTGTCAGATGCCTTTTCCCAGAAGTTTGGCAAGGAGGCCCGCCTTGTAAATGGATTCGACAACCTGAGCGCCATGGAGATCGACCCCAACGGCAGTATACAGGATATGCTGGCCGGTCAGAACGAGGCCGATGACGTTAATGCTGCTGCTGGCGGCCCTCTAGGAGGCATGATGCAGGACCTCGCTTTTGCGGTATGCCAACTCGGATTCCATGCAACGTCGCGTATACTAATTCCTACTAGATTCCCGGTATCGACGAGGCCATGTCATTTGCCGAAGTCCTCAAGCAGGTCAAGTCTCTTTCCTACGAGACCATTGTCTTTGACACTGCGCCCACAGGCCATACCCTGCGCTTCCTCCAATTCCCCACCGTTCTTGAGAAGGCTCTCGCCAAGGTGTCACAGCTATCATCTCAGTACGGTCCACTACTGAACGGTTTCCTTGGTTCCGGCGGTCAGCTCCCCAATGGCCAGAACCTCAACGACATGATTGCCAAACTAGAGTCTCTGCGCGAGACCATCGGAGAGGTCAACACACAGTTCCAGGATGCCGAGCTCACCACCTTTGTTTGTGTCTGTATCGCAGAATTCCTCAGTCTCTATGAGACCGAGCGCATGATCCAGGAGCTTGCTGGATATGGCATTGATACTCACTCCATCGTCGTTAACCAGCTGCTCTTCCCCAAGAAGGCCAGCGACTGCGACCAATGCAACGCTCGTCGCAAGATGCAGCGCAAGTATCTTGACCAATATGAAGAACTTTACGCTGAGGATTTCAATGTCGTCAAGATGCCTCTTCTTGTTGAAGAGGTCCGAGGAAAGGAGAAGCTTGAGAAGTTTAGCGAAATGCTTGTCACGCCTTATGTCCCCCCCGAGTAAGCAAACGAGAGTATTATGCGAATTACGCAAAAAGACTAGAAATAAGTTTGAGTCAAAATGACAAAAGAAGACAAAGGGGTTCCCTTAGTGCATATAGAAGAAGCCCAGTGGCGTGAAGGAGTTGCTACAGCGTAATTGAAGGTTTATAAAATATACGTTTTAACATGAATCAAGTCACAGAACAGATATGCCCAGTTGTTGTCAGAAATATTTTGCTTGTTTATTGTTTGACTTTGACTGATTCAAAGTTTGATGGAGCTGTAAAGCCTCGTCTCCTAGACCCCAGCCATACATGGCCATGAAAACCTGTCATGGCAGAAAAAGAAAAACCTAATCCTTGTTCCCCCAACGCCAGTCCGTCCAGTCTGCCGGTAAGCTATGCTGATTAAAAAAGCAAATCATGGCCCTACATCCCGATCCAAAGCATGTCATGCCAGCCCTGCAACATGGTACAGGGCACTCAAATATCTATGTATATGCGTGGTGTAGTTAGCCACGGCAGCCGGAATGATAGTAAAAATAGACAAAAACAATCGCTAGTGGAAATAATGTCGAGTCGTGCATGTCGGTCGAGTCATAGCCTAAAGCTCTCGGTAGTCGCTGGGTCGTACTCTTCGCTGCTTGTTCTGGTGTCGGTGGGGGTTGACTGGCTTGCGAAAGTACGCATCCTCGTCAGGGCCAACACCTTGTCCAAAGTTGCCGTTCTGGAAGCCATTCATCCCGCCGTTCATGTTGCCCATGTTGCCATTCATACCGTTCATCCCCATATCCCAGCCATTCATCCCGCCGAACCCACCGTTCATCCCAGGGAACCCGGGCATGCCCATCATGTTAGGCATTCCCATCATGTTCATGTTAGGCATTCCCATGTTCATGTTACCCATGTTGGGCATACCCATCATGTTGGGCATCATAGGCATTCCGTTGAACATCATATGATTCATGCCCATGTTCATGCCCATGCCGTTCATGCCCATGCCGTTCATCACGTTTTGCTGATTTTGCATAGCTTTGGGGCCCTTGGGAATTCGAGGATTGTCTAGAATATCGTCTGCTGGCCGCTTCTTTGAATTAGCATCTGATGTTTTGGCACCATCTACTTGTTTGTTCGCATCATGCGGGACAGATACAAGGCTTTTGGGGCCAGTGGGAGGGGTCTTGATAGTTGCAGCTTGAGATACTGGCGAGTTCGACTTTTCCTTGGCTGAATCCGTAGTTTTATCATTGGGTTCATTCTCAGTCTTCTGCTCTGTGCTGGCAACGTCCTCATTCTGAGGTTTATCTTGGGTTTCGCCATCTGCCTTGGCACCTTCCGAAGCTTTGGGTGACGGAGGAGGTGGGCTTTTGGCTGTTTCCTTCTCCTTCAAGTACTCTTGAATCTTCTTCGAGGCATCCTCATCGGGTTGAAGGTCATCAATCAATACGCCTTCTGACTGGCATGCAGGGCAGACAAAGTCGCTTTCGATGAGAGCATTGGTTATGCAATCATTACAAAAGGTCTTCTGACAGCAAGGAGTCTTCATTGGCTCTATGAACATCTTCTTGTCAATTGAACACTCCAAGCCCTGTTCCTGAATTTCCTTGTCCTCAGCCGGTGCATTGGTTACTGCTGAAGACTTGGCCTTGGCCTGGAACTGTTCCCACGATGCCTTGTCAGGCTCGGCAATAACAAAATCTCCTTCAGCATTGACCATAATACCCGAAGGACGCTTGGTCTCGTCGCCATCAGTTTGTGCAAGGACAACGGACTTATCGACCTTTTGTAGGAATGAACGAGGAATACCCGTTGTTCGCTTGACACGTGGGCGGTTATCGAACTCGGGATCGTCGTTGGTCGGGCATAATTGAATCCAATGACCCTTGTTGCCACATCGGTAGCAGATGTATCCGTTGGGTGGGTCATGGTCAGGAACATTTGCAGGTCTCTTTGCACCAGCTTTGAAAACTGGTGTTTGACTATTGTAATGTTGTTAGCTATGAACAAGGCACCTCGAGCATTGTTGAAACTCACTGAGACATCTCCTCCTGCTGGGCGGACCACTGCTCTGTTTGGGCTGCAAACATAGCCGCCATTTTCTCCTCTTCCGTCATAGCATTGTTCATCTGGCTAATTGCATCGGAACTTGGTTTGGAAACCGATGCCTTGGCCGTTTGCTCTTTGCGACCAGCATTCTTAGCTGTCACGGGCATTTTACCAGATACGTAGCGAGCAGCACGCCCTGCGCCAGGCTTGAGGGCAGGCTGGCGTCTGGCGATGACAGTCGTTGACCTGGGAATGATAGTCGTATCGTCGTCATATTCTAGGGACATGTCAGTGTTTTTCGTCCAGAAATCATTGTGTCAACTCACCTTCGCTGTTATCGTCGGTGTAGATGTGCAGATCAAAGTCGGTGCCATCTCCAAGGCCACTTTTAGTAATGATCTCACGCTTCAGTTCGAAGACTGAGATGCCGGTACCATCAAACTCGACTCTAGTAGGTTCCCTTTGGGATTTGAACTTGAAAAAGACGGAGGACGTCATTTTGGTCGAGATGTGCTAAGATGTTTCCTACAGGAATGGGAAAAGCACAGCACAAAGAACAACAGAAGTTTGTTGAGATTCAAATATCGTAAGTCCGCAAAAGTCCAAAGGTTAAGTCGGTTGGGTCGCACAAAGCACTATGTAAGTATTGATTGATTGATCTTGTGTTTGTAAACAAGGCAGCGTTTGTTTTCTTTGTTCGTCTTCTTTCTTGCACTGCCGTGCCTCTTTCAACTGTCAAGGTGAATGGAAATAATCAATTTTGATTGTACTTTGAGGGAACAATAGTGGCAATAGGGTCAAAAAAAAAATGGGTGCAATGAATAAGGAGTACAGCTGGCAAAAACAAGCCAGAAGAGAAACAACCCTCAAGCTCCACCTCACTTTCCAGACACCACGCTCGTCAAACCACTGAACCAGCAACCTTTTTTGTTAGCTAGACGTCCCGGCGTTAACGTCCTGACAAGAGCACACCAGCGACACGTTATTCGGAACAGAACAATCTTGACCGATGGGCGAAATGACGGTTGGTCGGGGGTCGCGTGAAAGTGATGAGATCGAGTTAATCGGAGGTGGTCAGTCACACGAGTTACGGGCTTGCTTGCAGGCGCCGAAGAAAAACGGCAAAGGAAAAAAAAGAAAATAGGGCACAGCCGAGCGACCTCGTTGATGCGGCAAGTCGAGTTATTGATGGAGAGGGAGAATGTCGATAACTCGGAATGGTTACAAGTGATGGAGAGGGTGGGGAGAGAAAGAGTCTTCCAACATCAGGGCGATGGAGAGGAGAGATAGGCGGCCGACCTGCCCCTAAAGCATGACTAATCGGCGATGTTATTCTAGCGCATAAAGGTTATTCCGAATGACTAAGCACTCCGCTCAGAGGATCTCGCGACATGTGAGTGGGTGACTACTGTTTACGAAGAAAGGTATTTCTGCTGTTCGTAATGAGTCCGAATTAGAGTCCTTGTTCCAGGTAACCAATCATTATTGTGCCATTATTGCACGGGCGGGTAGTTTACCATTGGTTACCGCAAGTAACCGGATCTTTTGTCTACTGTACTGTATTATCACTGTCAACCCCGCCATAGGTACATACCTGGGTAGGCGAGAACGGAGCTGTTATATTGCTGCCCGCCCGATAGAGCAGGTCCGAGATCAAGCCTGGTGTAATGCCCCGCACCTTCCGCCTCAATAGGGCAGCTGTCTGTTGCGCTCAAGTGGTAACTGCGCTCCCCAAAAGGCCCTTTTTATCATTACGAGTACCCATCTCACAGAGTTTTTCTCAAAAACCAAACCTCACTTATCGCACATATCTCACAGACTCTATTCGTGTCCACCAAGAAAAGAAAATGGCTCCCCAGCTCGACGGTTTCTTCAAGCAAGTCGACAGCTCCGCCGACCACTTCATTGAGCGTCTGCGTAAGGCTGTTGCCATTCCCTCCATTTCTGCCGAAGATGCCCGCCGACCTGATGTCGTCCGCATGGGAGAGTGGCTCGGCGACGAGCTCAAGGCTCTTGGAGCTTCTGTAGAGCTTCGACCTCTTGGAAAGCAGCCCCACAAGGAGTATCTCGACCTTCCTCCTGTTGTCCTTGCACGATATGGAAACGATAAGAACAAGCGCACTATCCTCGTCTATGGCCATTACGATGTTCAGCCTGCTGAGAAGAGCGACGGCTGGGCCACCGAGCCCTTTGACCTTACCGTTGACGACAAAGGTCGCATGTTTGGACGTGGATCTACAGACGACAAGGGTCCCGTCTTGGGCTGGTTGAATGCTATTGAGGCTCACCAGAAGGCTGGCGTCGATTTCCCTGTCAATCTGCTCATGTGCTTCGAAGGTATGGAGGAATATGGTTCTGAAGGCCTTGACGACCTGATCAAAGAGGAAGCCAAAAAGTACTTTGCCGATGCTGAGGCCGTTTGTATCTCGGACAACTACTGGCTTGGTACCGAGAAGCCTTGCTTGACCTACGGCCTTCGCGGTTGTAACTACTACTCAGTCGAGATTTCCGGCCCTGGTGCCGACCTCCACAGTGGCGTCTTCGGTGGCACCGCCCAGGAGCCCATGACCGATCTTGTCAGGGTTCTCGGATCGCTCGTCAACACTGGCGGCGAGATTCAGATCCCTGGTATCAAGGAGCAGGTTGCTCCTATCACTGCTGATGAGGAAGGTCTTTACGATGGTATTTCTTTCACCATGGACAACATCCATGAGTCTTTGGGTAGCAAGACAACCATCTTTGATGATAAGAAGCGCACTCTTATGGGCCGATGGCGATACCCTTCACTTTCTATCCATGGTGTGGAGGGCGCTTTCTCTGCTCCCGGAGCCAAGACCGTCATTCCCGCCAAGGTGATTGGAAAGTTTTCTATCCGAACTGTTCCTGACATGGACATTGATAAGACCAACGAAGCTGTGTACAAATACGTTGAGGACCAGTTTGCCAAACTTGGCAGCAAGAACACTCTCAAGGTTTATGCTCAGCACACCGGTAAGTGGTGGGTTGCTTCGCCAAAGCACTGGAACTTCTCAGCCGCTGCCAAGGCTGTCGAGCGTGTATGGGGTGTTGAGCCTGATTACACTCGTGAGGGTGGAAGGTAAGTCAAATGAGCTGCGCTTGCTGTTGTCACCGCTAACACAACTACTAGTATCCCTGTCACTCTGACTTTCGAGGAGGCCACAGGCAAGAACGTGCTCCTGCTACCTATGGGCAGCTCTACAGATGGTGCTCATTCTATCAACGAGAAGCTTGACAAGCGCAACTATATCGAGGGCATTAAATTGTTGGGAGCTTACTTGCACTATGTTGCTGAGGAGCCTCAATCTTAGAAGCTACCGGGAAATAATACAAGTTTAATGTACCATATGAAGAATACGAACTGGGATTATGGATGCTCCTCGAAACTAGAACAAGGCCATTTCGCCTATCTCTGCTATCCATGAACCACTTGATATCGTATAGGCATTTGGATTAGCCAGCAATTTCGCTTCTTCATGGTTATTGATCAGTGAGCTCACAGTGCCCAATCTACAAAGTTAACGCGATCTCAAGACTACATGCCCGACGAGATGGTAGGTACGTACCTGGCGGCTTCTTATCTCAGCTGCCCAGCCTGGTAGCAGAAACGTTGGCGTCATATGCCTTAGGATACAAAAATAACTAGTCTAAGAATTCTAGTCACAGTAGCATAAGCTGATCGACAATTTTCGTCTCGTCTCCACCGGGCAGTCTGTGTTCTGCTGGGGTGGCTGGACCCCTCTTTTTTCACCCTTCTCTTGTCGCCTGTCCACTGTCGTTCCCCCGCGCCAGGTGCCGTTGGTACTGATAGGAGGACAGGGGGGAGACCTGGGGTGTTGTTTTTGCCCCTCCCAGTCTCTGTGGAGGTTCTCTTCCATCACTGGTCGTGAGTCTGGTGATCGCTGTCCGGCTGAGTCGGTCAGAGCGACCAAATGATCAGATCTATTGGTATTAATTTCTCCTTACCCCAGATGCTGCGTGGAAGCGCCAGATCACTTTTTTACTGACTACGGCCGTCTTCAGTTCTAATCCAAACAACCCAGTCTTGAGCTGCCTTGGACAGAACAAAAATTTAATCAGCACCAGCTTTCAACTGCCAGGACTTTACTGTACGCCACTTGTGGAGTTTCTGGCGCTCTCAGTGAAACGTTCCCCCCCACACCTTATCGGACGGACCCTAGCCTTTCCATATAGAAAGTTCCAAAAACGTTGATTCTACTTCCTTCAAAAGACGACAAACTCGAGGATCCCACTGGATCGCCAATATTACGACCGCCGAGATGGTTCGCGAGAGTGGCATCTCGGCCACAAAGCCTGTTTTCCCTAATTTCTTGCTACCAAGCATCAAGCTTCCTTTCTCCCGTCGTCACTCGACCTCCTCGAGCTCGGCAGAATCTGCCACATCATCAGCAGTGACAACGCCAGCAAGTTCACCCCCGAACGATGGCCTTTTAGCTAAGACCGGGCGAGGTCGACTTATTCGTACCTCACCAAACACGTTGCGTTGCTCAACATGCTCCGCAGATATCGCCTTTGCCTCCCAAGTAATCTCGAAGGGCTTCACTGGCCGATACGGTCGGGCGTTTCTTGTCGCGCCGCCCGCTCTCCCTGCCCCTCAGACTCTGAGTAACATTCGGATTGGCAAAAGTGAGAATCGACAACTTGTAACAGGTTGGCATGTTGTTGCAGATATCAACTGTGGGGCATGCTCGAGCAAACTTGGTTGGAAATATGTGGATGCCAAGGAGCAAGGCCAGAAGTACAAAGTCGGCAAATTCATCCTGGAAATGGAGCGGGTCGTGATATATCGAAGCTGGGAAGACGCCATCGATGAACATGAAGAGGAGAATCCCGCGACCTCCAAGAAGGGTGGTGATGAGGAGGTTGAGTTTGATTCTGACGATGATGATGAATGTGAGGATATTTTTGCCGGCACTTGGGATCCTGAAGTTGTGGAAGGGAGGCGAAGGAGAATGATGGCACGTCGAAGTCAAACCGAGAGCGACGAGTAGTCATCGTTGCTGTGGTGTTGTCTCGAAGTGATGAACCAGATTTGAGTTATGCATTGGGATGGCGCCAAGGGATGAATATTGAATATGATATGGGAAAGGACAAATACCCAAGAGGAGGCTGGGTGCAAGGGCAACAGCGTCAGTCGATAGATTGATTTACCCCGTAGAATTTAGAAATTGTTATGAATTAGACCCATGTCTCACATCATTTCGAAAAGCGACGCTGCTGTCTTGGTGGTTTGGGTGATCAGATATTCTAGACTTGTCGCCTGGTTCATATGACAAATGAAGTTGCCTGATAATCCCAGGGCAACCGACATGTGCGAGCGTACATTATGAGACATGCTTTCGTGTTGTGATGTCTTTATTATGGGTTCTCATCTCTCAGGACAATTCACCCACAGCAGAGGCATCTTGGCATCGTGATCTCGTCGCCCACGATCTACAGTTGACCGGCTTCATCAATCAAATTAAAAGAAGATTAGATTAAACCTGTAATATGTGTAAGCTTGAGCTATAGTGAACTAAGAGGAAGGTTTGAGAGAGATGGGATGTGCAGGGTGGGGTTGTGGTGGGGGATCGAGAAAATAGAAATTATAGTATACGTGTTTGGGAGAGATGAAGGGCAGTTCTTGACAAGGGACAAGCTGGATACAGGCAGGTGTTAGATTGCTTAAAAGTAATTCTCTTCGATACCTACCTCTACAGTCCATACCGTCGTAGAATAACATCTAGTAGGGATATAATCTGATGGTTCTTGTGGAAGTTAGTAACTTAGGTACTAAGTTGACAGCAACGCGTGGGGCAGATCCCCTAGAAGTGGAATACCCCCCTGCGGCGAGATATCGTCACAGTGGACAACGAGCTATGAGAGGGGTGAGGGGCATCTTGCCATCCATGAATTTCTGAACAGACAGCCCACCTACCAGCTACATGCCCGCCTGCAGCTCACGCCGTCTCAGTTCTATTCAGGTCAGGTACGGCAATATTTTTGTGCTTCTTCACCGAATAATCCTGCATTTGATCTCGCATTGCAATCGTCTGAGGTGTGTAACCCCCACGCCCCCTCACCGCTCTATTTGTTTGATCCCTTAGTATACTACAACTTTTTTTAGTCTCAGGGGAGCGACGCCGTAGGGAATATTTCATTTGTTTTCGATTTCTCGTTCAGAGAATAGTTAGCAGGAAGCTACCTGCTACCCGGGTAAGAGAGGACCACTTCTTTAGTTGTCACTGTCGTCACCCCAGAACCACGGGCTCCATTCCTCCACCCAAGCTTTCTATCCGCCACTTTTCTATCTTGCTCCTCTCCACTTCTACCTTGTTCTTGTCTCCTCCTCCCTCTCTTAACGGGCACCCCATAATAATCTGCCGTCATACCTACCTACCTACTAATCTAACCTACGTGCTCGCCCTCATCCTTACACGTCTTTTACCTTTCCCTATTCTTCTTCTTCTTGAGACCGGTCCAATTCCACGTCCGTGCCCTATCCTGTTCCTATCCCTTCATCTAGCTTTACCTCACTCCCTACTATCACTACTAGTAGTCGACGAAGTTGGACATTGTCATAGATTGAAACGAGCCTCTCTCCTCATACTTTACTTTCTACATCGTTCTAACCCCGCTTCGTCTCCTGTCAACAGGTCTGATAATTCAACTCTGACACCATGGCCGCGCCCTCTGGTCACCGCTCTCGCGGTTCTGATGATCTGGGCGTCTTTGATGACGCCAAAAGCTACTATACTGCAGAGCGTCATCAGAACCGTGCTGGCCCTCGCACCCGAACTTACTCCCAGGTTGGTGTTACCGACATCGTCGTGTTGTTACCTGAATTGATATTGGAAACAGAACAGTTTGATGTCACGCTTTGAGCGAGTCAATCTTCGAGAGCCCTTCAGACGTGGCAGTCATGGTAAGTTATTCTAGTCTTACAGATGAACGCATTTGTTCGCTGTGCTAACACCTTTGTCCAATCAGACGAGAACTCACAACAGAACCGCCGCTTCTTGATCCAAGTTGATTCGACATTGGAAAGTCTTTCACTCCAAGAAGATCCCAATGGAAACATGCAGATTACAATCGAGGACAATGGACCCAAGGTTATTTCTCTGCGTACCGCCGCTTCAGCTGGTCACAACCGTTTCGATGTGCGAGGAACTTATATGCTGTCCAACCTCTTGCAGGAGTTGACCCTGGCCAAAGAGTACGGACGAAAACAGATTGTTCTGGATGAAGGCCGTCTCAACGAAAACCCAGTCGATCGCTTGTCTCGTATGATTCGTGATCATTTCTGGGAAAACCTGACAAGACGTATTGATGCGTCGACAGTCGACATTGCGGCTAGAGATCCCAAGGACTGGACAGCCGACCCACGCCCACGCATCTACATCCCTTATCGATGCCCTAGACAATACGAGTTTTACAAGAGAGTCGCCGAAGAGAGACCTGAGATGCGACTGGATGTTCAGATGCTGCCCGAGAAAATCACCACTGACCTGGTCCGCGACATGAACGATGCACCTGGTCTTTTGGCTGTGGATGTGCAAGAAGTGCCAGAGCCAGAGCACCCTTCAGGATGGACGCTCAAGGGCATGCCCTTTGTAGTCCCTGGCGGTCGTTTCAACGAGCTTTACGGTTGGGACAGCTACATGGCTTCCCTGGGCCTTCTCATCAACGACCGGGTCGATCTGGCCAAGTCAATGGTCGTCAACTTCTGTTTCTGCATCGAGCACTATGGCAAGATCCTAAATGCAACCCGATCTTACTATCTCTGTCGATCACAGCCTCCGTTCTTGACCGATATGGCTCTTCGTGTCTATGAAAAGATCAAGCACGAACCTGATGCCAAGGAGTTCCTTCGACGATCTATCCTAGCCGCCATCAAGGAGTATCACAGTGTTTGGGTTTCGGAGCCTCGATTGGACCCTACCACGGGTCTGTCAAGATATCGACCAGAAGGTCGTGGAGTGCCCCCTGAGACGGAGGCCACCCATTTCGTACACATTCTTGATCCTTACATCAAGAAGCACAACACAACATTTGAAGACTTTGTGCGAAAGTACAACCATGGCGAAATCGAAGAGCCTGAACTCGACGAGTACTTCATGCACGACCGTGCCGTGCGTGAGTCAGGCCATGACACCTCATACCGCCTCGAGGGAGTCTGTGCCAACCTAGCCACCATTGATCTCAACAGTCTCCTCTTTAAATATGAGACTGATATTGCCCGAACTATCCGCAGCGTCTTTAATGATAAGCTGACCATGCCCGAAGAATTCTGCGCCGGCACACCTTATCA